GGGTTTTCCCTTTTTGGGTCCCACGGCAAAAAGTGGGCCCATAGATGGCTTCACCGTTCTTGGCAAGGTTGTTTTTGGGGTCCGCTCATTTTTAGCAGGGGGCTGCAGAAAGCAGCCAGCTTTTTGCTACCATGCCAAGGGATCTGAAGATGGCGATCACCTTTGATGTCTGGGTCAGCTGAAGGAACTGAATGGGGTTGCTAGGGTTTGGCTCGGTTTCTCACTCCAAGGATGTTCAGGAACACCCCACACACGCCTTGTTTGAGCTCTCCCCCAGTAGTGCCCTTTTTCACCCTTTGTTGGGGGAGGGTTCCCCTACTAAAATAGACAAAACAGAAAAAAAGTGGGTACCCACTTATTCGATCCTCTCTACTGGAGGAGTTAGAAGTTGAGATTTGCGGATCCACGGAAGTGCGGCCTCAGGTCTGCCTTCATATCTGGGTATGTTCAAGTATTATGGCTCTGCGGGGAGTTCAGAGCAGCTCATAGTCAGGAATGCTGATGCAAAGGAGCTTATTCGTTTTCAGTCGACGACCTCCAGTGGTGCAACTGTCGCTTTCTTTGGAAGGGCTTCCCTTTAACAATTCGACCAAACAAGGGAGTGCTTGCCAATCCTTGTCCACGGAAATCCGCTGGGAGAGCCCCCAACCCAACCCCTCCCCCTCCCCCTCCCCCCTCCCTCCCCCTCCCCCCCCCCCCCCTCCCCCTCCCCCCCCTCAACACCCCTCCCCTCCCTCCCCTCCTACCCTCCCCCGTACCCTCCAGTCCCCCAATCCACGGGTCATTCTCGAGGTGGCGGTGCGCGCCTCCGACTCCCTCGGGGCCGTGGCAGCGGTGGAGTGGTCTTCGGACCACCGCGGCCCGGAAAGTTCGAGCGAGCGCGAGAGAGAGAAGCCGCCGGCGGGCGGCGGGCGGCGCGGGGGTAGACGGCTTGGTTCAAGTTGACCTCCTGCTCAGTCGTTCCGCGGCTCCCTTTTTCCTCCCTTTTTTTTTTGGGGGGGGTGGCTGCCCCACTAAAATATGGTCTTCCCAAGAATGGGTTCCTTTTTTTTCTTCTAGGGTCACTGAACAACTGAGTCCTGCTTTGGTTGAAGCTTGGCCCCCTTGATAAGGGGGTTGGGGGTAGATGGGCGCGGTTTTCTGTCCCAGGGAATAGGTTCTGCTGTCTGCTGTCTGCATTTACGACCCCCTCCCCAAAATCTTGAAGGCTCCCGAAACTTCTGCCATTTGCAGGTCGGAAAATGTTTCATATCTTTCCCTATTGGGTTTAACTGGACACATCGTCTTTCCAGAGGATGAACATGCACATGGAGGATTTGGCTGGTCCTCGGTGTGCCCCCAAAGGCCCCTAACAACACAATTGGCTTTTCCAGAAAGACCTACAACAGGTCGATCACGACCCCGTCCTTGTTCGGGCGACAAAAGGAACAACGTGAACTTTGCCTTATCTTTCATTACCTCAATCTTTGGCTAGATTACCCTAAATTACACATGGGTGTGTCATGAGACCCTCCAAAATACTGCTTTTTCTTTTGTCCCTGTACCCCCCAAAAAGCGGGTACCCTCAAAACGCGTCAGACCCCGCGGGTGGTCCAAGGCCGGTGATTCCGTAAGGCTCCCGGAGCAACCCTAGGGAATCCGTTTTTGGGAACCGTAAGGAACCCGAAACGGGCGCTCAACTGCCCACTTCCCTTGTACCTTCCACCCTTAAAGATTCCATAAACCAAAGGACTGTTTCCCCATCCAAAAGGACTAGATTTGTCATGTTGTAAACGTTAGAACCCGTTCAACGGGGTCATCCAACTAACGGGGAGCCTCGTACACTTCCCTTCCCTTGTGGAAGTTTCGCGAGCCCGTTCGCATCAGATTTTGGTGAGAGTCTGACTTAAGACCACTGGGAAAGAAATTCAAGACACACCCTCCCATACAGACAGACAGACACGGACCGCGCAGGCACGCACAGTCACACACACACACACACAGACGGATGCACAGACACATCCACACACACAGACACACAAACAGACACCCCTGGGTTTGCCTCAGAATAGGCTGCCCCCCCCCCCCCCAAAAAAAAAAATAAGAAGAAGAAGAAAACAACTAGTTGGTTGGTTTCCTTCTGTTCCCCAATCCCCCAAATTCCCGAACGAGACATGACCTCATCTTTCAGATGGCCCACGTCGGAATTCCACCGGCCGTCGGAATTCGCCTGAGGCGTTTGGCATCCCATGGAGCGGGACCTGAACGACACCGACACCTGGGTCCTGCGAGCAATCGTCGGAGGAGCCGGAAAGTGGTGGAGGGCGGGCTCGGGGCGTGGCCATCAGAGGTAATAGTTGTTTAATTATTTTAACGTCGGTGTGTTTAAATGTGGGCACCGTAACTCAGTTGTTCAGTGGCACCCTTTTCCTCTTTTTTTTCTTCTGGCTGCCCCACTAAAATGGTCTTCCCCCAAAAAGGTTCCCTTTTTTTCCAGGGTCACTGAACAACTGAGGTAAGGGTGGACGAAAATGAGGGAAATAAGGGAATGGTTACCTGATCATAGGGTTCATTAAAGTTCCTCAGAGTTCCGAGTTCCTTATGTAGTTTCTTAAGGTTCCTTGGGGAGCTTTAGGGAACCCCCCCCCAACTGTGGAGGCATTTGAGTAGGGTTCCTGAGGGTTCCTGAGAGTTCCCGAGATTTGCTTAGGGTTCCTGAGGGTTCCACAGAGCTCCTGATATCGAATCATTGGCCCAGTTGCAACCAGCGGATTCTCAATTGTTTCAACTTTTTTCTTGAAGGGTTCCCATTTAAAGTCAACCAACCAAACATCTGAGTAAGCCTCCTGGTAGTTTTGCAGGGTTGCTTGGGGTTGCTTGGGGAGCTTTAGGGAGTGCGAAATGGCTTGCGCCCATCCACGGTAAGGGTGACAGAAACTCCATTGCTGCGGAGTCCTGGAATATTGCCCTCAACTCACTTCCTGAGTTCCTGGACTTTAGTCACTTTTTGGGTTTGGACCATTTTAGTGGCAAGCAAAAAGTTTAGACTGTTTTTGGCCAATGCACTCAGGAAGTGAGTCAAAGGAGCCTAGAGTTGTTTTTCTTGGGCAATTAAGTCTTTGAGCTCCCCTCCCCCAAAAACAAACGCATCCTGTAGTGACTCTGACAAAGGGTGTGGCAAGACTTGGAGCCAACAAGAGTTAAGGCAAGGACAAATGGAGCTCTTGACGCTTGGGAGAGAGGGGTATTTTGGTTTGGGGGCCAAGTGAAGCTTCTCCGGTGCTCTTTTGGCCGCTCGTTTGGCCGCAGTTGGACGCCTGATAATCCCGAACGCTCTGAGTGCAGAAATGCTCGGGTTCCACTGGTCTGGATGGGTTTTATGAGCCATTTCACCAGGGAAGCCCAGCTATTTGAAAGTCTAAAAGGACACCAATGAACTGAGGCTTTTGGGGGCCTTCTGCAGCGCGAGGCGCTTTTTTCTTTTTTGGTTTGCCATCCATTTTCCTGGGTCTAAAGGACACCAATGAGCTGAGGCTTTTGTGGGCCTTCTGCGCGAGGCGCTTTTTTTGTTTGCCATCCATTTACCTGGGTTTTGCCCTGCTTGAGTCACCAGGTTTGGTCACCGATGCAGGCGACTTGTGGTTTCGTGGCATCGATGACTCCTTGAACATCGGCAGCTCTCGCCGATGGACCTCTGAGCTTTGATCCGCATAGCTGGCGAGTCCCTGAAGCCTTGCTAGGTTGATTTGGAATCGTAGGCTGCCAGCATGGTGGAACACCCATGCATGGTGGGTGCCCAGATTACCCTCCCTCCCACTAACATAGCACCTGTGGGAGGGTACCAGGAAGAGCAATTTCCTCTTGAAGCGACCTTGTGTGAGGTGCTATGTTAGTTGGAGAGACGGTAGATCTTGACTGTTTACGTGATAGCTTCCTCGATGCTTCCTCCGGAATGGATTGGATCTGTAGCTTCATGGCCGAAGCATCAGCAAGGAGACCCCATACGGTTTGGGATCCACGGATTAATGAACCCTTGTTGATTACTCGGGGGGTGTCTCTGGTTTAGTGGGGGTTCATCACTTTTGGAGGGGTAAGCTCCCCTAGAAGGATGGGTTTATCAATCTGGCGTCCTTCTGGGTTTTGGAGGTATGGAGGTTATATACCGCTACAGGGGGTAGATACTGCTCAGCTTGTATTGGTGGTATATAAGCATGGCATGGCTCCACCCCTCTCCCTGCAAATGCCCGTGACTTCTTTGATCAGCCGGAAGCACCGGGGGAGGGACGTTCCCCGTCTCGGAGGCGAGAAAACGGCTCATGCACAGCGCTTTCGTCGTGCGTTTGCACTATGACCTGGACCCCAAATCAATGAACCCCAGCGTTTTCATAGGGTGTTCCCCTCCACAAGTGAAACTTTTCCCCCCGCTTAGCCCAGAAAACCCCCCACTTAGCCCAGAAAAGCACGCCTGTATTGATGAACTGTATATGTAAAAGTTGTCAGCATCCCCATTGGGCCAGTCCCACATGAGCTTCCTTTGGCCGGGTGATATTTCAAGGGGGAACATATGGGCCCTGTTACCCCAGAATCAGGCATGGTGCCTTGACCGATTTCACGATTTCAGGTAGGCTACAAATGCCCAGTTGCCCAGTGGTGCCCTTTTTTCTTCTTTTTTTTGGGGGGTAAGGGCCTGGGAAGGGTTCCCCTTTAAACTCAACTAAAAAAAAGGCCTTTTGGTCCCATGGAAATCCACTGTGCATTTGAGAACCTTTCTTGGCGTCTTGGCGTTTCAACAGAAATTCCTCACTTCCTGAGTTGGTGGACTTTAAACTTTCTGGGAAGACCATTTTGGTGGTAAGTACAAAGTTCAAACTTTTTTTGGCCAGTCAACTTTGGAAGTGAGACCAATAGATTCCTTAGCCATCAGCGAGTCACAAGTCAACGGGTTTTGGGCCCTGCTTATTTGGGCGTTTCATTTTTTGCGACCATTGAGTCTTCGGTTGGGGTGGCGAGTCGGCACCGAGGCAAGAAGAAGAAGAGAAGTCGCAGTTGGGGACTCTGGGGCCTAGCGCCTGTCAGTCATGCTCAGCTAATCCGTCGGGTTGTTGGTTTGGATTGGGGATTTGAACCCCTGGTTCTTGCAGAGGGGAAAATGAGCAACTGTCCTTAACCACCACCAATTAGAGGGAAGCTCTCACGAGGGTCAGCCTAAAGAGCTATCGAAGCCATGGAAGGGTATAGACGAGGGGTGCTGACGAGGGAGGGGTGCTCATTTCATCTCATTTCATCTTATTTCAAGGTGTTCACCAGAATAACTTGCCCCAATATGTCTGGATTCAAGTTGTTGACTTCAGTTTGCTCTCAAGGCTGTGTTCATGCTCCTGTCTGGTAGGTTGTTTTTGAGTAATATGGTTTTGAGTTGGTTGGTTATGGTGAGCAAGTTTGGCGCAGCAGGGTCCAGTTTTATCTTTGAATTGAACAGGGTCTTTTGAACTGATCCCCAACTCCACGTTCCTGAAAACTCTGGGAATCCATCTGCCAGTTTCATGGCGACACTTGCTTGTAATTCGAGCTCACCAGATCCAATGATTTGTCAAGTTGAGCAACTAGACATTGCAGGCAATATACGGGTTGTGTTTTTGTTTTTGTGATGACACCCTTTTTGGGGGTGGTTGTTAAGGGAACAAACAGCACACCAAACCGTGTTATTTGTTCATCCTTTTTTGTTTGGTTTTCCGGGTCATGTGGGCGGTGGAAAGGGGGGGTAAAACCTATGTTGAGACAATTTCAGTACCTTGGTTGACTTCCGATCCTTGTGTCCGTAGGCGTGGCCTAAAGCCGGGAGCGACCGGCGGCTCGCACCGACGGACCGAGGCCGGCGCCGCAGCAGGTCGAGGCGCCGTAGCCGCAGCAACCGGCGAAGAAAGAAGAGCCGGGACGCCCAGTGGAACGGGAGCTTACGCGTGGCCCCTGCGGTTTCCCTTGAAAACCGTCAAACACGGGGTATTCCAAAAAAAAGGGATGCTTCCTTTTCCATGATTGAAAACAACATTTAGCTTAAGGGTTGAAAATCAGCCCTTCCTTTGGCTTTTGGTCCAACAAGGAGTGCCATGGGTTCAGAAAGGATGCAATCTGCATAGGGGTGCATTTGGTTCACTCTATCCAACCATGGTTCTTTACACGGTGAACCTACCTGGACTCTGCATGACACTTAAACAATGGGCCATTAATTGCCCAAAATGAATGGAGTCAGGACGCATTTTTAAAGGGTCCTGGAGACAACAGGTAGGGTGTTCCTTGTGGTTTCCCTTGAAAACCACCAAGAATGCGGCATTTGGCATCCCAAAAAAGAATCCGGTCCCAAAATGGCCCAACTGGCTATATGACTTTCAATGCAGAACCCGTCATGGGAGTTTCACGTGAACAGGCCTCACTGAGTTCTGTCAACCTTTGGTTTCTTGTTCCTTTGGGCAATACTTTCACATCAAAAGCACTACTGTGGATGGACGAAATCCTGCACCACTGTGAAGCCATGGGAAACCCTTGTTTTGTTGGCATTTACAGGGGAACATCATGCCTGGCTTTCTTAGGTGGTGCAGGATTTTGTCCATCCACAGTATTGTTGACTTGGGAACCCCAGATGAAGCAGACACCTGGTTGATTTACGGTGGGGGTTCAGACCACTCTTGGAGGGAATGCCCCCTACTAATAGGGTGGGTTTATTAAACTGGGCCAACATTACCTCACAACCAAGTCTCTGGCAGGTTGACGCGTTGTGGGAAGACCATGTTACTAGTTAAATGCTTGAACGTGTTACATTGGGCCCAGTCCTCTCAAGAAGCGATCGATTAAGATGATGATGGCAGAAAATCAATCAACGGATCCTAAGTTTAGGAATAAACGTGGACAAAGCCTACCGGCAGCCATGTTTGGAAAGCCCTTGCGCATGTTTGAACTTCCACACAGAGGCAGATCTGCAGATTTGCTTTATAGCTTTTTCAGTTTTGCAACTTGCAGGTTGGTGCGAAAGAGCCTGCGAAGCCCACCATACTGTGGATGGACGAAATCCTGCACCACTTAGAAACATAGGAAACCATTGGTGGTTGGTATTTACAAGGAATCATGATTTTCGGGTTTCTCATGTGGTGCAGGATTTCGTACATCCACAGTATGTCTTTAGTGGTGCTTGAACCGTGGATGTCAGGTGAAAACACTTGCTTGCGAGCTCCAGTGCTGGGAACCCCCTTCTGACTGGAGAAATGGAATTGGGGCTCCGCCTTAACGTGGATGGGAGTCCCAGGTGCTTTCGGGTTCTGGCCCCAGAAAGAGACGGACCCGGGTGATCAATCCACGGATTTTTCGCGGGTAAGGGCTCACATCTGGAGCTGCTTTCCTCGCCCAGGCGACACCCGCAGCAGGAGTCGCAAGTCGCCGGGGCGCCCGGATCGACTCGCCTCGCTTGGGTTGCTCAGCTTGAAGGCTCGATGGGATGGCCGGATCCGCGTCAGGTTTCATGTCTAGGTCCAGCAATTGGTGCCCGCTCTTTAACCCGTTTTTTGGTTGGGAGGGTTCCCTACTAAAATAGACTACAGAAAAAAAGTTGGCAGCCTTATTCTAGCCTCTCTACTGGAGGACCTAGATGTGAGAAGGGGGGAGGCTAAGTTTTTTCGTGAACCTGTGGAACCAGCACCAGAAACCCTGGTGTCTGATTCGAGTTTTCAATGTAGATATCAACAATGGTTTCAACCCATGGTTTGCTTCACTGTTCTTGGCATTTTTAGTTTTTTGGTTCTGTTCATTTTTACTGGGGGTCTGCAAAAATCAAAGTTTTTCGCTACCATGCCAAGAGTAGAGATGTTTGATTCAGCGCGAAGAGAATTCGCACCCATCCACTGTCTTGAACAAGGGCAGGCCATGCCTAGGCGTTCTTAGAAGAACCCCTTGGCTTGGAGCGAAAGCCCAAAGCCTAAAAGCCCATAGCCCATGGCCTTGTGGGTGTCTACCTCGATGGGAGACTTCACTTTTGTGGAGTCTCTGCGGAAAAGATATTTGTTGTCTTAGAGTCAAACATGCAGTTCCCTCGAACGGGACCTTGATGAGGGCAAGGCGCTTTCTGCGTTTTTCTTTTGCCAGCCGGAGCCGAACAGAGCTCCACAAGGAGACCGAGAAAGGTGGCAGGAGGCAGTTTGTGAGAACGACACCGCCCTGACCACGGGATTTTTTGGGAGAAAGCGGAAAGGAGAGTGTTGAGGCAGTAGTTTGAACATGTTTGAACCTCTGAGCCGGGCATCTTGTTGAATGGCTCAAGCCATCGAGAGTGCATTGGTGGCCGAGAGTTATTGCCATGTTGGGTTTTCGGTTGACTTAGTCGACTTTCGGCATGGCGGTCTCGAACACCTTTTAGATTCCAACTGCCCTCAATAAGTGCTTGAACTGTTGAATCAGGGAGCTTGGCGCGTGGCCATTTTTTCCAACCCCGAGAGGAGTATGGGTGGGTTGGCACTGGAGAGGCGTTGCCACTATTCCAGGTCTTCCAGCAATGTTTTTTACCCGTTTGTGGGGGAGGGTTCCCCTACTAAAATAGACGACAGAAAAACAGGGCACCCCCATTCAAACCTCTCGGAGGACCCAGTATTGCACATGTTGCAGATTCTCTTGCCAGATGGTAGTGGTTTATGTTGCTGTGGTGATGCCCCGCAACCATTCAACCCCCAGTCAACCCATACCCCAACCCCCAATTGTCCGGTCAGGCCCCGGCCAACCCCAAATCACCCCCCCCCCCCCCGTCAATCGCTTTGTACCTCCAATCACCTCCCCGGAGTGTGACCATGGCACGTCAGACAGTCAGCCCCCTCACTGAGCTCTCAGGCGGCGGAGACGCTCCCACCGCCCGGGTTGCCCGGGGAGATACTGTGGATGGACGAAATCCTGCACAGATTTGAAACCATGGGAAACCCTTGTTGGCTGGCATTTACAGGGGAATAATCATTCCAGGGTTTCTCAGGTGGTGCAGGATTTCGTCCATCCACACTTACAACAGCAACCTCCTTGCCACGTTTCTGTTGGGCGATTTGTTTGGGTGTTTTTTTCCATCCCCTAGATCAGGGCAGCTGATTTTCCTGCTGGATTTCCAAGTTATTATGTTCATTAGAATTGAGTTTTCCAAGGGCAACGTTCTGACGGGGAAGCAAGTTGCAGTGCGCGATCCTGATGGGCAAAATGCAGGCATGTGCTCCAGGATAAGCTCACCCGGGTGGGTGGGTAGGGCGGAATGAGCGCTGGCCGCATGTCCTCAATTTGGGATGTCCTTCCTTTCAGTTTGAATGAACATTATGGTCATAGTAACTTTGCGAATTTGGTGCAGATCATTGTTCAATCTATAGTGATGGTCTCCAATGCCGGGCTTTGTTTGTCGGGTTGTTTGGGCAAGCGAGGAAAGGAATCCATCACCTACTAGAGTAGTGCTCAGCTTTGTGCGAACCAGGTGGTGTTCAAGGGATGTGATCATTTCTGGGAATTATATGGCTTTAAGATGGCGCCTTATTAAGCAAATGCAAGTGGTCCTATTTTCATGGGAGCCAATTGTTGGTAGATGTTTGATTTATATAGGGTGAGTCCAAATTTAAAGTGGGATTCGTGACGTTTGGGATCATCCCAAATGAACACATGGATATGGAACCTCCAAGTCGGGAAAACACAACAACAGACAAAGGTGTGCTTTCGTGCCAAACCGCCTAACTTCCGAACCGGTTTCTAATCCCAGGTTTGGAGAGGGGTGGAAATTTGGAACCCGCTCTTCGAGTTCCGTTTCGGACTTCAAAACCTATTTTTAGGCTTTGGACCATTTGAGTGTCTTAGACAACAAGTTCAGAAAGAAGGGGGAGCCGGCTATCTCCAGGCCCCCGGTTTTTCAGGTCTTCCCAGGCCCCCCATACTGTGGATGGACGAAATCCTGCACCACGTTGAAACCATGGGAAACCATTGTTCATCGACATTTACAGGGAATCACCAACCCAGGGTTTCTTAGGTGGTGCGAAATGGATTTCATCCATCCACAGTAGGAATGACCCATTGTTTTGGGAATAAACTTTGTATACTGAGGATGGTTGGGAAATGCATCCAACGCACCACCTAAGAAGCCCAAGGGAATGACTTGGATTCCCCAACGTAAATTCCAACGTTTCAGGTCTTCCCAGGCCATCCACATCAAAAACGGTCCTTTACATGGACAGCCGCTGGGGAAACCAGCCAAAAGACGACTTTACCCCCAAAAAAACAGATTGCCAGTTTTAGAAGCAACCTCTTTGTTCTTCCCGGGCCCATAGTAAAACCTGGGACCCCGCGTGTAACGGGACGCGCTCGGAAAAGGTCGCGACAGAAGCCGCAGCCAGCGGCGTAGATCTCCCGCCCGGGCGCCCCGAGCGACGGCTCGACGGCGTCGGGCGTCGGGCGCGACGGCGGTGCCTTCGATCTGCAACCATTTTTTTTGTGCGGGGGGGCTGTAACCCTAAACCCCAAACCCAGAATCCTAAACCCTAAACTTCTGTTAGCTCAAGATTTGTTATTTGCTTAAGAATATTATCTATCTTCTTTGTGCTTAAGTGGCCGAGTTAAAACCAGAAAAAAAGCGGGAGGTGCCCATTTTAGCATGTGTGCCTGCCTTGCTGTGGTGGTTTAAAGGAACTATGTTCTATTTTTCCCTCTTGGTTTTAAAGGGAATCAATTTCACTACTGGATTTTTTTCATTTTTCCAGGGGCTTAAGAAAACGGAAGACAGGGAATCAATGCGTCGTGCCAGCCGACTTCATGGGTAGCTGGGTTAGCAACCAGGGGAACTAGCCGATTCCACTTTGCCCAAAGGGGTTCATGGATAGCAATCGGTTTGCCTTCGTCCCCAAAATGTGTGGTTTTTCATGGGGTATACTGGGTTAGCCCTGAATTTCTCCCGAAAGGCCGAAAGGCTACCTGGATCGGCAGTTGCTGTTTTTCATGCACTCAAAATTCCAAAAACCGATCGCAACAGTGACTGAACAAAAGCGATCGCAACTTACGGCTATCTAGGCTGACAACCCCATTCGACTCATCTTGTGGACTTGTGGTAATTATTCCCCCCCCCTCCCCCAAGTTTGCCTCACTCACTCACAACGGCGCTCTGACAAGTCACTGGTCAAGGCCGAGCAGGTGGCACCTTAGTCTGCCACGAACCTTAGAAAGCCCCCAGGCGCACGACACCCGTAGTCGGGTGGCCCCATTTTACCAGTCAAATGAATATGGGCTTACGGGGTAGGATTCATGATCCTAAATATGCTGGGCTCCTTATTTATAAAAAAAAACATGTCAACCAACCGACCAGGTTCCTTTTTGCGTTCGGGGTCGCTGGGGTTTCTGGGATCCACCTGGCTATTGAACTAGCAACGCTCCGTTTCCTCAGGTGGCCAAACCCTTTGCTTGGCTCCCAATCCGGTTCCTTAGCTTTTAGCTTTTAGCTTTTTTGTGTTTACATAGGGCTTGGCGGTTCGGGACCAGCCGTTCAGTCGGGATATGTTTAAGTCTTTTTTGGGGAGTTGGTGTTTTCCGTATTTAACCCAAGAGTTAAACTTTGCGGGGGCTCTCAGGACATGGTTTACCCTCTGGCTGGCTTCCCCCCAACAGAATTCGGAAACCCCGCTTGCCAAAGCGTGCTTGGCGCACACGTGTTGGTCCAGCTAGGACCTTCTGTGAATGATGGGGTCCTGTAGCTGAATGTGTTCTTTGTCTTTTCTTGGCTGCAAAGCAGACCTCCAAATGTGGTAGTTTCAGACCAGAAGCCACCAGTAAGTTGATCAACTTAAATCCAGTGACCCCTGTAAAATGCAATGGTTGGCTTCACTTTGCTTTACCCTTAGGCTCACTTCCTGAGTTCATGAACTTTAAACTTTTTGGGAAGACCATTTTAGTGGCAAATATAAAGTTTGGACTTTTTTTGGGCCATCCACTCAGCCAGTGAGCCTTAGGGGGGTTTCCTTGTGTCACTTCCATTGCGGGTCTTCCCCTAGGCCCGGCCCGGCCTGCGCGGCATGGTCGCGGACCGCGTGCAAGCGGAGAGGAGGCGACCGCATGGCTTCCACGTGGGCGATGTGGGGGGTTTGGGGGCCGCAGCGTTGCGAGTTGCTGTCGGGTGGCGCCGACATTTCATGCTGGAAACCTTACTCTGAAACTTTTTGGGAAGACTATTTTAGTGGTAATATAACAAGTTTGGACTTTTTGGGGCCATCCACTCAGCAAGTGAGCACTTGTCCCAAGCGAATCGACCTGAAATGACCTGCAATGGTTTGCCAATTTGGGCTCATGTTTAGTCTAGGAATTCTGGGTCTCAAAAGGTGATGATCACCTCTGATTTCCAGGTGCCCAAAGCAAAGGGCAAGTGAAAAACTGAGAGCTTGGCGCCTGATGGCCACGCATTGCCAGGCTTACCTTTTCAACTTGTTGCCTTTTCTAGGTTCATCATCTTACCTTCAACGAGGGTCTAAGTCTGGTCAAGGTCAAGCAAGAATGGCTCCTGAGAATTGAAACATGGACAACAATTGCGGTGGATTCGGGCAGGTTGCAGCTGAACCGCTTCCCCTAAAAATCGCGAAGAGAAAACCGAGTCATGTTGCCACCTGTGGATCAACCGATTTTTGGGTACCACCCCCCCCTTTGGTTTGGTCCATCTTAAAACGGGGATCTGGGGGGGGGTACCGAGGTTTCGACCCACCCAGCAGTCTGTTTGGTGGGTCGGCCGGGAAAGGCGCATTTCGTTAGGAAGAAGGATGACAAGGAGGAGGAGAAGCGCCGAGAACTTGGAGCCCGAGACGAATGCCAGAGACACGACATGCCTAGATAGCCGTAAGTTGAAATCGCTTTTTTCAGTCACTGTTGCCAGCGGGTTTTTGGGGTTTTGAGTGCATGGGGAAAAACAGCAACTGGCGATCCAGGTGGGTACCCACTCTCAAAGGGCTTGAAAGTTTTGAACGCCCTTGCCCTTTTTTGGGAAGCAACTATGTTTTGTATTTTCTCCAGGTTGGTTTTAAAGGGAATCGATCTATCACTACTGGATATATTTGCTCATGTTTTCCAGGTGAAATCGCAAACAATGGAAGAATGTAAGTCCACTTCAGCTCCCAAAATAATGGAGTCATTGAGGGATAGTCCAGGGAAGGGCATTCCCTAGCCTGGAGCCCATTTCGGGTTCCTTCCCACCCCCCTTGCACCCCGCTTAGGGGTTCCAAAAAGGAAGCCCTTTGTCCACGTCCAGTGTTGGAAAGAGGGTAGTAGGAGCTCAAGATTAAGGGAAACCACTACTGGACACGGTTTTGGGTTTTTTCAACCGAATAGAAGTATGCCTTCATAGCCAGGACCCAAGGCGCATGGGTTGCGGGCGCTGCTCCTTTGAGTGTTTTTTGTTTACTGGGGACCTCCACATTGGTGGACCATAACTTGACCGCTGTTGGGTTGGATCTTTAGGCTTTATTTTTTTGGAGAACAGGGTGCTTGCCATCAAACCCACAAAAGTTAGACTTTTTGCAGAGGGGTCAACAGCAACAATCACAAGCCCCCATATGATGTCCCAAGGGCCCACAGAAGTTTTGACCAGGTTGCCGACGCCATGGGGGGAGCTGAGGTTGTTTCAAGTGCTGAACCGTGTTTGGGTCTATGAGGATCCCACTGCAAGTTAAGCTTTAAGCAGGCTATCTGAATTCAGCCCAGTTTTGAAGGGAAGACAAAGGGACATCAATTTAGGGGCGACCCACGCTTTTCGAAGCTCGACCGGATTTATATATATATATATACCTGGAGCACCCTTCGTTACATAAATTTCTGCCCTTAGCCCAAACGTATTGCAAAACCAGAGGTCGTCACCAAAATATCGTAAACGTACACTTTTTCCTGCTTCGAGCGTTTTTCCCAAAACCGGGCTGGTCGGTCCTGAGCAGAAATCAAAGTGCAAAACGAGCGCAAATATCCGCAAAACGAGCGCAAATATCCGCAAACGAGTGCAAATTTAAAAAACGTAACAATCCCGCCTTCCTCTGGATGGAAGAAGGGGATGTGGTCGAGCGTTTTTCGGGGGCGAGCGTTTTTTGGAGGGTCGAGCAGACATCGGTAATTCGAGCGTTTTTTCTCGTACCAAAAAAAAGGCACGTTGGGTGCCTCAGGTATATATATATACACATATTGATCATATGGTATTTCTGAAGAGGGCTGTATTGCAGTCTTAGGTACAAGGCTCCTGGGCCCCTTTTTCCGTCGCGTTCCGTTTTTCGTCGCCAAGGTGAGGAGCCAAAGGCGCGCCTTTTTCCACGAAGGGGGCCGGCGGTCGTTGCGGAAGGTTCCCGATATGTCCCCTAGGCAAGTCAGTTAACCAACTTGTTTTTCGGATGGTTTCCATTATTTCCAAATTTGGGGGACTCCAAATTTATGTTGTGACTCAATGTGAGCCTTCCTTGCCCAAAGCGAGTTGCCCGAATCTGAGCTTTCCCCGAAGGTTTGCCTCCAGCTGTGGGTGGGCTCCCAGTCAATACGTGCAGGAATTGCATCATCCCAAGGGGTTCTGTTTTGTGATGTCCACTGATTCAACCCTAAGGAGTCCCCGAGTTCTCCAAAAAAGGGGACCCCTGAACACTAACTGGGGGGGCGGTCCTTAGTCAGGGGTCAACATGACTATTGTGTTTTGTGGTTGTGTCTCAAAATTGCGGAAGCCCGGGCCCAAAAATCGGCGGCTTCTTTGTGGTTCTTCGGTTGAAGCCGCCCCAGAAAGGCCAACGAGACACGTCGGGTCCTTGGTGCCGATCGGGGATAGAGCGGCTGCAGGCTGAGACGCGAGCTCGGAGCAAGAGCAACAGCAACTTCAGGCGGGGGTGCCTCGGCGACGCGAGTTGCTTGCCCGGGTTCCAGGGACTGTCGGGGTTGCTGGTGCACTCGAGTCAGATCTTGGGTCTCCAAAAGTATGTTGTTTCAGGGTCGGGCCAAGAATATATGACACTGAATCCGGCAGAAGTTCTGACCACCGTGCCCCAGATGCGGGCCAAGAGTTGGAAGTTGCCAACCACGTAAACTTTCAGACCATCTCAGTGACCTGGAGCAATGGCATGCCCTCAATATTGTGTGTGTGTATGTCCTTTCTTGGGGAGTTGGGTAGTATCTCCTAAACCTCGTTTGGGGAGGGTTCCATCCCTCGACATATTGAATGTTTCTCCTAGATATTCGCATGAAGCAAAGGCAAGCCTGCTCAACGGAAACTACCGCGCCATCCATGTGTGCCTGTGAAAGTGAGAACAGTTAGACCAGGTGAATGTACAAGAGGTTTGTTTTATACATATGTTGTTCCGCATGGACTTCGCTGGGGTCTCCCTGAAATATTTTCCCCAGCAGCTGACAGCTACGTGGTCTCTGCCTGGATAGGGTTCTGAAGCTTTCAGGGAGGGTTCCGGACAGTTCCGTTGGGGATATCACTGGGCTTGTTTTCTGACGCTTTCCAAGGCACACAGATTTGCGATTCGGGATTATCTGATGGAGGGGACTGATTCAGACAAGGATTGGATATGGCTGTGGCTCAAAAAACCGGAATTCCAAAATGGCTTGCCCTGGTAAGTGGACACATGGACCACCGACACTTGGTGACTCCCAGCCATCCGGTTCCTTAACTTTTTGGTTTAGTGTTTAGTGGTTGGATGTCGATTTTACCCGCTAAAAGTTCGTCACGTCGATTGTGTGTTTGCTTTTCAGGGGACCGAAGCAAATGGGGACTGATTCTTGGGCCCGGGGGATCAGGACGCCAAGGCTTGGATCCATTCCTGAAGCTCATGGATAACTTCACAGTTCTGGGGTCAAGTTTTTGTTGTTTTTGTCGTTCGTTGTTGTTTGTTGTTGTTTGTTGTTGTTTTTGTTGTTTGTGTTGTTGTTGTTGTTTTTGTTTTTGTGTGTTTTTTTTTTGGTCTTTGTTGGGTTCTGTTAGGCCTTTTGTTTGGCAGCCAGCCCTTTTCCTCCCCCAGTTGCGCTCCAATCATCCCTTTTGGGTGGTGAAGTTTTCGGCTACAACCCCTCAGGCCCATATTTTGCTCGTCTTCTTAGGCCCCCCCCCCAAAAAAAAAAAGAAGAAGCAGAACCAACAACAACGAATCTGTTTTCCTTTGGACACCACCGGGTCCCCTTGAAACCCCCCAAAACAACAACAACTCATGAGGTGTTTAAGGCTTCTTCAATTCAAATGAGAACAATCGGAAACATCAGGAAACCAACCATGTTAAGGTACCGAGTCCCATTTTTAAAACAAACCCATGTTAGTCATGTCAGTCTAGGCCCCCCCCCCTCCAACAAACAAAAACACAACAACTAATGAGGTGTTCCTCTAACACCAAAAGAAAAGGTACCTCAAAACAGGACCCCCGCGCCAAAAACAACTCTGATTTTCCTTGGACACACCCACCGGGTCCCTTCGAAACACAGCGCATCGGAGCACCTGTTCACAGGCTTCAATCCAGAGGGGTACCCGGGGGTACCCTCTGGCGGAGGAGCTCATGTGGACTCGCCACGTGGATGATATCCCAACATGAGCTAGGACCATTCCAGGTGGACCAAATTGGTGTGTGTGTGTGTCTTCACATAGGGGCACCCTCCAGATATAGTGGATGCCCCGATGTCGGTGAAAGGGGTGTGGCAAATTTCGACTCCTCAAATGAAAGCGACCTCAATGAGGGAGGCCATAACCCGCAATTCTCAAAGTTTTCGAAAATGGCCCTCCCCCGCCCTTTGAGAAAAGGACACCGAAAGGGCCTTAAACAAAAAATATAAATGTGCTCGAACCTGCCTTAAAAAAGGGGAAGCCACCCCAGAACTTGGGAGGAGTCACCCATTCTTTCACCCATTCTTTATGGGTAGTTTGAGGGTGTTATATGTATTTTCCTCCAGACCTCTCTTCACGAGACGTGAGCCGCGGCCTCCTTTTCGACACGGCGACTCCAGGCCCTCGCCTGCCTCCAAACGGGCCCGGGACCTATCGGGACCCCTGGCGGAGGAACCGCCTCGGTTCCACATTGGGTGGCACGTTTTTTTTTTTTTTGTTTGTGAATTTAGACCCAAAACAACATGCCAAACACAAATACATTTGGTGGTTGTCCTTTTGGCTTCCCTTTAAAACAAAACAAGGAGTACCTTCAAAAAGCCACTGACACATAAAAGCAGAACAAGACACCCAATTCAAGAGACGGAGCTTCTCATTCTGAAGGCAGCTTCCTTTGGATACGACGTGCCCTTCAATTCGCTGAATGTCTGAACGGTCAAGCGGAAGGGAATTAGCGAGTGCCTTTTTGGGGTAGGGCAGCCACATGGAAATCAACTTGTGTTGGGAGTCTTCACTATTGTTGGCATGATTGTTCTTTTCAGTTTGTTTTTCCTTGGTCCTGGTCATTTAAGTGGGGGGGGAGGTAGGGGGTTGCAAGAAAGCTGCCATTTGGTTGCTACCATACCAAGCGCACAGAGCATTGAACAGACGCATGGCGAAAGAAGATCGGAAGCATCACCCATGTTGCAGTGCCTGGTAGGCTGCTTGCAATAGGAGGCCGTCCCCAAGTAGACCCTATTTTCTCGGGGAACGGGATGGCCAAAGCAGCCAATGCCGGGAGGGATCGGTATGCGTTGAAATTCTCACTAGTTCGCACCCAAGTGCTCACTTTTTGGGTGGAGTCTCAAAGTTTTACGACCCAAATGCTTGGTTTCCTTTTGGATTTCCCGTGAAACCAACAAGAGTGGTTTCCCAAAACAAGCAGCCCCACACTTGGGGTTTCAGGGGCACTTTCTGTGCTACCAAGGCGGTGTTAACGTTCGCATGGATGGGAATGCCACTTTGGTATCACAGATGTCCTTCCATTTGCCTTCCAGAATGTGCGAGTTAGTGTCCTGGTTCAATGTTTGTTGTTGCAAGGCGCCTTGTTTGCGGACCTTCCATGTGCTCAAGGATATGCTTTAATTTTCCCTTGGGTTTTAGTCGGATCGATTTCACTACTGGATTTTTTTTGTTTTTTACTTTGTCCAGGGGACTTCAGCCAAGGCAGGCGAAATTGGTCAAAAAAACTGGCGATGTTTGCATTGGAGCCTCGGCGGCGACTCAATGCGAGGCGAAGGTTGATGCCGAAGGCATGGCTTCGACGTTCGACGTTCGGCGTGCGTGGCTACATGGAGCCCCCGGAAACCCTTTGTGGCTAGGTTGGAGCTGGAGGTGCTTGAACGGAATGGAGCAATCAACCCTGAGATTGGACAGAACGGGTATGAATCATACCGTATGAAGTCCTTATGGCTATTTGACTGGACCTTGGAGATTGACTTGTTGGTTGAAACTTTGTGGATGTTCCGTATTGGACGCGCAAAAAGTTGAGCACACTTTTTGGCAGAGTTTTCTTTTGTTTGTTTTCTGTCTCTTTTAGTATCCTTTCAATATGTTGCGGGTTGGATCCACAGACATGTGGGGAATCACACTGTGGTTCCAAAGTGGGCCATCCATTTCTCGCTCCCTGCGTTCATGGACTTTACCTAGGTCCCCCAGTAGTGCCCTTTTACCCTTTTTTTGGGGGGAGGGTTCCCCTAAAATAGACTACAGAAAAAGGGTACCCTTATTCTAACCTCTCAAATCTGGAGGACCTAGTTACTCACTTTTTTGGGCTTGGACCATTTCAGCGGCAAATGAAAAGTTTGTATTTTCACCTCCCCCCCAAAAAAAAGGGACAACAAACCGCCGCCATCCGCATCGCTCGCTTTGCTTTTTGCCATCACAGGCCGGGCCGGCGGCCTGGCGGCGGAGCTGGCGGCGCCGGGCCCGGGAAACATCTCCCGTCCCACGGATCGAGCCCCCCGTCCGTGGTTTTTCTTCTTCTTGTTCTCCTTTTTTTTTCCGGAGACCGGTGGTCTTTCTTCCTTTTTTCCGGAAAACAGTTTTTTTCTTTAGGGGGAACCCACATCCAAAATGAGTGTGTGTGTGTGTGTTTTTGTTTCTCTTGTTTTGTCCCTTTTGTGGGAAGAACCAAGACAAGGTCCCCAATCCGCGTAGAGTCTCTTCCGATTTTATTCGCATTGGAGGATGCTCTCCCACCACTTTACATGAAACCTGACAGGGGTTCCCTTCAAGAGGAAACTGATCTTCCGGGATGCCCCGAACGTCAGGTTCCATGCTAATTGGTGAGAGGGTGCAGTAAATTAATGAACACCCCCTATTAATCAACCCCTGTTTATTAATATGGGGGTTGTCCCTGGTTGCAAGGTGGGGATTGTTCACTTTTGGAGGAGAACACCCCCCTATTACTAAACTGGGGTTGATTAATAGGGGGTCAACATTAATTCGCGACCCTTGCCCCGTTGCTTCAAGGCCGAGAAGGACAAGGACAGACGGGGCAGCGCAGGCATTTTGGCCAAGGACGAGTCGGACGGCGAGGCGGGCCGTCTGTGAAAGCAGGGTTTCGTGCTTTGGGGTACCCACTCAAAGGGCTTGAACGCCTCGCCTTTTCGAAAATTCCAATGTCGAGTCTTCAAAGAGAAGCTTCCATTTGCTGATGGTTGTAAAAGGAAGCCATTACTACTGGAAATATGTTCATTTTCCGAGGGGGCTTAAGCAAATGGAAGTAATACCCGCTTTGTTTTTTCAATGAAAAAACCCGATTGGTCAAAAACATTCCTGAACGCATATGCCAGATGGTAGTGGTCTACGATAGTGGTGTCCCACAACAAACTATAGATTTGGGGACATCCCCAACAAATTTTGAGCTACCCTGCAGGTACCCTAAACCCCCCCCTGCGTGCGGTTTGTACCCAACCACACCTCCCAGATATCCCTTCAATTTTGAGCATCACCTTCTTTGCCAATTCGAAGCGGTTTGCTGTTGTTTTTTGGAGGGTCATGCATACCATCAAAGCAGACGTGGCCCCTGTAGAGACTCGATCCTATGGATTTCCAGCGTCCGCACGGGTTCCACCTTTGGGCGGATAGCTGGCGGGAACTTCAAGGCACGCTGGTTGACCTTCAACTAGGTCCCCCAGTAGTGCCCTTCTCTCCCTTTTTTGGGGGAGGGTGCCCCTACTAAAACCGACTGCAGAAAAAAGGGCGCCCCTATTCTCACCTCTCTACTCGAGGACCTAGTCAACATAGCTGGAGAATATTCGGCGTTTTTCCTCCACAGCTGGATTCTATGGGGTATCGGCAGTTTCGTGGCTGTTAGGGATATCACCGGGTTTTCTGTTGGTTTCCAAGGCAGATATATTACTACTGGATTGTTTGTTTGCTTTCCAGGGACCCAAGCAAATGGAGAGGACTGATTCTTGGGCCCGCAGGACATTCCTTGCAACACCGCTTCCATCAGACTGGCCGAAACGATGCACATGGAAGCCTTGTGAGGAACTGGGCGTCTTCTGTCTACTTTTAGTTTGTGAAGGGAAAACTATGTCCCGAAACCAGAAGAACCCAAGTTGCCCATGTCCCGGTTAAACAAGCGGCGCGCAAGTTCACGTTGCTCTTGTGATTGCAATCAATTCAGCCGCAAGGCTTATTTGGCCACTTTATGGGTTGATGTTTCTGAATGTCAACAGATTAAATGAATAAGTTCCAGCTTCCCCGAGCTTCACTGGAATTAGGGGGAACCTTACTTCTGAGTTCTATGGCCCTGTGGTCTTTTTGATTCATCCCAAGTCAGCACCAAGCTTTACTTAACACTTAAGAAGTAATTGGAACTGGATTCATAGTAATTTGTGCTCCTGGTTGATCATACGAGGTGTCCCCTTCTGTGTTCAAAGGTAATCCTTAGTCCTTACCTTGGGTTACGCAAGGATAGTATGTAAGAGTAGCATTCGCCCAGCCTCCATTTGACAAAGCCGGCTTGGGAGCGCTTTTCACGTGTCCACCGTTGCCTTTCCAGTTGTTGGCCTGTACGGGACACATGTTTTTGGCCGGGCCTCGCTCAAAAAACGCGGCATTTGTCTCCATGAATCTGTGCCAGGGAAAGAGGCCCGCCTGGGCAGGGGGCCCAGGGCATGGATCTTTTGGCCATTCGAAGGCTGAAGACTGGGGGGGCTCATTTTTGTTCAAAGAAAGCCGCCGTCAAGGTGATGCTAGGTGAGCTGCCTGGTAGTTGTTGGTCATGTTGGCCCCTTATGAAACTCGGGGGGGTGGGGGATAACCCCATCCAAAAGTGGTCTGATTCCCCACTCACATCAACCGGAATCGGACACCCAGTAATAAACTGGGGTTGATGAAAATATGGGGTCAACATCATTCTATTTAATCTCCCTCTGCTGGTTTTAGTGGGAATCTATCACTGCGGCAAATATGTTTTTGTCGAGGGGACCTAAGCAAATGGAGATTAATCTTACATTTCCTCGTCTGGCGGGATTAAATGGGCTCAGCTTAGAGGTCGAAAAGAGCCGATTCTGAAGAAAGGCTTGGATTCAGACGGATATGTTGCTTACCCGCAACCCGGTATCGCCGCGTGAATTGTGAAGATTTATTTTCGTTGGTGGGGGGGGGGGGGCAGGATGTCCCCTCCCCAATGAACATGGAATCGGGGGAGAGGGAGAGGCTACTCCATGTCCCTTGTTTGAAGCTTAAAAGTGGACTGTTCATTGGAACCCACTAGAATCAGAACATCGTTCCCCCCTATGATTCTTTCGGGTTTCAGACGGAAGGCTCGGCTTGGTCCACCGTTGAACAAACGGAAAACCACCTGTTTTGGGAGGCCCCGAAAAAAGAGAGGCAATTGTTTGGAAGCTGGTTTGTGGATTGCAAATCCCCCCCAGTTTGGTCCTTTTGGTACTTGTTTCGTATTCTTTGAATGGGCACTTTGTAATGAGTGCCCGAAAAAAGCGGGAAGAAACTGTGAAATCCACAAAAGCCGCATCCAAGTTGTGTTCTACAAATGCATTGTTTGAACATAAGCCATCATTCGTAACCCGGTCAAAAGAGAGGTAACTGGGAGTGTTTAAGATGTTTTTTCGTTTGGACCTCCGCCTTCTCACCTTCTGAGAGGGCAGTCAAAGGCCAAAAGCATACCCCTGCAACAGAGAACAGCACCGTTGTTGCCATGACTGGAGACTTTCTGGTTTTGCGGTGGGTTTCATTCCATTTACCCGGGCCCTCCATTTTTGCGTGCAGGGTTTGTCAATCCTCTGAAGTAATAGGAAACTTGGGCCGTTCAAGAGTGGTGTGAATCCCCCACTCAACCGGGGGTTCATTCATCCGGGGTTCCCATTGTAGTCAGAATGAGCTAGCCTTGTTCAGTCAACAAACCCTGGAGTTACCTCAAGCATCTCACAGGCAAGCAGGGAACAGCAAGTTATCACACATGCAGCCTGGGCTTTATGTGTTGACCTTTCTTTCGAATAAAGGGAGCTCCTTACAGGGAGGTTCTCAACTTTAACACTCACGTTGGCACCCCCCTTCTTCATGGTTGTTGTTGGGAAACATTTTACATTTTTGCTTATTGTGGGTTTAGTGGGAAATCCCCACTTAACTGCTTAAATCTATTTTTGTTGCCCCCTTCCAACGTCAACCAAGTCTTCGGGCATGCAACCACAGCCACGTAGCACGCCTCTCACTGCAATTCACCCCCCCGCGGCTGAGATGGACTCCGGAGATGAGAAGGAGACACTTCTCGCTCGCGACGACTCGCTCGAAATTGGTGGCTTTCCCTAGACTTTCCAGTGCCCTTTCCAGTGCCCTTTCTCGCCGGGGGAGGCGGGGGATTGGAACGGATTCCTGAATTTTTGAGGAACGGACAGGGGCTCATTCTGCCTTGTTGAACATCAACAAGTGGCACCAGTAAGTTGGTCTGGAGGTGGAAATCTAGCTAGGTCCCCCAGTAGTTCCCTTCTCTCCCCGTTTTTGGTTGGGAGGGTTCCCCTACTAAAATAGTCAAAAAAGAAAGACGGTATTAAGTTATTCTAACCTCTCAAATCTGGAGGACCTTTTCTCTTCTTTTTTTTGGCTTCGCTCAACAAACCATGGAGCCAACAAACTAGAAGGATCATTGGGCTTCCCGAAGCTTGTTTCTTCCAGTGGCTTGCTCCTTTCTACGACTCTCTAAATGAAACAGGGTATGTAGCCCGTGTCTAGGGCTTGTCGGTGGTTGTATACCCCTATTTGCCCTTGAGGTTGCTTGAACAGTTTGGAACTGGGTAGATGGTCATACGATACTTGAATGTGGAACCCTAGAAAGCAGGCTACAAGCATGGTTAGAAGGGAACAACTCCAGTATCTGAAGCTATAACCATGGTTATAATCTAAGTCACTTGAAGATTCAACCCAGGTTGTTCGTTCGGGTCCTTTTTGATATCTGGCCTAAGGCGGCACGTTTGGCCCAAAAAGGAAAGGAACCGGCGATCTTTTTTGACCACCCCCCCCAACTGGTCTACTAGCGGTTGTAATTGTTTGGCCTCTTCTGTTGCTGGTAAGATAGGGGACGAGAAATGGAATGACCCCGAGAAAAACATGCAACTGGTGGTTTCCTTTAAGGGAATTCCTGGGTTCGTTCCATTTCACATTCCCTACCTATCGCACCAGCAATCGACATCTCCTCCTCGAAAGCCAAGCCGGAACGGGCCAGAGCTCAAGTTTGTCACAATCCTATGGCCGACTTTTTTAGCCTCAATGGAAGTGAAACCAGCGAAGAGGGGGGGTGGTTGGAAAAACCCTGGAGATCTTCTTAGTTTCATTTTCCCTGCGGAGAAGGCGCCCGTGGGAACTGGGGGACCCTCCTTTCTTCTGGCCGTGGATCTGAAATTTATTGTTCTTGTTTGGCCCCGGACCCCATGCTTGGGAAGGCCATTGGGGAAAGAACATGGTCGGGCTTGGATTTGTTGTTGGCCATTCCCGCTGCATTTTCAGCGTTCCAAATCCTAGGAAAAAATAGGACATAGAACTGTAGGACTTTCAGCCAGTTGACCGACAGCTGAGCCACCTTGTAATGTAGCAGGGGTACCCTCCTCCAGAAACGGTGCTCCCCCACGCATTCACGAGTGGGTACATGGGAGTTACTGTGTGGGCAGGGGTATTATTTGGCCCAGTCAACCTCAAACGGTGGGAGTGCGCGACAGTTGTTGGCTGATCTCAGGGTTTGCCGTTTGACTTGTTCTGCCGGAGGCCCCGTCTCCCAAGAAGGCAGGGCTTTCTGCTTTGAAGGGGGCGATTGGCTAGCGGACGTTGAAGGTTGCGTGACCCCATTTGAAAGCCCGATGCCGAAAGGAAAGCAAGAGGAACGCAACTGCATGAGGCAACGTATACCATGTTTCTTTGATCCTATTGGGTTAGATCTTTAGGCTTTAACTTGTTGACTGAAGTTAAGTTTGTTTTCCGAAGTGAACCCACAGACAAAGTCGTCAACTTTTTGCAGAGGGGTCGTTACAGCCACCAAGCTTCCCTCCAGATGAACATGAAACCCCCAACAAAACATCATTTGCAGAAACAACTCCTTGTTGCATGAGAATCGGACCCCCTTTTTGGAATTCCATGTTAATCTGTGGACGTGTTAATCGCTTGTCTTGATCTAAAAGTGGCCGCTGAAGCAAACCTTCAATATCTTGGCTTTTGCACCGGGACCTGGTTCCTCCTAAAACAAGGCCGAGGAACGACCAAACAAAGCCAAGCGAACCACGCGTTCCTACTGTGGATGGACGAAATCCTTCACCACCTGGGAAACCCTGGAATCATGATTCCCTTGTAAAACCCAACCAACAATGGTGTCCTATGGATTGAAAGTGGTGCGAAATGGATTTTGTCCATGTTAGAACACCAGAAACCAGCCCAAAACATGGCGTAGTCGGATCCTGTAGATCCTGTAGCCCTTGCTGGATCCTATAGCCTTGCGATTCGTAAGTTGAGCATGTGGAGGGGTTCTCGCAGCTATTGTTGGTCGTTTCCTGAAAAAACAAAAAACACCATTCGGAGGATGACTTTCGGGATGTCACGTGCAGTCACTTCCCGAGCTCATGGACTTTAGTCACTTTTTTGGGAGACCATTTTACTGGTAAACAATCGGTTTGGGCTTGTTCTGGCCACTCTCATGTCAATTTCGCGGGTCCAGTGAAAGCTCAAGTTTGCAAAGTCGGCACAGGTTGCGCTTGGTGGCCACTCCCTATGGCTGTACAAGCCTAGTTCGGACCCGGCCATCTTCCCGAAGAGTGACCTTGTGAAACATACTGTGGATGGCGACATCACTTTCGCACCACTTTGACATCATGGTTGAAACCATGGCGTTTGCTGGCGGTTGCTGGCGTTTACAGGGAAATCGAATCATTCCATATGTTGTAAGGTGGTGCGAAATGGATTTCGCAACCATCCACAGTATGTCAAAACGGGGTGAGCCCCTTTTTTTTTCGGATCATTTGCAGTAGGACCAGGATCCAAGCTTTTGTCACTGTGGCCAGAGCCATGCACTGGCTGAGCCATGCGGGTTTTCGGCAATTCTAATTGTAAGGGAAATGTCCAGGTGCATAGATGTCCTTTTTAGGTTAGTGTGGTTAAACATAGAAGGCACTGGTTTAGCTGGGTTTTATGCCATTTACCAGGGCCATCTATTTTTTCCAAAAGGACACTGTCCCTCAAAAGGTCAGGGCAATTTCCGCCCAACGTTTAGAAGTGCTGGCATCGCGTTTTCTCAGTGACAGGCAGCTCTTATGGTTGGCTCCTTTGCCATAGCCACTGCCAACCAAGGGGGCCACCCTTCAAGCATCAAAACGTGGTAAAGCGGAATCAAAATATATATATATATATGTGTCGGACTATAAATGTAGAGATATGTGTCATCATTTGAGGGTACTTACCCCCTTTCTTAGTGGTTTAAGGGCAAACGAAACGGACCGCATGTTTTTTTGGCAGGGGGTTCCCCCCAAAAAAGGGCCCCATCTGCGTGTACTAAACTGGGCACTTGGGATCCACTGGCAGAGCCGAGGGCGAAGCCGACGGCCCAAACTCTGAGCCGGGCGGCCGAGTTTTCGCAAGCGCGGGAAGGCAATGGGGAAATTGGACCGCGGTGGTTCGTCCATGGCTTCCACTGCCCAGCACTTGCCAGGCTTCCATGTTGGCTATTTTTGTTGATTCGCCTCCAGCCCGGTGAGCGCCCCTCCTTGGAATAATCTTTTCCCAAGGTCCGAGACGGTTCTTTCCACCTCCAGCCCGGTGACCCCTTCCCCCCACAAGAACCAGGATTGACACCCCCAAACCCGGAAACCACCAATCCAAGCCACCAACGCCCGCCAAGGACCAAGTCGGGCTTTGCCGGGTTGCAGGAACCAGGCATGTTTGGGGCTTCCTATGTGGAGAGACACCGACAACCATGGCATTGCTGAAACCCTTCCCCCGAACCGTAAAACGCATCCAACCTTTGAAACATATGCCTAGAACCCAAAAAATTGGGGGGGGGGGGGGGCGGTTCCTTCCTGTTTTGGTCTTCGGTCCTTTTCTGACCCCAAAGAGGCTTCCCACCTGCCGTGAACCACTTGGTGTTAGCAGAAGACATCGCTATACTTCAGTATTGTTTAAAAAAACTGAAAAAACTTGCCTATTCCAACTTTAGTATGCGACTCTGGATGTTGAAGTGCAAATCCTTTATTTCCAGTGGATCCATTTACCTGCATCATGGCTGTTGTTGGAACACATTCTACATTTTTGCTTGTTGTGGTTTAGTGGGAAACCCCCACTTAACTGCTATACATTTAAATTGTTTGCTCCCCTTCCAACGTCAACCAAGTTGTAGTAGTTTTGGTGCATTTTGCTCGGATGTTAGGACTGAACAACTTTTTTACCAACTAGTGGGTTGTCTGTATTAAACCACTAAAACAAAAAACTTTTCGCAGGGCTTCGCAGAAAGCCGCTGAGTATAGTCAACATTCAAATTCATCTTGAGAAACATGGGTCCAGTTGTCGACATTTCGGACCCAACGATTCTCCCGGTTTACAACATCCAAAGGAAACGAGCTGGTGACATGCAAGGGGCTTCTGTGGGATCCGCGATCTCTAAGGTCCAAGGCTACCAAGGCGTCCGTGGGATGCCGTTGGGTGCGGGCGGGTTTGCCCTTGGATCGGCGCTTGCTTTTCTGCGCGAAAGGTGGGGGCCAACCTGGAAAAAAACGGGGGAGAAAAACAAAAACAGGCCCAGTGCTGGTTAGATCTGAGTTTGCGTTTCTTTTTGATCCAAAGATGATGATGCTATGAACGGTTTTTGTTTTTTTGATCATGTTATGTTGGCATCTCCCGCTAAGCTACTATTCAACCGGGTGAGGGGCAAAAGGGGCAGTCAGACCAAAGTGCCACATTCAGCCTTTCCATTTGTGGGACAGCTACATTTAGGTTCCAGAGTTGCCACATATGAGTCTGTGTGTGTGTATTTTACAGGGCACCCTTTTTGGGGTTGGTTTCAAGCGGGACACCAGCACGAACACAAACTCATGTTCAACTGTTCGGCAGGTTGGTTCAAACAGGGGCCCCCCTAAACTCCTTGGTTTCCTTCCAGTTTCCCTTGGACACCCCAGACAAGGGGTACCGAGCCTCACACAGACATACATCGCATATATCTACCCCAACTGCTCACTCCCTGAGTTCCTGGACGTTAGTCACTCTTTGGGCTTGCGCCATTTAGCGGCAAACCAGAACCGTTCGGTGACTTTGACTTTGGCCAATTCACGTCGCAACTAGGTTTCCCGGTAGTGCCCTTTTACCTTGTTTGGGGGAAGTGTTCCCCTACTAAAATAAACAAAACAGAAAAAAAAGTGGGTACCCTTATTCTAACCTCTCAAATCTGGAGGACCTAGGCAAGTGTCTTAGGCCAATTGCCACCTCGCAAGTGAAAGACGGGTCGGCGGACTTGCTTGTTGCGAAGGAGGAGCAAGAGTTGGACTATATGAGCCAGCCGTTGGTGCCGGCCGAGAAGTGCCGAGCCCAGAATCGAGAGAATCGAAGGCGTCCGATCGAGTCTCGGTGCCCTTATGTGCCCTTGCTCGCCCTGTTTTTGGTTGGTTTTGGGTTCCCCTACTGAAATAGACGAGAGAAAAAAGTTGGTTCCCCTTTGTAACCTTTCTACTCCACCTAGGAGAGCCTTTTTGCGGTTTCGAGCCAAAAAAAGCGGATGGGTGTTCGATACGGTGTCCTTCATGGCAGAGCCCGTTGGTTTGTAGGTTCATCCCATTAGTATTTTTGTGGGAAGTGTTTTGGTCTATGGGTCCATCCCGTTGGGTTTTTTCTTTAGGTTCATGTGGGTTGCTTGCACTTGCTTTTTGTAGCTGAATTGTAGTTTATGTGGGTTCCTGAGAGAAGGCAAAACGCGATTTGGGGCCGGAACAGCGCAAAGAATGGTTGAAAGATGGCCGGATCACATCAAACACAGGAGTTTTTAGGTTCCCACGGTCTGCGAGGGAGCCCCTTTTCCCACAACTTCAAGCATGCCTGTGTCATTTTTGCTTGCAGGCTCTCTTGTGTTTCTTTGCTGATTGCTTGGATTTGCGTTGTGTTTTCTTGTGGTTGTTTGAGTCTGCTTTTTCCTTCTACCTGGTTTACCAGTTGCTGTTTCTTTCCATGCACTTTACCCCAAACACCAGCACCCGTGACTGAAAAAAGCAGCAGGCAACTTGGCTATCTAGGTATCCGTCTCTGGTTCTAGGACCCCTAGTAGTGCCCTTTTGCCCTTTTTGGGGTTTTGGGTTCCCCTACTAAAATAGACACAACAGAAAGACATCGGGTACCAACTTATTCGAACCTCTCAAATCTGGAGGACCCAGTTCCTTTTGTTTAGTATTTGTGCTTCTCAAAAAAAGAAAACAAGAGCGTTTGGTTGGGGTACGATTTTTTGTGTTTTCCATCCACCTTTTGGTCTGGTTTCCCCCGTTTTTCTCTTCGATTTTTCCGTGGGCTCGGGGGGCCTGAGGCCCGCGGCCAAGAAGCCCGCCTGGGCCTTGGACTCGACGCGGTGCGCTGGTCGTTCGGCGGGGTTCGGTGTTTGGTCGGTTGGGTTGAGGGTCACTTCCGGGGTTTTCCGCTTTTTGGACTTGGTCTACCCCCGGAGTTTCATGGTGGGGTGCAAAGGCTTGAGATGGGGGTGGTTTGAGATGGGGGTGGTTTGTCACTTTCTTTTGGCTTGGTTTGAGATGGGGGGGAGAACCCCTCCAAAAGTGCTAAAAGTTGGGTTACTTTTGGCCAGTCCACTCATGTGAGAATATGGCCTGGTTCTCTGAGTTTTGTATTTTGTGATGTTGTTTTGTTGGTTTTGGTTTAGCGGTGTTTAGTTGTTTTGTAATTATTTGTTCCATTTGACCCACCAAAAACAAGTCCCTTTGGGGATCAGACGTTTAGGTTTGCTTGGTATTTTTCGATTTGACCCACTAAAGATTAGTCACCTTGGGGATCAGAAAATGGGCAGCCCAGTTTGGCAAATAAAGCTTTTTGGGGCTCAAATAATTTTCCTCAGGATTCGAGGAACTGCCTTATTTCCCTCTTCAATTGTTGGTATGGTTTGAGGTGTTTAGTGTTTTTTGGGTTCTGTTCATGTTTAGCGGGGAGCTGCAAAAACTAAAGCTTGTTGCTACCAAGGGTTGGAAAGTCGGCCCTGTTGGTGGGCGATTTCGGGTTCCTTCTTGGGTTCCATGTGAATCTGTTCTTGAAGGGCGGGTACTTAGTGGTTAGTACGCCTGGTCATAAGCCACTGAACGCAGACTTGTATCCATTCTAGGGGTACCTTCCCCATTCTTTCTAGGGATCTTTCTTTCTAGAAAGCCTCCGGAAATGGGGAACGGGTCCGGTTTTTGGAAACGCTGGTCGAAAAGAATGGACGCTGGTTGAATCAACCCCTAGATCCTGGCAAGTGGGTTGCCATGGTTACTAACTGACTAAGTACCCTGCCCATAGGTGTCCTTTCTGGTTGATTTGGTTGACATCGAGGGCGGTTCCTGGTTTACCTGGTGGTTCAATCAACTACCAGGGAAACCCATCGATTTTCAAACAAAAAGGACACCTATGAAGGGGGGGTTTCCTTCCAATCCTTAAGGAAACCTAGAGAATTCGGGGAATGGGCTCAAGGAAGCTTTGCCCCTTTGCCCCTTTGCCCCTTTGCCCCTTTGCCCCTTTGCCCCTGGCCAAAGCCCCGTTTGGTTGTTCGGCCGCGCGGTGGATTTCTGCGGAAGTTTGTTTGTTGCATTTTGCGAACGGATGTTAAGACTAACTTTTCGCCAACTTTTTTGGGCTTTCCGAATTGAACCGCTAAACTTATGATCAGACGGTCTCGGACAGGAGGGGTTTCAGAGGAGCAACAAGCAACTCAAAAAACAGTCAAGAACAATGCAGCCAAAAAACTCAACTGAGATCAGGTCTTAACGCTAACAGTTAGTCACAGGGTTGTGGGATCACTCGGGGTTTATCCAACCACTTCTGTGGTACAAGTTGGAATCTCGCCCTTTTTATGGCAGCTCTGTCAATTTGGGGTTAGGCCCTTGTATCACAGAAGTGGATTCCGTTTCCCACCGCCTTGGTTCGTCACTTTCAGCAGTGCTTCTCAGATTTATCGCCGCCAAGTGGTTCGATTTCTGCGTCGATTTCGCATCGCAAGCGAGGTGTCTCAGGCCTTGGCCGGGCAACCGCCCCGCGCCAGCATCACCAACCCCTTCCACGCCCGGCTGCTGGCACAGCAGCAGCGAGCGGGAGGCTCAGAAAGAAGAAGAAGAAGAAGAAGAAGAAGACGAAGAAGACGTGTTTTTTGTTGTTTGAGTTGTTTTTGTTGTTTTCTTATTATTTTCCTTGTGTTTTTCTTTCGAGAGTTTGTGCTTATTGTGTTGTGTGTGTTGTTTTTAGGGGTGTTTTTCTTCGGTTTTTTGCTCGCGAGTTTTGCTTTTGTTGTTTGTTGTTTATAGCGGGTGTCGTTTTTGTTGAGTTGGCACCCTTTTCTCGAGAGCTTCTTGCAGGGGTGTTTGTTTTTTCTTGAGAGAGATCCTTGTTTAGGGGGTGTCTTTTTTGTGGTGGGCACCCTGCATTTGAAGGCTAGCTGGTGCTTGGAGGGGCCGGACTCGGAGCCGGGGGTATCCAAACTTGCCTTTGAATATTTAGTCTTGTGCTCCGCTTTTTTTTCCAGCGATGATTTTGAACCTTTTGGCTGGGGTGCGGTCAAACCCATTCACCGTTTTGGCGCTGGTTAGAGGAGCCAAGCTTTTCGGGTTTGGTTTTCCCGTGACACTGTTTTGCTTGCCCTTTGGATTGCAGCATGTTTTTCATTTTCTTCTCACCCCTTAGAAATGGAATTGGGGAGCAGTCTGACCAGGGAATTTCAATGGTGGTTCCATTGTCCCTTTTACAGGGACTAGAGCATGGAATTGGAGAACGAGCCTCCGCCCCCTCCCCCTCAAGGTAGATGCCTTCCCTTTATTTAAGCTCAACCAGCAAAAGGGCACCTGTTTGTCGCATGGCCATGCTTTTGCCTTTGTCGGGAGCACTTTTTGGGAATAGGCTTCAAAGTGACTGGCAAGGGAAGCCAGAAGCACAACCACCTGTTCGTTTGGGCCGGGGGGAAAAGGGGTCCACGTGTTTGAGTCCCTCAACGCGATTAGATTTTGAAGGGTTCTCAACCTTACTTTTAGGGTGCCGGTTTCCCTTCAAACCTTCAAACAGCTCAGAGGATCACTCGTTGAATATGTCACCGAAATGGACCCGTTTGTTTTCTCCAGGAATGCGATGTACCAGCCTTCGGCCTTTCCCGCGGGCCTTTGACGGTTTTCGGGAACAAAGGGGTCTGACCCCGAAAAGAAGATTCCGATCATTGGGTTTTTTGGGTTCCATGTGGATCTTTAGCTTTTTATATGTTTTTTTTTGTGTTTAGTGGTTGGGTAATGTTTTCGCCACTAATTAGCAGAAATTCGGGACTTTCCGTTGGCCAGTCCACTCATGATAATATGGCCCTGTATTCTTTGCCTAGTGATGGCCTTCAAGTGCACTCCCGCAGTAGAACGAGGGACAGCGGGGATCCATATGCTTGCTCCCCACCTTCCGCTTGCTGCTTGCCCTTTTCGCCGCCTGGTAGAAATGAGAACACATGTCCGGAAATTCGTGAGAACGATTCACTTGAAAACCCACAAGGGATTCGTTTAAATGAATTCAGCCGTATGGGCAGAAGGCCAAAAGCACAGGAAACAAGTTTTTGGGGCGAATCGTTAGGATATCGTTAGGATCTTCCATTTGTTGAAATGAATGCTTTGCCTTTCCCTGTTATTGCTTCAGGGAATCGGTTTCACTACTCGACATATGTCGCCTTTTTTTCTTTTTCGGGGGACTTAATCAAATGGAGGATGGTGTGACACCAAATGTCTGAGGGTTTTGGTATTACACACCCTTGGGAAATGACCCAGAATGGTTCCAAATAACACGGTTTTATCCGGAAATGTGCCTTTTCTGGGGTCAATACCCAGTGGGTGTTTTCCCAGGGTGTAGTACACAAACTTTCAGAAAACTCCCTTTTGTGGGGAAGACTGAATAAATGGAGTTGTGGGACCCCCCACCCCTCCCCCTTCAGGCGGGTATTTTGACACCGCCCGTCCAGTTCTGCGGGCCGAGGAGAAGGAGCGGGCGGAAGCCGACGCAAAGGCCAAAGCTGAGGCCGACGAGAAGGCGATGGTTGCCCGGTACCTTACCGATTCCCAGTCTAGTTTTCAAGAAGATCACCTGTGGAAAGGGGACATGTTAGTGGGTGTTGCGTTTTTTTTGGGGCTCGGTACCTCTGATTTGTTTGGTTTTTCTTTGGGGGGAGGGGGGCGAAACTAAAATCTCTTTGCAGACGCGGTCCCTCTAGTTTGATACATACCCAGTGGTTCTGCCTGGCTTCCTGGGCCATACAAGGCCCTTCAAGGCCATCTTGGAGCCAAAAGGCACTGGGTGCAACGGGCACTGTTCACCTGAGTTGGTGCTGACTGCACTTCGTAGCAGGTTTCTATGGGGTGATTCCTCGTCCATTCTTTCCAACCATAGTTCTTTTCGAGAACAGGCCGTTTCATTGGGTTTCCGGAGGTTTTCTAGAAAGAAGGCTGGAAAGAATAGGGAATGTAGCACTAGAAGGTTTCTGTCACTTCCAGTTAACCCAGCGACCCAGACACATGGGTTACTTCCTTGAGAAGCAGCTTTTGTTGGGGCTGGGCCGCTTTAGCATCTACCAAAAGAAGGCAAACTGGGAAATCAACGCAAAGAAGCAGTAGCGAAGCATCGTACCACATTGTTTTTCCATGGAAATCCATGGACCCAAGTTGGCTGGGCCGACCTTTCAGTCTGAGTTCTTCCATTTGCTAAAAAGGTTGTGTGTGCTTTAGCCAAAAACATCCCTTGATCCTTGGTTTTAAAGTGAGTCTATCACTACTGGAATTAGGTGAATCAAGAAGGAAGTTTAATCGCAACGTTTTTTCCAGGGGCGCAAAAGCAAATGGAAGAGATTGGAAGAGTATGCTCCCTCTAAATGTAAGATTGCGAGTCTAAGTTTGCTCTCTTCGAATTCACTCAACTTCCCTCTATCAGGTGATTAGCCGAATTGGTGGAGCCCGGCAGTTCAGCAAGGGCTCCCAACTAAACCCCTTACAAAAGCCAGAGGTTCAATTCTAAACCCAAACCACCAATCCAAGCACTAACTGAGGGTTACCTGATTAAGCTGTGTGGTCCCGACTTGTGTTCGGCATGAGGCTTGTGTGGGCCGTAGCAAGAGGCTCCTAGACCAGCCGCCGAACTTCAACGATTCGCCGCCCAGCAGGCAAAGCAAGAAGAGGAAGTTAGACAAAAGGCGCCCCGCTTGCCCACAGCGAGTCGAGCAGAGTTTGTTTCCTTTTTGGGTGACTTGGTCTTGCTTTTTGAGGCCCTCGTACTGTACACTTTTTGGCGATGTATTTTTGCGGTCCCTTGCTTTGACCATGGTTACAACCCCGGCTTTTGGGCTGGCAACACACAGCGTTTTTTTTCAACCATCCCAATGATTTGGGATTGTTTGCTATGCAAACTCGCAAGCTGCTCTCTCACCATGGGCCCTAAAATTTTAAAAGGGACATTTCACTGGGAGAACAGCTGTCCGCTAGACCCAACTGGAACCAGGGTTTGATGGGGGCTGAGTTACACACTGGCTTCCAGGAGCTTGACTTACTATGTGCCCCAGGTGCCCTTCTCTCCCCCTTTTTTTGGGGGAGGGTTCCCCTACGAAGATAGACTGCAGAAAAAAGGGTACACTTATTCTAACCTCTCGAATCTGGAGGACCTAGCCAAAGCTTAGTTGCCTGCCAAGCTAGGCTTGTGTTGATTGTTTCTTCATCAACAAAACATAATAATAGTGGAGGTGTGCCTCTTGGCTTCCCTTTGTTTTCACCCCTAGCCTACGCGTCAAATATAGTTCAAACAGGCGTGTGTAGGGTACTTTCAAGCCCAAATTCGTCATGATTGTAGGAGAAAACTAGTGGAACCTATGTAGCCCGGTATATTACCTCACGTCCCGACTCCCATCGCCCGAAACCACTTTTCTTTGGAACTACCCGCACAAAAGAGCAAAGTCGAAGCACCAAACAACTAAGCAACAACATCTCTACTCTTGGTATGGTAGCAAAAAACTTTGTTTTTTTGCAGACCCCCAGTAAAAATGAACAGAACCACCAAAAAACTAAAAAACATGCCAAGAACAGTGAAGACAATGTCAACGGTGAAGTTCTGCGGGGGGTGGATGCCCTCAAAGCCAAGAATCACGGAACAAGTGAGTGTATCTGAATAAAGCAAGCCTTTCCATCCAGCAACTCAACGAGCTTAGCGTCTAGTGTATCTTAAACCAACCCCAAAAAAGGCAGACCCAAATTGGAACTCCCAGCGATTGTCGCCATTTGTTCCTGGGGTTGCCAGCGCAACATGGGGCTTCCCGTGCCTTCAATACAGGGGGCGGGTCCGGTTTTCCCCGTCGATCCGAAATCGGGGACAACGTTGGCTTCAAGGAATCAGAAATCACTGACCGGCTGCGGTGGCTTCTCAAATACGGCTGACTACTTCCATACGGCTGACTCACTTCCTGAGCAGGTTGGCCGACAAAAGTATAAACCTGTTGTTTACCAAAAAAAATTGACCAAACCCAAAAAGCGACAACAGTCCAGAATTTGAGCGAGGAACAGACTAAGACTAAACAATCCATTTCCTTTTGGTTCTACTAAGACGGTTAACACCCATAGGTGACCTTCTGGAATCGCAAATGGGCTTCCTGGCAAATGGAATGACACAGTCTAAACCAGTGGAACCCATCTATTTCTGGCCCCAACCCCATCAACAAAGTACCAAAGACACGGCCATACTGTGGATGGGCGCAATCCTGCACCAAGTTCAAGCCATGGGAAACCCATTGTTTGTTGGCATTTACAGGGGCATTGAATCATTCCCTTGGGTTTCTGAACGGTGTTGCGTTGGATGGATTTCGCAGCTGTCCACAGCAACGCGGGGTGTTTTCGGTTTGGGCCCCGAGGTACGCTCCGCAAATCTCTCGCGGCTCGCTCCGCTAGGAGCAGCATCTGAAAGCCCAGGGGGACCTCAAGTCCCGCATGGAGGAGGCGAGATGATTCGAGACGGCGAGACCGAATGGAAGCGATGGATGCGATGCTTGTGCGTTTTTCTAGAAACATGTGGGAAACCATGCTTTGTTCTAGGGGTTGATTCCTTTTCCACTCTTTCCAACCATCGTTGTTTTCGGAAACCAGCTGTTTCCCTGGGTTTGTGATGGTTTCCTGAAAAGAAGGATCCCTGGAAAGCATGGGAAAGGTAGCGCTAGTTTTGTAGGTATTTGCGAGGGAATCATCAATCCAGAGTTTCTTAGGGGGTGCGAGAATGATTTTGTCCATCCACCGGGCTCCAAACCACCAACCTGACCGGGTGCAACTGATAGCTGAAGCCACTTCCCCAGAATTATCTCCCCTTTTGGGGTTTTTGCTTTTTGCCCCCTCTTTCTTCCACTAACCAGGAAAGCACAGAACCCCCACAAGGGGGAAAAAAGAAAAAGCAACTTGTTTTTCCAGAAACATAGTTTGTTTTGCCAAGGAAGGAACCAACCTGAAGGCCAGGGGCCTGCCTGAGTGGCGTTCCCAGTGCAAAGTAGGGTTGGTTGCCCAAACAGCTTCCATGTGCTGAAGAATATGTTGTAGTTTCCCTGTCTTGTTCCAGGGGGCTTAAGCAAATGGAAGTGTAGGCCTCGAAATGGGAATCGGACCCTAACAAAGTTGTTGCTTGACCTCTGATTTACTTGCTGGTGCTCGGAAATGAGCCAGAACCTTGCGACTGAACCCAGGCAATTTGGCCATTACGGGAAACCAGCAGTTGGATGGGTTCTACTTGGTCATTCCTTAGCCCAACAAGGGGTGAGCCTCAAAGAAAACAAACAAAAAACACGGACAGACCCAAGTGACCGCTGGCTCAGGAGAAGAATAGAAGAGAAGCCGAGCTGCGCCGGGCTCCCAGCCGAGAAACCAAAGGCTTCCGCAAATCGGTCCCGACGGGTTGGGGCGCGGTTCGGTTGAAGCAGAAGCCGGGTGGTGGGATCACTCGAAGTTTCTCCAACCACTTCTGTGATACAAGTTGGAATCATTCCCTTGAAGGGAATCCCCTTTTTTTATGGGGGTTGGTCTTTGGGAGGCCCTTTTTGTGGTATCGCAGAAGTGGACTCCATTCCCCACAGCCATTTCGCAGAAGCGATCGGTGCAGGGAGGGAATGACAGGGTGGGAGCCCGGGTGTCGAATCGGGAAACCATAAGTTGGATGCCTGGATGCCTAGATAGCCAAGTTGCTGCTTTTTTCAGTCACTGTTGCTGTTTTTGGGGGTAAAGTTCATGGAAAGAAGCGATCGCAACTGGCGATCCAGGTGGTTTATACCGCTAGGTCGTAGCTACCAATCCCGTGGGGATTTTAAGACATCTCTGGGCTTGAGGGAAAGCGCTAAAAAGTGCACAAGGGACGTGGTCACCGGGCTCTTCGCGATCTAGGGGCGGGTTCTTGATTCTTGCTTGGGTTCTTTGGTTCTTGGGGTACTGCGTTCTTGGTCTTGGGTCCTTGCAAAAAAGTGTGTGTTTCGAGCCTCAGATGTTTTCTATGTCCACGTTAGTTAGGTGTGACAAGGGTGTTTTCCGCAGCCATGTTTTTGCTGACGCCTTTCGGATGAGCCACATCCTTGTGTATTGCGCGCCTCAACATGAGGCGCATGCATGCCCCCGAAAGGGAGTCAATAGATTGAGACACTCGGCATGGGTAAGAGTCAAGAGGTCTTGGTGCCATGAAGGATTGTTCATACGGATCGCCTCGTTTCGGTTGGTGAACTATGTGTTACTTACCCTCCCAGCAATTAACATGGAACCTGACATGGGGTCCCTTTAAAGGAACATTATTTTCCAGCACCCCATCGGGTTTTGTGTTACTTGAGGGTACCGGCTTTTGGCTGGGCGACTTTTAGACTTAGCCGTGAGCTGTCATTCTCTACAGGCTCAGGTTGACCTTCTCAGGGTTCCAGGACTTGCGTTTAGGTGCGCAATGCACCAAGGCTTTGTTCGCCAGAGGCCTGTTTTGAGCTGCTTTATTTGGCCCGGGTGGAAAAATTCCCTTGCAAATGGAGCGGGGGAAGGGGGGTTACCCCTGGACTTCCATTTGTAGGTCCAGTTTCCCCTTTTGTGGGGAAGACCAAGGAAATGGAATTGGGGGACCCCGCCCTCTCCCTGGGGACGCCCCAAGAAGCCAAACCCACCCCCCCTCCTGATTGGGGGTTGAAGGGCTGTTGCTCCCATTGAAGCTTGGGGGAGCTGTGGTCATTCCCTTGCAGTTGCTTCACTCTACTTGGTGCTTTGGCAGTACTTGCCTTTGCTGATATCCACGTTAGGTCACTCTAGTGCTTTGGTGCACGTTGCTTCACCTTACTGCTTGGCTTGGTCCAGCTTGCAGTCCCTCAGGTAAGGTTGCCGAGGCGCGCCCGGCTTCGGGATCGCTTTTCTGGTCGGTTGAACAAAAATGGACCTGCGCTGTGGGTTTTGCCTTCTTAGGTTCACCCTTCTTTGGTGTCTGTTTTTTCAAGGGCTTCACCACGAGCAACGAAACACAAAATGTCCGCAGAAAGTCGACGCAAAGTCGTGGGAGAATTGGGGACCCGGGAAGCTGGCCACAGCGAAACCAGCACCACTGATTCCTCGAAGCCAGTCCGGTTCCTTGGCTTTTTAAATCTTTTTAGATCGTAGTGGGGGGGGTTCCATTCAACCCATTAAAGGTTAAGCTTTTAGGGGATCTGATGAGAGCCCAGTGGCGTGTTGACAGGAAGTCACTTCAAAAGGAAATTGATCTTCCAGGCACCTCCCCACAGGTGCCATGTTGGTGGCAGGAAGGGTAGTCTTTTGTGTTCTGTTCATTTCTTCAGGGAAACCAACTAGCAGGGATACGGGGGCAACCAGGGATACGGGAGGATCCCCCCTAAATGCACCTTGACTACGTTTGATATGGGAAATGGCGCCAAGGGAATCCCCCCATATCCCTGCTCTCTCCGTATCCCGCTTGTTCGTTTGTCCAATTTCCGCTGGGCTGCAACAAACGTGTCGTGTTTGTTCTACCGTAGAGGGGCGTGGACAGGAAGGAGACAGGGAGACAGAAAGGGTCAGAGAAACAGAGAGAGAGAGAGAGAGAGAGAGAGAGAGAGAGAGAGAGAGAGAGAGAGACAGAGAGGGGGAGATTTAGGAGAGAAAGGCTTGGGGATGGGGAGGATGGGGAGCAGAGGGAGGGAGAGAGGACGACAGAACACACGAGGGAGACAAGGGAGAGAGGAAAAAGGAGAAAAGGGAGAGGACAATGTCGGCGGACTGAGACGGAGGCTCTAAAGTTTGAGAGGTTAGAAGAAGTTGGTACCAACTTTTGTTTTGTCTATTTTAGTAGGGATTGAACCCTCCCAACCAAAAAAGGGGTTGAAAAGGGCACCTAACTGGGGGACCTATTTAGGGGTTGCCGGGCAAGTCTCTCTCTCTCTCCCGCTCTCTCCCTGTCTCTCTCTTTCTCTCTTTCTCTCTTTCTCTCTTTCTCTCTTTCTCTCTTTCTCTCTTTCTCTCTTTCTCTCTTTCTCTCTTTCTCTCTTTCTCTCTTTCTCTCTTTCTCTCTCTCTCTCTCTCTCTCTCTCTCTCTCTCCCTCTCTCTGCATTGCGGCGTCACGTTCCCCCCTGAGTTGCCTCGATGTCATGTCCGGGCACTGCCTCTTCATGACCCTGAACTGTCATCTCACTACTGGCTTTCCCCCTGATTTCCCCTTCATGTCCTTTTCACGTTTCCCATGATGTTCTGGTCATGTCCCTTCCATTCCTTTCAACTCCCCCTTCATGTCCCTGTCATTTCTCGGTATGTCCGCTTCATTTTCCATGTATGTCCCGTTCTTTCGTTGCGAGTCATTTCCCTACATCTCCTGTCGTGCCGATTGGTTTCCTTGTGCTTTCATTCCACCTGCGCTCGCCTTGTTCTGTCTCTTTCATGTCTCTTTCAGTTCCCCTTTGTTTCCCTTTCATTGTCGATTTCTTATTTCTTCCCCTCATTTCCTTGCACCCAGTCCCTCAAAAAACGGTTTTTTCCAGCGTTTTCGCAAAGAGGACGTCCAACAACACAGCGTTTTTTCCAGAGCTTCGGCAAAAGGAGGCAGGAAACCGAAACCAGCAAAGAGCCGGCAGGGGGATTCGAGCCTGGGACCCCTGTTTTGCGACACCGGCTCCCCGAAGACTACGTGGAACATCATCAAATTACCGCGCGGTATGTGGGGGACCCCCCCTTCCCCCTGTACCCTACGTATCAGACGTCCGGCGGGGCGGGTTAGGGGGGTATCCTCTATCCTCTCTTAGGTTTCCGACACGCCGAAGCAAGGTCGGCGGATATCTGGAGGGCCGAAAAAAGAGAAACACGCGCCTCGCGCCTTTCTTGCGCCTTTCTTTTGGCCAATTCTCGAGGCCGAAGCCTGCTCCCGATTCTCAGGGCTGAGTGTCCTTTTTTGGACTTGGCTGAACGGATTGCCAGCTGTTTAGCGGCAACCTTTTTTCTTGTTTGATGAGTTCCCAATCTGTTCCCTTTTTCTACCGTCATTGAACAGGCTTACCCTGAGCCTCGACACATTGACAAGAGTAGGACGTTGGTTTCCCAGCAGTTGTCTCGCGGGTACGCTTGGACAAGTTGCGATATGGCTCGGTGTTTTTGCGGGCACCTCTTTTTTTGGGGGGTGCTGGAAACCAACATAATGGAAAACGGAAATCTGTCTTGGGGTTTGCCCGCCCCTTTTGAGGCAAACCTATATGTTGGTGGCCTTGCTAGGGGAAGCTTCCCCATTTTTTCCAGAAGTGATTCTTATTTAATTTGCCAAGATACGTCACGTTCGTGGAATACCAGTGTCGAATTGCTGGTTTGCCCACTCAGTTCCAGCATTCTGGCATACAAATGCATGACGGCGATTTGTCACCAGTCTCCCTGAGCGCAGCCCACCAGCTTAGAATTTTGGCAGGTTGACCTACGTGCATGGCTGACCTTCGCTCCAAAAACACTAGGTCCTCTAGTAGTGCCCTTTTGCCCTTTTTTTCGGGGAGGTTCCCCGACTAAAATAGACGGCAGAAAAAAGGGTCCCGTGATTCTAACCTCTCTACTCGAGGACCTAGTAGAGCTTTTGGAAACACCTTCTACTGGTGATCGACCTTTTGCTCAGGGCGCAGGAATCAGCTGGCAAACGATATCTTGCGGGTAGATGTGTCCATTTTTGTCCAACAAGCTCGAACTTTGAGTATTCCAGCGGAACTCGCGCTGCTCGAGTTGAGGACGGTCATGGCAGTTGGTGGGTGTGGGCATATTGTCGACCTTGGAAGAACCTGCTGCAGTGCATGACTCGTACTTCTCCTACTTCGGATGGGCGAAATCCTGCACTGCTCTGAAACCATTGGAAATCATTGTTTGTTGGAAAAATAGGGGAATCATCATTCTAGGGTTTCTTCGCTGGCGCAAAATGGATATCGTCCATCCACAGTATGAATGATCCAAACGTTGATTCATCCTGGCACCTCCTTTGTGAAGGTATTCACGGCCGTTGCCCATGGTCCGTACCAGATATATTTCTTTTAGAAAGCCAATCATTTTTTTCACAGAGAGGTTGTTCCAAGTTCTTCTGTGAAAAGCTGAGTATCTTGACTCCGATCCAGGCCGACCAAATTTTTGGTTTCCTCTACTACTTGGGGGTCCTGGACTTGTGTTAATGCAAGTCCAAGCTCTCACTTGCCCAAGGAAACGTACCTTGAAATTTCACGTCCAGTGCCTGAACTGAAAAAACATTAAAACGTTTATGAACCACGCCGTGATTGCAGGAAGCCGCGTCCCCAGCCATAAAGGGATGCAGAGAGCTCCCGGTGTTGCGTGGCAGCTGGAGGGAACGTGGGCCAGCAGCCACCCACGCGTTCACCCGGCTGCCTGTCACGCTTCACAGCTCCCCTTCGCGCGGTGGCCCGTTGAGAGCAAGCGACGCTGGGCGTGCTTGTTGCCCACGGCCGCCAGGCAAGCGTAGGGCTCTGCGGCCGCCGTCGCCGTTAGCGCTTTGTGCATGGAAGTGGCCTGCGGCCCAATCCGGCGCTTCAGCGTCACAGCATCCGACATGCTTGCGACAAACTACTAGCGCTTGCGAGGGCCCTGTTGGCCAGTTGTGTTTTTATCGTTACTTCTTGCAACCTCACAACGGGGCCTCTTCAAAGAAGTCGTTTGTTCCAGCAGACGTAAACTTGCCAATAGACAGAAGTAGATGCCAGATAACGTGCGCAGACGCAGCAGCACCGGTTGGAGCGCAAGATTCGTTAAGCGCGGAACCTGAAAGAAAGCGATTGTGACAAGACTTACGAGCCAGGCAGCCAAGACGCCGGGCATGGCCGGGGCGCTCACTGGCCAAAAGCGCTGGCCACGTGTGTTGATGCTAAGTTCGGTCTTTTGCCGGTTTCTACATGTTTTGAGGATGCTGTCGTTGTCGGGTAAGGTGCTTAGATGTTAAACGGGGCTTAACGGCTGAGATAAATCGATTCAGTCAGAACCGCGCCTTTGCACGATCACATCAAATACAGGGGCACTGCTCTAGAAGCATCTCGTTCAACAAGCGCGGCTTCCACTAGAATAACCTTCCCCACAGTTGGCCGAGTTCCAAAAGACCGAAGAGGAGTGTTGCTCGCTTCACTGAATCACCACGACCATGGAAATCACCGCCTCCCTAAAAGCCACGGTATCGAGATCGGTGGGCATATTGCTTGTGCAAGGGCTAAACTATTGCACACGTTATCCTTTCATACTTGACTGTCACCATTTCGGCCCCCTGACTCCTGTTTGAACCTTGGGAAGATTGCAATATAAAGGCGTGGGCAGCATCAACTTGGCATCGGCGGGTGAAGGTACGTGTTGAGGTACGACCCCCCTGCCTTATTTTGCAAGCTCACCTTTTTTTGGTGGTGGTGGGGGGGGGAGGCGGGGGGGGGGGCGCTTTCCATGAGTCAGGTTTTGGAGTTGCTGCAACTTGTGCAGGCCGTTTGCCCTTGTGGTATGTTCAACCTATTTCCACTAACTAGCAAAGAGTTGGCTTGTCTCTAAATTCTATTAGGGGACCCCCTTTAAATCCAGCCAGGGGACCGAAGATCAACGGAGTGTACGTTTGATTGCGTTTGATTCCACGCCACGCCTCATGCAGACGTGCGTTTTCTATTGCAGGTTTTGGTTTGGCAGATCTCACCAGTTCACCTGTCGCGCGCGGAATCATTTCGCCATAGCTGGCATCACTGCTGTACACGCACGCATGGCATTTGGCCCGTGCTCCCCAGGTGCCCATGCCCGGCATGCAGCCCTTCCAACCAGGACGCCGTGTGGCCCGTCCTTGTTGTGGCTATGTGTATGTTTTTTCACTTTCCTTTGTATGTTTTGTTTTTGTTGTTCTGCCTTGTTGTGGGGGGCAACCAAATTTGAAAGATATTTTGCTGCCGTACCAAGATGTGAGGAGAATACTGGCCGCTTCTTCCAAAAAGGCTGGATATGAATCCCATGCGCATGATCACCAAAAGGGTGTCAGATTGAAACTTACACCAGTAGCCCAAAGCGTTTGGTGACTTTTCGTTGCACAAAGAAGGTGTTCATATGTTGAGGCCATATTCCTTAGTCTTGGTGGCAAAGGGAGCGGTTACGAGTCTGGCACGTGAAGTGTCGAACTGGCACACGGCTCGGAGCTTCGGGCATTCTACCTATCAGAGAAAAGTGGTGAGACAAGAATCAAATTACAAACCGGGCGCGAGGATGCCGGAAGGAATGCAAGAAATCCGGGGATTGAACCCAGCGGGAGATATGCCGGCCCGCTTGTACCGGACCAAGCCTCTTTCTCATCGGTGACAGAGCTAGTCATGATGGGGTGTCAGCTTCAAAGTGACATAGTGCAACTCCAAAAGGCAGGCCAGGCAGCCAACCCTTCTCCGATGTCTTCTCCAAGTTCTCATTCCTGGCGAGCAGTCGCTCCCCAGTGAGCGAGGAGGGATATTGCTTGCCACCTGCGAGTTTGAGGCCAAAGTCTTGGAACTTAAATTGTTCGGGAGGCCCCCCACTGTCGGCAAGATCGTTTGCGAATTCTCACCAGACACAAGTGTTGCCCAGCGTCGGCAATTGCAGCTACGTGCCTTTTGTTATGGCTCCCCTTGTGAGAATGTGATAACTTGCTCCTTGCACTGCCTTCATGTTCCCTTTCCCTTTAGGCCGATCTGGGCAAGTGGTTCGACATGCTAATGATTGATTTCATCATTCTCTTTGATCCTCGTCGGGAATTCCGCGAAGCGCATGTTCGCACCTGAACCGCACGTGAGCCACAATCAAAACCCGGGTAGATGAAGTTTAGTAGGGGGCAGTCCCAGCCGGAAATCGTTGCGGGGATCCGCCTTTTCAGTTCCTTACCATTTTTGTCTGGGTATCGACCATTTGTGTACCGATCGGTTTTGAGCAAGTGACTCACGTTAACATGGCCAAAGTTGAGACTGATTTTCTAGGTGCCCTCCCACAAGGACCCCCCCAAAAGTTGGCGGGTGTTCGTTTTCTCAGTGGTTCAAAGCGAATCGACCGGATCTGACCTTGTGGTTTTCCCCTTTTGGATTCCCATTTTTGGTAGAGGTCCCAAAAGGTGATCACCTTGTATTTGCAGGTCCTTTGGGCAAGTGAGTGTTTGTTTCCCTGAAAAACCGTATTTGAAAGTGGTATCTTCAAACAAGATTCCCAGATCGAAGGGCCGCTCACAGCTTGCACAGGAAAACCAGCCTCTTTCATGTTTTTTTTGGGGGGGAACCGGCCTCTTTTTTTTTTGGGGGGGGGCAATGTCAGGAACAAAGACGAGACACCCATACTGTGGATGGACCATATCAATGTCGCACCACCTAAGAAACTCTGGAATGATCAATGCTGGTTTCCACCTGGTTTCTTTGGTGTTCCCTTCCAGGCAATTAAATCATCCCTTTCGGACCGTCATTGTAAATGTACATTCACAACCCCTTGAGTTCAGTTTCTTTGCTTGGGGCACCCTCCAAAACACCCCAGATTCTAGGGGTTGGTTCCCCATTCTTTTCAACCATCGTTCTTGTCGAAAACCCACCGTTTTTCCCGGATTTCTCGAGGTTTTCTAGAAAGAAGGATCCCTGGAAAGAATGGCGAAGTATCCCCTAGACAGATCTTGGTTTCTCGTTTCTCGCCTTCGCCCCTCCCAATCGACGAAGCAACCACTGTGAATCTTGCCCATTTAAAGTTTGAGGGAAACTTCGGATCAAAAGACGAGGACTGATGGCACCCGGCATGGCACCTCCGATGGGCGGACCCGGTGGTATGGGGGCCATGCCCATGGGCGCCATTAGCAAGGCGAACCGCCGTGGGGGCGGTCGAAAAGTTTTCCATTTCACAAGTTCTTTGGTTTTTTTTGTGCGTGGGTTTAGTGGTTGAGTTTGTATGAGGTTCTTAAGGGAGGGGGGCGTAAGGGGGTGGGTAAATTAGAGTAAATGGGCGTGGACTAGGGGGCCCTAGGGAGGCCTAGGGTTTAAATCCTGAATCCGGCTCAGCCCTCATTCTGCTTAGCCGCTTGCCGCCCACTAAGCTCTTCGCAAAACACTCGGTCCTTTGCGTGTTTTCCAGCAACCCAATTGAAGCTGATTAGTTTTTCTTGGCCCGCTTGCTAGGACTAGGGAGCCCTAGGGAGCCCTAGGGAGCCTTAATTAGGGAAGCTTAGGGAAGCCTAGGGAAGGGGGAGCCTTAGGGAAGCTTAGGGAATAGGGTGTTGAGGGGTTCCGAAAAACCCCGGTACACCCTGTACTTGGGGCTCACTTTGAGCAACTCACTTTGAGGGGTTCCGAAAAGCCCTGGTGCCAACGACTTTAAGTCTTGGAAGGCTGGGGAGCTTAAGGGAGAGTAATCTGTTAGGGGCCTTTAGGGGTCCTTGGGGAGGGAGCGCTAGGGTTTGTTAAGGAGCTCTAGGAAGTGCTAGGGAGTCTTGGGGGTTTGAAATTACCCCCCCCCCCCCACGCCCCCCTCCCTTAAGAACCTCACTGTTTGGTTCAACTTGGGGAGTTTTTAGAGGTTTTGGGTTGTTTTGTTGGAGGTTCCTTTGGTATTGTAGAGGTTTTGAGTGGGTTTAGTTTGTGATTTTGGTTCAACTTTAGCGTCTTTAGAGGTTTCTAGTTTGTTTCTTGCAGGTTTGATTCTCCCTCCCTGAGTCTCAAAGTTTCGGATGTTTGTTTTGTAATTGGAGAACCCATTTCTTGAGTCAGACCCCCCCCCAAACAAAATAGGTCTCATTTCCCTTGTAGAAGGGGAACCACCCCGGAGTATACTTCATGCGAGGTCAACTTTATTCACTTTGGGCACTAATCTGCGAGGGGCCATGGTAAGCTGTGGTTTCTTTTTGTTGGCCCATCCGCTCGGGAAGTGGGATGTTGGTAACCAACGCGAATTGACCGAATCTGTCCTTCGTTTTTCCCTGATTTGGTCCATACTCCAGGAAGGTTCCAAAAGGCTACCCTTTTATTTCCAGGTCGTTTGGGCCACTGAGCGAAAGCCATACTTGAGTCAACCTTTGCAGGATCACCTAAGGTTCCTGGGTCTCGAATGGTCCTACAATTCTTTCCTGAAGAGTTGGTCCTGTGGCAACCCTTGGCTTTTCAAGAAGATCCACCGACCTTTTGAGTGTGCCCCATTGAGGTGTCTGGATGATGCTAGGTGGCGCCACCCCATTTAATGAGTGTTGGCCAATGCAGTGCAAAAGACCCCGTGGGCGTATAGTTGGGTGAAAGTAGATGGCACAGATCCCTCATTTTGGTTCACTCATCCTCGAAACAAACGGACATACAGGGAATTGGGCCGTCACCTTCACACGTCAGGGGTCGCTCATACTTACTCGAGCAACCGGGCCCGCATTTTAATTTCTCAAAGGATCAGAACCCTTTCGCTCAGAAGTTTGCTTTTTCCCAACTGTGCTTTAAGATTCGCGCCCCGCAGCAGGGTAGCTAATATTGCCATTTTGGGCGCGGCAGGGGTTGCTAGTGTTGCCATGTTGGGTTATTTGATCACTGTTTGATTGCCATTCAAAGGTTAGTTCCCTTCTGGCAGGGCGATGTTTGAAGGAGACATAAACTTGACTGCTATTGGGTTGGATCTTTAGACTTTAACTTTTGGGAAATCAAGTTGCGTTTTCCACAAAACCCGCAAAATAAAGGTACACTTTTTACAGGGGTCGTTGCAGCAACCAAGTAAAATGGAGCTTTGCTGAATGAGTTTCCTGCAGGCAATCCAATCCGGGGTTGCCGGTGCGCAGGCTGAATGCAGGTTCTGCTTGGCGATTCCTTTGGGTGCGGAAGTTATGTACCGCTTTGATGCTATACGACCTCCACAACTTTCAATCCGCCAAACTGCCCTTGATATGGCGGAGATGGACAGAGAAACAGACGCTATGTCAAATTTCCCTCTAGAGATTTGTAGAAATACTCCGAGATACTGTGGGTGGACGAAATCCTGAACCAATTTGAAACCATGGTTGAACATGGTTGGTATTTACACGGGAATCGAATCAGAAACCAGGGTTTCTGGTGCCGGTGGTGCGAGTGGATTTTGATTTCGCCCCCATCCACAGTGTTTCCCAGAAACAAGTGCCCTTCTGAGAAACCGCAAAATCAGAACTCACTTCCAAAGCGAGTTCCTGCACTTTAAGCTTCTTGGGAAGGCCTAAAGCAGAAGTTTGGGAAGGCATTGTTTGGCCCATCTCTTGATGGCCAAAGCTTGCTGGTGTTCACTCGGGAAAGTGTGGGAATGAACCCAGGCATTCCCTCGAAGGAAGCCACCAGGATGGTCACTCCATTTCTCGTTCGCCTATTGAATGCACCGGCAAGAAGGGGCCTTGGCCATTTCCGCAGTGCGCAAAAAACAACTTCCAGGCCGGCGTGCCTCCGGTGAAAGGCGCGGGATCGATTCCAAGTGAGCAGAATTGGGGTTTCCCCTCCCCCTGACCCTGAAAGTTGTGGTCCCTTACCACTCAAACGGGGCACTTTCAAAAGACGCAGACCCATTTAGGTAAAACGCGCATAAGTACACATCCCGACTGAAAAAGTCTGGTTCGACTGGCTCTACCTGAATCAGAGAGTAGGTCATAGAGTGGCAAGGACCATTCAGCTCTTGCAAGCATCCCAACTTATTCAAGTGATTCTGCCTGAATCCGAGAGTAAGTCATAGAATGGCAAGACCCATTCAACTGTTGCAAGCGTCCAAGCCTGCTTAAGATGCCACTAGCAAATCAACCGTCAACCCAATGATTACCAGTTACACTATAGAGCCCAGACTCCTTGCAAGAGGGTTTGCATGTTTCATGGCAGGTCAAAGGTTTAGCTTTGTCAAGTGATGCAGGCTGTTGCAGGATCCTCATGGTTCTTCTTATGATTTAGGTGGTTTAAGCTTTACCCCACTTGGCCTTCTTGCAAAACCTGTTTCTGCTCGTTTGAGGGAAGTTTGGCGAAGACAAAAGGTCACTTACCCCAAAGGACATTTTGCCCAAAACTGTTTAAACAACACACGAACACAGAGAGCGTCCTTCAGTCCGAGGAGAAGGGGACCTGTCGAATACATGTCATGTCATGTTCCTAATGGATTCCTCCCGCAAGAAAGGCAAATCCTGCATACAATGTACCAAGTGTTTAAACGACTTTTTTGGCCAATCCAGTCAAGAAGTCATGCAAAACCCAATGGCTTCCAGTTATCGGCGGCGTGCCACTGTGAATGAGGGTTGTTTGCCGAGTGCCTCCAGGAAAACCTGTACACCTAGGGGTTCATGAGCGATACTGAGGGGCAAGTTGGCTAAGTGATTAGCAATGATTGTGTTTTGCAAAGCCCTTCGATTATTTGTTTATTCGGTTGTGTGTTGTTTCGCTTTGGGCATCTATCACTAGCGGTGTTTGTGTTTAACCAAGGTCTTAAGCAAAATGGACTCTTCCAGGGTTCCCTATATTTCCCTTTGGTGGTTTTAAACATCACCTTTTTGGCCCATGAAAGGTGAGTATGACTTGGGGTGATGTTTCAAGGGGAAATATAGGGAGCCCTGTCAAAGGATCCACCTCAGTGCTTCTAAGGCCGCACTTGTTCTCGGTGAGGGGTAGTGCATGGCAACGGATCGACCAAACTTCAGCCGGCTTGGATGTGTTTTTTGTGGTTCCACCCCTGTAGAAGGTTAAAAGAGTACTAAACGAGTACTAAAAAAGGACCAACAGGGGGAAGAACAGGTGAAATCCACAAAAGGCGCATCCAAACCGTCAACCAAGCGAAAGCACACGGCCTGACCGCTCTTTCCTCCAAGCTGCTCGACCAATGCGTTTTAACTTTTTGGGGCCCTTCAAAGTAGTTTGTCCAGCTGTGCTTTGGACAGTTTGAAAGCTTGGATCTGGAGAAGCAAGATGTCCCACAGTGCACAAAGTCGATGCCCACTACCTATTGCAGCAGGTGCTTCTAGGAGGGTTACTCTATTTTTTGGCCATAGGCCTATCATTTGCATACCCTTGTCTTGTGCTCTGCAGCTTTAAACCGCCTGAAATCCCAGAGCCTCGCCCTCGCCCTCGCCTCGGGGTTGCGATCTCTCGCAGGCGCTGGCAAGGGCGGCTCGGAGGTGCGAAGCCGAGCCTTGGGCGACGGGCGGACGCGACGGGTGGATGCGGAGCTTCGGCGAAGCGCCTCCCGGGCCCGGGAAGAACGAAGGGGAAGGGGATTCTCCTTCAAAACAGGATGGAAGGGGAAGGGGAATAAGAATGACAGGGGAAGGGGATTTCGGATTTCAAGCCCTGGATGTGTAGTTCCATCAACACAAGAGCTCAGTTTTTGCGGGGGTAGGCAAGAAGAAGTCAGATTGGGGGACGCCCCACCTCCTTCCACGCGAAGGCGGTTTGTGACATGAAACATGGTGAGCGTTCCTTTTTTTGGGGGGTTCGGCAATTTGATCTAGCAATTGCTGACTGGGTTGTAGTTTGCCTGGTTTGTGCTTGGCTCGGCCTAAACCAGAGGTCAACTGAACGCATTGGCTTAATGGTCAAGTAATTCGCAACGTTTTGCAAGGGGTCAAGGATAGCAAGACTTAGGGCTGCACATCCGGGTAGTTGTTTTGCTGTTTGTTTGCAAAGAGCATGGGCAGAGAATCCCCTCGCGGAATTAAAATGTCAGCATCACTGATCGCTTCTCCATGATCCCTCAGGAAAGCACAGGAACAAATGTGATCTGATTCGATGCCCCGCCCTTTGGCGCGGATAGTTCTTTGACAAGATTTAACCAGTGCGAAACTTGAGATGGTTTCTGATTCGATGCCCCCTGTGAATACCAACAATCGGTGTGCATGGTTTGAAGCATGCTTTCAGAGTGGTGCAAAATGGACTTCGCCTCTCCACAGTATGACGAAAGCTGCAATTTTCGCCCCAATGTGGCGAAAGGCGTTAACCTGCCAACTCAACTCGGCCAGGGGACCATCGCTGCTTTGCGGAACATGTTCGCCCCAGCCTCAGACAATTTGGAGGGTGCACATGGTTTGGCCTTGGACCATGAAGTTTAGCGTCTCAACAAAAGTGCAGGGCCGTCAAAGATCAACACAAGTCAGTGAACTATCCAGTTGTTTTTTTGACGTTGTCCAACTTCTTCGTCTATGTGCAATCAGGACCCCAACGGATTCACCAGAAATTATGTTATTTGTTGGGTGCTTCGTGCAGACGGTAAGGCAGGCGTAGCCCAGCTATCCTTTGTGCTGCTTGGCGGGCGCTCGCCGAAAACGTTTGCTTGTGCTGGGGAAAGCCGCCCAAGTTGCTCGTGGATGCGGTGTTTGCGATTCATCAGGCGGTTGACAAATCTCCTGTGCCAGACAATCACGTTGACCTATAGGCTATAGGCAGCCACTGAAGGTGGATTATTTGTGGAATCCTACTCACACCCAAACAAAAACCAACCGCAACCGCCGTCATTAACACGTCTTGTTCATTTTCAATAAAATGAGCCTGGTTAACTTGGATTAATAGGGCTGTCTTCTTTGGGGACGTTCAGATTTGGAGTGTCCCCCAACCCTCCTATTGGCCTTCTAACGTGCGCAGGGCTTCCTACTGTGGGTGGACAAAATCCTGCACCAACCGCTGTGTTGTTGGTATTATTTATACGGGAATCGAGCCATTCCAGGGGTGCGACATGGATTTTGTCCATCCACAGTAGGCTATAGGTCCCAGTAGTGCCCTTTCTCACCCTTCTTTTGGGGGAGGGTTCCCCTACTAAAATAGACAAAACAGAATCAGAAAAAATCGGGTGCCCCTATTGTTCGGACCTGGTGGGTTGCCATCTTTTTCCGTTGCTTCCGCTGTCTGCCTGGGGCGCTACCTTTTGGCTTCGGTCTCAGGGCCAAGCTCTGTTGGGTGTCTCCTTAGTCAACTCGTGCTGCACCATGTTTTTCCCCTCCCCCCCCCCCCCCCGTGCGTTTGTTGTTTCGTGTTTGTGTTGTTGTTTCTCAGTGTTTTGGTTGTTTTGTGATTTCTTTGTTTTTGTTGTTGTTTTTTCTCATTTTTGTTCACGTGTTTGTTTTGTTTGGTTTTTAAGGTGTTGTTGTGGACATTCGCGCGCAGAAGCCCTCAATTTCAGAAGCACCCTCTCATCAACATACATGGGCGTGGCAAAAACTTACGGAGCTAGGGAAGCATGTGTCCATTTACCAAGGGGCCGGTTTGGGAACCATTTTTCGAGCCACCGCCATACTGTGGACGGTTGGAATATCCATTTCGCACCGCCTAAGAAACCCTGGTGTCTCATGATTCCCCCATGGCTTCTGAACGGTGGTGCGTTTTACGGATTTCACAACCATCCACAGAGTTTTCTTGCTGGTGCTCAGTAGGGAACGAGGGAACGACCCCTATAAACCATTTCTTGTGGTTGCCTTTAAGGTGACCCCCGGATTCATTCCATTTCTCATTCCCTACTTGTCGCATCAGCAGATTTTGAAGAGAACTGCCAAGCTCCATCGGCCAGCAAAAGCTTCCCGCCCCTGCCGAGCGTTCGCATAGGTGTCCTTTTTGGTTGATTTGGTTCAAAAATAGAGGGCGATTCCTGGTTTACCTGGTGGTTCAAGCAACTACCAGGGCCATCGATTTTCAACCAAAAAGGACACCTATGAGCGTTCGTCGTTGTTTTTGTTCTGCGCCCAGGGCGGCACCGGCAAGGCCCTGCGCTGAGCATGCATGCGAGCGCTTCAAGGGGTCCGTTTGCGCCCACACCTCTCAGTTGCCCAAGGCGAATCGACCTGATATGACCTTTCTTGGTGGCGCCCAGCCATCAGGTTCAACTTAGCTTTTAGCTGGGTCAGCGGTTGGGTTTCCATTTAACCCACTAAAGGTTAAACGTTTGGCGGGAGATCTGATGTCGGGTATCAGTTTTGGGCTATTTTAGGCCAGGAGACAAACCGCGTGTGAATCCCCTGAGTTTCCAAGAGTGCAGGGTGCTAAGTAAGGTTAACGCCGGATGCAGGGGTTGTTTGGCAAGTGCGTTCCCTTTCAGTGCAGGTCTTCCCTTTTGTGGCCTATTGGCAGGATAGGTGTGTTTATCAGGGGTTCCCATCAGTCAAAATGTGCGTTGTCCGATGTTTGCTTATGTGTATATATAGATATATATGTGTGTGTGTGCACCTTTGTTTTTAGTTGTCTCCTTTTAATCCCGATTGCCAAAAGACCGATGCAAAGTTCCGAAGAACAAACCACAAATGACTACACAACTATGCTGCTTTGTGTTCCCGATTTACCCCGCCGGCCCTTTTTCTAACCAAGGTCCTCGGCTCCACGTTTAGCGGTTGCAGTTTCAGGAATGAATCCATGAATCCATGCGGAAATTCATACGTAAGCGCACCCAGGCTGGTCCAGGCTGCTAGTCACTAGTCACGCTTCCTTGGTGACTCCAAACCATTCCAAACCGCATGGGAAGATCACTTGGTAAAGAGCGAGCATCATATAGCATGATGATTTGTTTGTTCCTCGGTTCCTGGACTTTTCGCTTGTTGGGCTTGGACCATTTTAGTGGTAGCCAATCCAAGCAGGAAGTGACTTGCTGGTGCTCAGAAGTGGCCAATCCGAGCAGGAAGTGACTTGCTGGTGCTCAGAAGGGAATGAGAAATGGAATGGCCCCCGCAAACCCCTACCCACCGCAACAGCAAGGTGAGTTTCCTTCCACATCGGGGACAGGACCTCAGGTTCCTTCCGTTAATCTGCGGGAGGTGAATGGGTCAACATTTGTTTCCGATGTTGTTCGGCCCATGGTTGTTTAGGTTCCGGCCTTGGACCACTTGATGCGGCAAGCTTTGACTTGTTTTTGCCAGTTCACCCAGGAAGTGCGATTTGAATGAGACCCGGACCCTAGGGATGTTATGTCAGCCAACCACTTTTCAGGTGGTTCCCTATTCAAATTCATAGCTGTGCGATTTTCCTTTCGGTGTTCCGGCGAATCATAGGGAACCCTAGTCTTATTCGGGATGGTCTGTGTTGAAAAGGGATGCATCCAGAAACCGCCTGCTTTACAAGGATTTGTTCCGTTTCTAAATTAGCTGGTATTTGGCTTGTATTTTTGGGGAACAGGGGAGGGGAGAGGCCACATGTATCCTAAAAGGAACGCTGTGCTTGGGAATCCCCACTTCCTTAAAGTGGAATTGGGAGGGGGGGTGAGATTTGGAGCGTGAATTTAAGGCTCCTATGGAGCAGCCGTTCGGGGGCCGAGCGAGCAAGCCGCTCCCGTTGGTTCCAGAAGTCTGACTTCCACAAAATGGATTGCCTATCCTTTCTTGAGGCTCGGCACCGTTGTTGTTGTTTTCTTTTGGTTGTCCAAGGCAAACCAGAAGGAAACTACCACAATTGTCTGGGGATTTTAACACCCAACCGCTACCAAATCATAGGGGGCACTGCGGAGTTTCGCCCATCCACAGTATGAATGCTTTGCGGAAATGCGATGATCGGGAATGAAGCTTGAGAGGAATATGTCACAGTCACCTCCTTGTGCCCCGCTTAACATGGTCGACTAGTTTTTAAGGGTTTAGTAGGGGCGCCCATCTAACCCACTAAAAGTTGAACTTTATTTGAGGACAACCCAGGTATGCTGCAGTCGGAGACTTCGTTGGTTTTGCGTGTCTTTGAACAACCACGCCCAGAGTCGACTTTTGTTGAAGGGTAGCAACTATACTGCAATAGCCTGCTTTTGAGACTTACAACTATGGTAGATTAGAACCACTGTTGCTTGCCACCTGACGCAGCTTGAAGGAATGTTCAGGTAGGCCGCAGGTTGCCCAACGAGCTTAGGCACCCTGGCCCAGGTACCTGTCTGGGTACCTGTTCTTGAGTGGGTTAAGACACGCAAAAGTTTGGGCTTTTTGGGCTGCCCACTTGAGTTAGGAATTTCTTGCGCATGGCTTTGAGACACAAATGCCATTGCCCCTCAAACCTTCGCAAAACAGGTGCCATGAAAAGAAGGCAACCCCATGCACCTACATATTTCCTATCTCAAGGTCTTGGGAAGTGGGTTCTAGCCATGGGATGGATTGTTCAATAGCGATTATGTGATTGAAATTTGTCGTTCTAAGCTTAAATATAATCTAAATATACATTACCTTTGGTCAGGTTTCCTTATAAAGCGACAAGTTAAGCATCAATTCAAGCTAAGTTAGTTTGTATGTAATTCCTGTGTTGGTTTGGAACACGCATTTCATTCCATTGCACAAGAAAAAGGTGTGCACATACATATATAGTATATATATATACACATGCATATGGTACCCCCCTCTTCTCGGAACTTGCGCCTCATGGTGAACTACTGTAATTAGGATACAGTGTTTGTCAGAATTGCTTCCGCCTTTTCTACCTCCTAAAAAGGGGTCAAAATAACACTGGCAAGAGACCCCGAACAGCGGTAAACAACTGAGACAAGACCCCGTGCAAGTATCATGAAACTCGCCGCAGCCGATGCACGCAGGGTCTCTATAGAAGTTCTCACGCAAGAAGCCTTCTGAAGCTCCTACACAAGATGATCTAGTAGTCCTATTGGCTGTTGGCGGTTTTACCAGTTTGCTTTTTCGTACTTGTTGGTTATGTTTTTGTTTATGTTTTCTGTAGTCATACATGGAGTGTTACTGCTGCTGCTGCTACCACTACTGTTACCACTACTGTGACCACGACTGTTACCACCACTACTACTACTACTACTACTACTACTACTACTACTACTACTACTACATTTACTACTACTACTACTACTACTACTAGTAGTACTGCTGCTGCTGCTTCTGCTACTACTGCCGCTTCTACTACCACTACCACTGCCGCTACCACTGCCGCTACCACTGCCGCTACCACTGCTGCTACTACTACTACGACGACTACTACTACTCTTCTACTAAAAGCATGACTGCGGCTACAGCAAAGCACACCCCTGAATCAACCCCCAAAGCATACCCACGAATCACACCCAGCAGTCAATCCTTTCTGCGGCCCCGTGAAAAGCAGACAAACCTTGCGCCTTGAACGACCATTTAAAAGCAGGTGCGGACGAAAAACCACTTCTGCTGCAAACGGCTCAGCCAGAAATGCCTGTGAGCCTTCATGTGACCGCAATTGACCCGTAATTCCATTTGCCGTTGAACTTGGGCTGCGAAAGCGAATGCGGGCAACTGCGCTCGCTTAGGCAAGCCGTGGCTTGATTTGCTGGTTGAAGCGGGGCAGATGGAGTACGTTGAGCTTTCATAACCCTAGCAAATTAAGACTATCGGATCGAGAAATCTAGCACGCCAAGGTTTACACATATGCACCCAAAGGCACAGCCCAAGGGACGGAAGCAAAACAGGCCGATGGCTTGGTGTCTTGCCCGAAGGTGGTCAGCTGAAGCTGATTCAGCCCTGTGCTTTGCGTAACTGCTTGCCCAACCCCACAGCATCACCAGCATGAGCATCGCCAGCATCGAGCCCTATATGATCTCCCAATGCTTCGAGCCCTCCTGCCTTGATCGCAGTTCTTTCGGCTTTGAACACTTTCGACTTTGAGGCCTCACGTCACGCAGGGCGCTGTGGCCAAGAGTTTTGGGCCTCCGCAGGCAGAGAGGGCTGGGTGTCCTTTGAAGTAGTACTTTGGAGGTCTGAAAGAGTGGGTTCATTCATGTTTCAACACGGGCGGGGAAGCCAGCAAAGAAGCGGACAAACCACCTGATTCCACTTTTGGCTTTGAGACTTTAACCCGTTGGGGCCGCTTGAGTCTGGGTTCTGAAGCCCAGGTTGGTGGATGGGAAGCAGGAGAAATCAACATATGTTTCTCGGGGGTTTCCTTTTGCACACTCCCTGGGCTTTAGACTTTTTCGAGCCGTTTTAGTACCAAAACTGTTCCTGGACTTGTTTGGCCGCCTGGCCCAAGCGAGGGGTGTCAAATCAGAAACTGGTTGGTGGTGTCCTTACCTGCCACTGAACGGGGTTGACTATGGTAAAACCATGCCGCCAGCTTTCGGGAGACAAAGAGGTCAACGGGTCAAGGGGGGTGGAACAGAAGAGTCTCCCATTTTTTATCGGCTTGGGAGCTGCTATTTCGGCCGAACAAGAGCGCTTTGGACTTGGGCAAGGCGTCTCGAATTAGTTCAAGCTTTGGACAGCCCCAATTGAACCGGAACATGTAAGCTTTGACTGGGGCAACACAGCAACACTGCCAATTTATTTTGGTATTATGTATTTCTTCAATTTGCCTCCACCCAGCTTTTGATCATCCCGCAAAAAGTTAGCCTTTTTTTGTTTTTGCTTTTTTCCCCCCTGGGTCCTTTGAAGTGAATATGGCAAAGCTTGAGAACATCTGATGTTCTTTGTCCAGATGGCCAAGTTACAGTGACTCAGCACCCCCGAGATCTTGATACCCCCTGTGTAAGCATTGGATCGCCAAATTTAAGTTAATCTCTTTGGTGTAGTGATGTACGGCGTCCTTGACCGACTTACCTGGATGAAGTGTTTGTTCGCGAGTGCTGAACATCCGATAGCTTCACATTATCCCTAAAGGAAGTCAGAAGGGGGTGGGAAGTTCTGATTTTTGCAGACTTCCTATTTGGCACGTTTGTTGGACAGCGGCACTGTCCGTGGGTTCTCAGGTTTCCGCTTTTGCAACATACGGCCAGTTTAATGACGAGCGATTCCAGAGATTCCGGGGTACGACCATGCAGGCCCACCTTGTTTCATTTCTTTAGTTGCTCAAAGCGCATCGACCTGAATTTCGCTCTTTGTTTTTTTCCTTTTTGGTCCACTTCAAGTAAAGGTCGCCTGTAAGGCCGAACTTGTTGCAACTGAGTATGTCTGGATTTGTTTTGGTAATTTGCCGTGGTTTCAGGCCTGTCACAGGCCGAGTTGTTCGACATCAATCTTGGGCCAGTTGGGAAGCTGAACCTAGCAATTCGGCCATGCCCCCCCGCCATTTTTGGGCATTCGATTTCTGGGGAGAGGGGGAAGGGGGGGATGGGGATAGAAGGGGAGATGGCTGTGGCTCAAAATTGAAACTCGAAGTTTACGCCGGTTTTAGCCTATACCTTTCCATTGACCAAGCGGCCATTTTGGGTATCATTTCCTGAGCCGCAGCCATATGTTGTATTTCAGCGGAGCTTAGGACACGTTTCGTCCGGTCAGCCTTGCCAGACTCTCACGCCCCCGGTAGCAGCTCCGCCAGCAAAGGCCCGAATCGATTCCGCTGCAGACCGCATGGTGTGGGCCATTTTGGGTAGAATTGGACCACCCTTGGAGCACCCTTTTGGTTTCAATGGAAATCTGTCACTCTGGAATTGTTTGTCCACAGTTTTCCAGGGCACTTAAGCAATGGAAGTTGTGGGGATTGGTTTATTGCCAGGTTTCAGAGCCATTCCCCTTTTTGGAACCTCCAAAAGTGGAATCCGCTCGTTTCGACACGACCTGACATAGATCGGCTTTTGATTTGGTTGGAAATGCTTTGGTGACCCCTGACAGTCTCCCCCTGAGTTGCACAGGGTGCACATTAACAAGGGCAGCCATTGGTGTGTTCCGTTTTTGTGGGGATCCGCAAATCCCAAATCCCGAAACTGATAGTGCCTATTCTTGGTTACTAGCGTATAAGCAATCACATGTGTAGGAGGGAAATCAAAGCTGCCTGCTCCCTTACGTTCTGTTTGGGAGACTTTGGGGGGACTACTGTGGTTCGGGATTTGAAAGCTTCGGGCAAGGTTGGCCTTTTTGGCCCGTAGTGTGTCGTAGGGAAATCAAAGGACGCCCATGGGGGTCCCTTTATTTTCCCGCGGGTCACAGGGTCTGCGTGGCAAAGTTGCTCCAATCGATTCCCAGATATATATTTTTTCCCGGAGGTTTGGTCCCTCCGTTGAGCGGAACAAAGGTGACCCCAAGGTTTCGTCGCTTGTTCTGCCAGTCGGTGACGGGACCTTAGTGACCCTGTCATATCGCCTTGATCAGTCCTTCTGTTGTTCTTAGTTGGTTTAGTGGTTTGGTGTCCATTTAGCCCAGTACAAGTTTAACTTTAAGCAGGGGATGGGAGGACAGCCCAGTCAAGAGGCGATTGAGTTGGCATATCCTTCGCAACAGGGGTACGCAGGCCATGTTGCTTCCAGAGAGCTTTGAATGACACTGCACCCTTGGCTATCGTTGAAGCTCAGTCAGAATGACAGCGCTCTGGACGTTCGGGAAAACGCCACAAGAGGGAGAGAGAGAGAGAGAGAGAGAGAGAGAAAGAGAGCGAACCCTGGGCGATGGATCGACCAAAAACGACACAACCATAGGTGTCCTTTCTGGGGAAATTTGGGTAGACATATGTGGGTTCCACTGGCTTACGTTGGTTTTATGCCATCCATTTACCAGCAAAACCCATATGGTCCAGCCGTGTTTTTTGTTTCTTCGTTTTTAAGGGGTTTTCGTGAGGCACCTACGGACGCAGCCCAGGCTGGGAGGGGCCGGTTTTCATGGCGTGGGATTTCTCCAGCACCTCCTGTTGCGACACAGAAGGTGCCATTTGACAACTCTTTAAAAGGCTATCCTGTAAACAATCATTTGGGATGTGTTATTTGATTTTGTTTCGTCCTGGATTTTGTTCTGTGTTATGTTGGTCAACTTCCCAGTATTTTGCGATAAGTTCCCCTATTGCGGTTTTCCCATATGTTCTGCCGCTTTTACTAGAAGCTCACCAGGGAGAAGACAAGTTGACTGCAGGTTCTATACCAGTGGTTTCATTTCTAGTTTCAGGTTTGTGAAGGCTTCATACTGTGGATGGATCGTCCATCCATTTGCCCCACCCAAAAAGCCCTGGAAGGATTTGATTCCCCTCTAAGTACCTTAATAAATCATTGGTTTCAACCATAGTTTCTGAACGGTGGTGCGCAAAGGAGTCTGCAACCATCCACAGTATGATGGCATTACATCCCCGCCCCCTTACATCCACCGCCTTAGCAGGGGTACCATCATTCCACTTGGTGGTTCCCAGCCATCCGGTTCCTTAGCTTTTTAGGTCCTTTAGTGTTTAGTGGTTGGATTTCCGTATTTCACCCACTAACAGTTAGTCACTTAGTGGGGCTTTCCATTTACACTAAAAGTTGGACTTTTAGATACTTTTAGCGGGGGATCAGAAAACGGACAGCCCAGTCCATGGTTTCTTCGCGGCGCGTTTTATGGACGTCGCGCCCATCCGTCGCGCGGCTCCGGGAGCCGAGTATCCGAGGCGCCGGTGAAAGCGCCGTAGGGCGGCTAAGACATGGGAGGTGAGGGAGCGGAAGGTCTTGGGAAGGCCTTGGTAAGGCGGTTTTGCTGGGTTTGGGGGTTGAACCATGGGGCCTTAGGTTCAGGTATCCCCGGTTTGGTGTGTTTGGGTTTGGGGTTACCATTTGGGAGCCTTGGAAGGCCGTTTTCGTGGCGGCGTGTTGCTGGCTATTTTTTGGTTAAACCATCAATTCGGCTACAAACCACCATTAGGAAGCTGAGAGACTGACCAATTCTTGGGTTCCGTAGGACCGGTACGAGGCACAGAACAGTTTTCAACTGGGTTTGGGGTTTGAACCACTTGGAAGCCCTGGCGGTAATGAAGCGCTTCAGGCTGTGGGGGAGAGCCCTGGGAATTTCATGGATAAACATGGAAGTGGGAGCCCAACAGGCAAGTTGCTCGAAAGGGTTACTGGGGCCCCTGCCAACCTCAAAGCCGAAAAGAGATCAAAGAGGGCTCCCTGGGATTTGTTTCCCTTGCGAGGCAGTTGGCGTTGTGGCTTCCAGGCCCTCTATCCCCCATAACTCCATAAGGCTCAGAAAACCCAAAGCGAATCGACCCATCGAAAGGACCTGCTTGGTTTACTTCTGTTGATGCGTGTTTAGTCATAACTCCATAAGGTTCGCCTTATTTTTCTGGCGTCCCCTGGGCAAGTCGACTGGCTCTATCCAAAGACCTCCAAAGCGGCTGACGAAGAGGATCCGTTGCGCAGGCAAATGTTGGATGCATCCTAGGGGTACCTTCCATTTCCATTCTTTCCAGAGATCCTTCTGTTCAAAAGACAGGGTTCCTGAAAGGATTCTAGGGGTTGATTCCACATTCTTTTCAACCATCGTTCTTTTCAAAGACCTGCTGGTTCTGCTGGGTTTCTGATGGTTTCCTGTATGACAGTGGCATCCTGAAAACTGTCCTCAAGTGTTTAAACTGTGATGCAAACGGAATCCACCGGGACGAAGGTGTTTTTGTTTCAGGGACCCAGACCCACAGAATTAATGAGGTCCTTGCTTTGCTAGTGTAGGGTTCCTCTATTGAGAGCTTGACATCTAGGATTGCAGAAAGCCTCTTTACAAGGGTCCCCTGAGTTTTGGATAAGGTGAAGCGGAGCTTTCAGCATGACGCTCGCCCTGAAAGCTTCAAGATCCACATCACGCATTTTTTTTAGGGGTGCTGGAAGCATTCACACAAAGGGGCCAGTTTGCGAGTGCCACATACCGCTTAATGTGACCCTCCCCGAACAGTGTAATCTGTCTTCTGGACCCTCTTTAGGGAACATCCTGAAAATTTGGGAGGGACACCTTGCCAATTCCACTTGTGCAATACTTTTGGAAGCTGGGCGGCGCTAAGCGACGCTGAAACTTCTACTTAGATCCCCCAGTAGTGCCCTTTTACTTTTTTTTGGAGGGTTCCCCTATAATAGACTACTGAAAAAGTTGGTACCCTTATTCTAACCTCTCAAATCTGGAGGATCTAGTAAAACTTCTGACATTTGAGATTTGAACCTGGTACTCTTGAAGGCGGAGCGGGTGCGACACGTTGCCGGACCAAACACTTAGCATGAACGGTTTGCCTTTGTATTCTTCCGTCCCGTCATGTTCTTTATCAACCACTCAGTTGTTCAAAGCGAATCAACCGTTTGACCTTTTGGTTTTCCCCTTTTGGTCTATTTTTAGTAGAGGTCCCAAAAGGTTCACCTTTCATTTGCAGGTCCCAGAAGGGCAAGTGAGACCAAGAAGCTGTCCCTTTTTGCGGCTCGGATCAGGCCTCAAGAATTGGAGGGTCGGGTGCCTGCCAGTTGCTTCTGTCAAGGCCAGGCCCGAAGTCAGCATCCCCCTGTAAGACGTATCTTTCGCTGGCTTACGACGTTTTTTTTGTATTTTCCCTTGGTTGTTTTAATCTCACTTCCTGAGTTGATAGACTTTAAACTTTTTGGAAAGACAATTTTAGTGGTAAATAAAAAGTTCAGACTTTTTTTGGCCAGTCAACTTGAGAAGTGAGTAATGGGATCTATCACTGGAATATGCCGGGGGACTTACGATGGAGGTTTCCCACTCGGCTTGCATCGGATCTAAGCTGCAAGACCCTCCCATGTCTCTGACTTCCTCCTTCACAAGGCCGCAAGCTAGGGCCATCCCTCACAGGGGGGGGGTCCCATGTCAGAATTTCCTTCATTGTCCTTTTTGAAGCCTCCCAAAGTGGCGTGGGATTCAATGGCAGCCAGTAAATTGGTCAACCAGTGACGCCATAATTGTGTTGGCTTTCTTTTGGTTTTCCTTTGACCCCCCCCCCAAAAAAAAAAAAAGAGAACAACAGAAGAAGAGGAAAAACCGCACAAAAACGCGGGCACCCTCCTCAAAAAGAGAGAGAGGGATAGAAACAAACGCACAACAAACGCCCCCCACCCCTCCCCCGAAAAAAAGAGAATAAACAAAGGAAACACAAAAAAAGAAACAAAAAAACGGGGGCACCCCCCTCTCCCCCCGAAAAAGGAAAAGAACAACGAAGCAGGCGCATGAGGCAAAGGCTGGGGAAACCCAACCGCACGGCCCAGGCCATCTGCGCCTTGGAGGGGTCCACAGGCGTGGACGTGCGCGGAGGATTTTCTCTGCGAGAAGCGATCGCTGGAATATGGCTGTGGGTCGGTGCCATGTTGGTGAATTCACCCTTTGCCCTTCACGGTTTGTCCACCGGTTGATCCGTGGTTTGTCCCATTCATGTGGATGGCGGCGAACTCCATCCAGCGGACCTGAGGAACCTGGGAATGAGTTGATTCCCTTGTAAATACCAACCAATGGCTTCCTATGGCTTCAAAGTGGTGGCGGATTTCGTCCATCCACCGTAGGGCTTCCTTCAGTCTGAGCCAGGAGCCGTGCCATCAGACTTTTTGAGGAATTGGAGGTACTTCCCTTGCGATCGGTGCGATCAAGTAGGGAATGAGACTTGGAGTGAACCCAGGAGTCCCCTGAAAGGAAACCACCAGTTGGATGGCGGGTTTGCGGGAGCCCTTCGTTTTTTTGGGGGAGCAAAAGTTTGAAGTGACTGTGGGTGGTGTTCAAATCCTCAAAACATTTCGCACCGTTCAGAGGCCATGGGAACGAAGCCAGAACGTTTGTTGATACAGGGGGACTGAGGCCGGAAGGGCGCCAACTGTCAAGGAGGTGGACATGTGTTCCACTTCTGCTCGGTCCCCCAGCTAGGTGCCCGTTCTTTAACCCCTTTTTTGGTTGGGGTTTTTGGGTTCCCCAACTAAAAGGCAAGAAGTTGGTAGCCTCATTCTAACCTCGAAACTGGAGGACCTAGTTGCAGTGTCCCCTAAAATTTGGTACCAACAAAAGTATGCATTTTCTTTTTCGGGGCCCCAAACAACTGTGGTAGTGTCCTCCAGGTTTCCCTTGGACAGCCTGTCCAGTGGGGGCAAGTGGGTCGGGCTCCGTGGTTTGCCGCCGCCATCGAAGCTGCAAACAGGCGCCGGCGCCGGCACCGGCAGAGGCGAGTCACCGTCTCGTTATGTTTCTCGCTGGCAGCGTCAATCACCCTGGGGTGAAACACCACCAGTAAAGGTGTCCTTTTTAGGTTAGTTTGGTAAAAGAAAGAAAGAATGGCACTGGTATGGATGGGGTTCATTCCATTTACAAGGCCATCGAATTTTCCAGAAGGCCACCTATGCCCAGTACTTGCAGGGAATGAGTTGGAATGAGCCCAGTGCCCAGAGAAACCAGTTGGAGGCTTAAGAAGGATCATTCCGTCATTCCCTGCTGAGCACGCCAACTCTGCTGATGAGACCTCTTAGGTAAACAATGGCGGCTATGAACACACGCCCTTTGTTTTTTGTTGGTGGTTTGAACCCCGAGCTTTGACTTCTCTATTTGTGAGTCCCCGAACGGCAGAGGCTAAGCTGTTGAACCCCTGTTGGGGGTGTTGGGTGGTGTGTGCCCTCCGTAGACACCTGAAGCCTTAGTCCTTGGGGACTTAAGCTGATAGCTTGGTGGCCTCGGAGAATGCTTGCTTTGTGTTGTTTTATTCTTTTATTGTTTCTTTGCTTGTTCTTTTGGGAATTAGTGTGTTACTGATAGTGCGCTAGCTTGGTTTGGTGTTAGTGTGTCTCTCTGAAAACAACTGATCCTGTTGGTACGGGGTCCCATTTCCAATCATTTCCCATATAGGGATTATCGAAATGCGGATTCCCCGAGACTATCTTGCAAGGCATTTGAACCCCCTCTGACTTGTGTTTTTGTTGGTCCTTCAATGGCCCCCTTAGCCGGACTGTCGGACTTGTTGTGGTCTCCACGGCACGGCGTGAGCAGTACTGGTGGTACCGGGGGGATTGAACCGCCCCGACTTTGATAGCCCGACCAGGTCTTATACGCCTATCCCCCCCTTAACAATGGAACTGGGGTCCGGGGGATGTTTCCCTTCAATGAAACTCCATCACCAACAGGTTGCCTTTTGTTTGTTGCATGTCCCGGCTGCGATTAAGGAGCACCCTTTTTTGAAAGCATGGACTTTCAAGGGACTGGTGACAATTTTGTTTGGGGGGTGTAACCCTAAACCCAAAAACCTTAAACCCTAAACCCTCAACCCACCAGCTTACATGGAAGTGCACAGACCCCTGTAGAAAGACTACTTTCCTGGAAACGGCCTTTTTGCTTAAGTCCATGTTAGTTTGCGGGAGGGTAAACCCTGCAACCAACTTTCTGTCCGGGAGCTTTTGGAAGCCAGGCTCCGCCGATGAAAGCTGGGCCGCGGCCGCCTCAAAACTTGAGCTTAAGCATCGCGGGTCGCGGGGCCGTTTTGTGGACCCGGGGCTTCCTTCTGGTGGACGAAATCCATGTCGCACCACTTTGAAACCATGGTTGAAACCATAGCGTTTGTTGGTGCTTGCAGGGGAATCGAAGCAGGCTTTCTTTTTCTTAAGTGGTGCAGGATTTCGTCCATCAACTATTGCACGCTGGGAGCAGACGCCCTTTGGGAATCAAGTGGTCGACTTACCTTGGCCCCAAATTGTCCACACCCTTGCCCCACACTCGCCTTTGAAAACAAGTTCCAGGCTTGATGTTGGTTGTAACGAACGACCCTTTGCAAAAAGTTGGAAAGACCAATGGACCACTGCTTCCCTCAAAAAGGTTGAAGTCCAAAGATCCAACCAAATAGCCATAAAGAGACACACGCACACACACACACACACACACACACACACACACACACACACACACACACACACACACACACACACACACACACACACACACACACACACACACACACACACACACACACACACACAGACACACACACACACACACACACACACACACACACACACACACACACACACACACACACACACACACACACACACACACACACACACACACACACACACACACACACACACACACACACACACACACACACACACACACACACACACACACACACACACACACACACACACACACACACACACACACACACACACACACACACACACACACACACACACACCACACACACACACACACCACACACACACCACACACACACACACACTTTGTCGGGCATTTCCTGGAAGGGTAGAAGAACATCAATCCCGAAAAAGGGGAAAACAAAGGGAACCGGTTTTCAGCATGTTCGAATCCTGGGGCTTCGGTCATCTTGACGCTAGACGCCCTCCTGCGGGCTTTGAGCAAGCAACATCTGATTGGCCCAGTTGCAACCAGTGGGTTGCTTCCTTTTATTCAACTTTTTGTTTCTTGTCTTTTTTTTCTTTTTGTTTTTTTTTTAAGAGTCCACTCCCCCCCGAAAAAAAATAAATATGTAAAGTTGTGGGTTCCCTTCAAGTCGGTTTTGGGTTCCCTTTAAAGTCCACCCAACCCCCCCCAAAAAAAACATATATATATATATATATTTTTGGTGCCCTGGAAGCCTGTGGCTATTCACATGCCAAGCACCCTGCCCTCTCAAAGGAGGAACCCTGGGGTTTTGAACCCGGAACGCCGATCCGTTCCAGAAAGCCTAGCCAACAGAAACACCAAAGCAATTCGCCTTGAAACCAACAAGGTATGTATCAACATAGCGGGGCCCAACACAAGAGACTGCCCTTGGGTTTCGTCTTTTAGACGCCTCAAAAGCCTCAAAAGCACATTCTTGGTGGCTCCTGCCCACTAGGTCCTACGCAAAACAATCAACTTGTTGGCTAATGTTTGTTGATTAGCAGGAAAGCACAGAGGGGTGTGTCTGTTTTAGGGGCCCCCCAACAGAAATGTGGTTTTCCTCTGGCTTTCCCTTTAAAAATGCCACCAAGGCAGCACAGGGTACCCTCCAAAGGCTCACACGCCCACTGGTTGCAGGATCCAATGGTAGCATCCGAATCTGGCGTGAAAACGGGTGAGGGCACACCTCAAGCCGCAGACCAAGCGTGGTGCCTTCCACCTTGCATTCACCCCATTGGCCAGAGATGTTTGAGTTGGGAATTTTCGAGGCGCCAGGTAGATCCTTTGGTTCCAAACACCCGCGTTTTCCAGCGCCCGGAAAATGACAACTCCGAGGTTGGGCGTCACGCAGGGCGCGGTGGCGAAAAGCTCTGGGCCCCCACAGGCCGCGATTTTTGTTGGGATCGAAGGGGTCGCATTTGCCCTTGGGTTCAACCCCCATTGAACCTTAGCTCAGTTGTTCAAAGCCGACCTTTTGACCTTTTGGTTTTCCCCTTTTGGTCTATTTTTAGTAGAGGTCCCAAAAGGTTAACCTTGTATTTGCAGGTCCTTTGGGCAAGTGAGTTAGGTAAAAATAATCGTGATGACGATCCTTAGGGAAATAATCGTGGTTATATGAACCCCCATTGTTTTAATGGTGGTTTCAACCCCAGGGTTTGGACCCTCAGGAACTCTGGGGGAACCCCAAACAGATGGTTCCTAGGTCCCCCAGCTAGGTGCCCTTTCTCACCCCTGTTTTGGTTGGTCTAGGGTTCCCCTGCTTAAATGGACGAAGCAGAAAAAAGTTGGTACCCTTATTCTAACCTCCCTACTGGAAGACCTAGCTCAGGAACTTTGGGGAACCCCACTGATGGTTCCGAAATCAAAAAAAAGCACCACAAATGAAACCATGGGAAAGAACACATAACGTTTGTTGGTATTTACGTTGGGGAATCAGAAACCAGGGTTTCTGCAGCCGCTGAATGGTTGAAGGGAGGCCCAAAAATCCAACGAGAAGGGTCTCAAGGCGTAGAACCAGACGAGTAGAACCAACTCCAGGTTGAAGCTTGCCAGGGGACGGCCTTCATCAAAAATCATTCGGCGTAGATATCCGCAGTGAATACTTCTTGAGGTAGGCTGCTGAAATGTACCGTGCTTCTGACTCAATTGGACTATTGCAAAATGTCCCGTGTCTTTCAAGAGTCCCAACAGGTCCCAAAAGGTGATCGCCTCGTATTTTCAGGCGACCCGGAAAATTATGCGTCTGGCTCAATTTCCCCGTAAGGGCGAGGCTAGAAAATGGAGTTGGGGACCGGATTCCCACCCCCCCCCCTTAAGGTATGGAGGATGTCCCAGGGTAAGTGAGACTCAGTTGTTCAAAGCGAATCGACCTTTTGACCTTTTGGTTTTCCCCTTTTGGTCTATTTTTAGTAGAGGCCCCAAAAGGTGATCACCTTGTATTTGCAGGTCCCAGAAGGGCAAGTGAGACCAAGAAGCTGTCCCTTTTTTTTAGATTTCTTGGCTGCAAGATGCTGCAAGTCTTTACCCTCCGATTTCTGCGAAGCCCTTCCTCCAGTCCAGCGGAAATTTGGACCTCGATCGGGGCGCTTTTTTTTTTCTTTTCAGGGGTCCCCCAGAAGTTGGTGGGTTTCGGGTACCCCTAAAAAAAGAGAGACCAACAAATTGTCGCATGCGATTCCAAGATTCTGAGTTGTCCAATGCGAATCGTCCTTTTTGAGTGTTTTGGCTTCCCTGATTCGGTCAACTCACTTCCTGAGATCATGAGCTTGAAACTTTGTGGGAACACCATTTTGCACGGCAAAGACAAGGTTTAGGCTTTCTTGGCCAGTGAGTCAACTTTTAATCATCCCAAAAGGCGAACCTCTTTGTTTGTGGGTCCTTTGGGGCAACTGAGTTATTTCCAGATTACCAGGTTAAGACATTTCCGCCCCTCATTTCCCCCCCGAAAGCCCTCCCTGTCACGGAGCAGCGGGTCGATAGCGGGGTATTCTCCAGACATCGATTTTCCGCTGAGTGAACACCATGTGGGCATAAACCATATGATGTTTCCTACGTGTTCAATCCGTGCAAGGGCCTACATTTGACGCTAACCCTATGCTCCAAGAAACCAGCTAAAAGGGAACATCTAGAGTGGTGGGTGTTTGGCCAATTGCCTGTCGAACGCCCGCCGTTTTGGGTGGGTGTTTGGCCAATGTGCAGAGCTTCACCCGGTTTCGCTGGCCGAAACCTCGGATGTCACGCGAAGAAAAACGGAGGCCATGCCTACTCCGCCAGCCACAGCCTCCGCTGTGTCGAAGGCTGGTCCCTTTGGACGAGAGACCTGCGGGGGTTTCGGGGGAAACTGGGGTCGTTTTTGACAAAGTGTTTGGTGAGCAAATCAAATTAAGCTATTAGTTGGTGGTTTGGAGTGGTGCCAAAGTTTCTGGGGGTATCACAAAAAAAGATGTCCCTTCAACCGAATTACCACCCAGGTGCGACCTTTTTGATACTGGTAGTGAAGGATCCGGAGTCTTTGGATCCGTGTTCAGGGTCTACAGCCTGGTAAATAGGGTGCTGATGATTTCTTGTGAAGGTTGTGTTTAAACCATATTTTGCCCCACCCCGTTGGTAAATTCATGGTTTTGGGATGCAACTGTAAGCCGGTGTTGAAGTCAAGCAGCAAGTTTAGACTTTGAAGCTCCAGCCCCCTTGCACTGCCTGTCAGACCTAAACGAAAAACGGAGATTCTCGGCCATGAGGCACACGCAACCAGGATTCACCAACACGAACATCATACACCGGTTGTTTGCAACCATGGTTGAGCACCTAGGACGTGACATAGGGCGCGGTTGAGATATGCGTGTGGTTTTTGTTGAGGGAACCCGTCTTTCCTTGTGTTGTAAAGGGAAACCAAAAGGAAAACCAGCCATTTTGAAGGGTCCCTATTTCGAGACACACCCTTATGTTGTGGATTGTTGTGGCTTTGCTGAGTTTATAACCATAGTCCCCTCATCATGAGGGGTGTCATGGCGGCTTGTCCACAAATGGTCAACCCCAGCCATGGTTCAACTATGTAGAACCAGGGTCACTGAACAAATGGGCAGCGGCGCAGGTTGCACTTTTGGGGTTGGCGTTTTCTCAAAAAAGCATTCGGGCAATTTGTTCAGGATGTCTTGCTATGCACCCAGTTGCCCTCCCGAATGGAACCTCAGGAAGGTCCGTGTGAAAGGCCTCATTGACGAAGTTTGATATGGGAAATGGCGCCAAGGGAATCCCCCCATATCCCCGCTCCCTCCGAATCCCTGCTTGTTTGTTTGTGCAATATATGGTTGGCCATGGGTTGCAGAACCATCGGGATGTTGCAAGTTGCCTTTCCTTGGGTTACAACTACTTACCTGGGGCCCTTCGCGCAACCTGGTTGAAAACAGTCCCTCCTGGTATTTGGGTTGTGTAAAGCAGGGGGTTCCCCCTAAAGTGGCTGGTGAGCCTAAATCATGAACCTTTAAATGGGGGCTGGGGAGGGGAGGCCTATTCGTTACTACCGCATCAAAAAGGCCTTATGAAGGGCTTGTCCTTGGCTTTTCCTGTGCATATCCAGCTGTATCCCCTCCCCCCTAAGCCCACCCTGGGGCTCCATGACCCAACATGGTACCCTCAAAAAAGCGCACCTGGGCTACCCCAAAATTCCGCCAAAACGAGTGTGGTTGGTGAATCGTCGTGTTTTATGTCGAAAATCAGACGCTCGCTTCCCTGGCTCCATCCTTCGGTATCGTCGTCTTGTCAGGCGGCACCTCCCGATGGCGCGAGCTCCCCGGCGCCTTCGGCGTCTTCTCCGGCTGCGGTACCTGCACAGGCGCGAGCCTTCTCAGCAAAAGGGGGGTTCTGTAAGGCCCAGCTAGGTAGTAGTAGTGCCCTTCTCCCTTGTTTGGGGGGAGGGTTTTGCTACTTAGTGGACTAAGATAGACTACAGCAAAAAGGGTTCCCGTATTCTAACCCCTCTACTGGAGAACCTAGGTAAGGCCTAGGGAATGCCTAAGGTACCTGCGCGGAAGGTAAAAGAACCGTAAGGAACGCGAAAGAACCCTGAGAAACCGTAAAACAACTGTAAAAAAACCATAAAAAAACCTAAACAGAACCCTAAAAAACCCCAAGAAACCCTAAACAACCGCAAGGAAGCCTAACCTGTTTCGGGAAGAGGAAGCCAACGAAGCTCATTGGAACCGAGAGCTTCACGCTCGGTTAGATCTCGAAATCGAAAGTGGCGAAGACCCGAAAGCTGTTTGGTACGTTGAAAAGCCCTGAAACGTCACTGTTCTTGGCATGTGTTTTTGTTGTTTTTTGGGGGTCTGTTCATTTTTTGTTTATTTTGGGGGTCTGTTTTTTGGCATGTGTTTTTTGGTTTTTTGGTTCTGTTCATTTTTTAGCTGGGGGGTCGGCATAAAACAGTGAGTTTTTTGTCAAATCCATACCAACAGTAAAAGGGCTTAATTGTTTTTTTTCTTGGCAATGCGTGTTCTCTCAAGAACCCACAAGGTTAAACTTTGTAGAGGGGCGACAGCTACCAAGTTGGCAACAGCGCAACCGAGTGGACACGGACGCCCTGGGTCGTGCCTCACAGGAAGCCAATAGGAAAACGTTTGTGTGGTTAGTAGTAGTGCCCTTCTCTCCTCTTGTTTGGGGGGGTGAGTTTGCTACTAAAATAGACTACAGAGAAAAAAAACGACGGTACCCTTATTCGATCCTCTCTACTGGAGGACCCAGAAGCGTCGGGTCGGAGTCTGAGCTCTTCCTGCAAGCAGCAAGCGGAACTCTTCGCCGCAATTTGGGAGTCCATGCCCAGTGCTTGCGGAGTGGCAAGAAGTCTTTTCCCGGCACTCTCTCTTCCATTTGCTGAAATGAAACTGGTTTGTTCATGTCCCCCTGCTGGTTTTAAAGGGAATTTGCTTCACCACTGAAATCTTGTTCCGAGCGTCCAAAACCTGGAAAGGATCCGATCCGCAAAAAGTTGGTTCCCGCTGGGCCAAAGAGCCACGTTGGTACGTTGGCGGAGCCGTCGCGTTGCGTCGGATTTGTTGTTTCGGGGCCTTTCCGCCGGCTTCGTGCAAATCTAGCCCGTGGTTTTCCGCATGCTTCTGCGAAGTTCTTACCAGGCAAATGAGTTGGAATGAGTTGGAAAAAACCATCCCTTATGGCTTTCTTTTCCAAAAAGCCGGAAGGTCATTCCCTAGCCGACAAGGAAAGGCCAACTTGATGTTAACGTCGTTAAAGTCCTTCTTTTTTTTGGGGGGGGAGAACCTTTGCTGGACCTATGTCTTGCTTTCTTGCCAGGAGAGAGCAATCAGGCAGCCCTTTGGTGCTTTGGATTGGTTCGGGATTTGAGTCGAGGGGACATGGGGTTTACCACCCCAAAGGCCAAAGCACCGGGATCCAAGCGATCCCAGCCGCGAACTGGGAGCTTCATGGCGCGGGTTTCGGGAAACGCATGTCGGCGGTGCGAGGCGGCGACGCGGCGGCCTTAGTTGCGAAGAACCAGTCTGCACTTGGGGCCTAGTGGGATAGCCTCCTTCCTTTCGTGGAATCCCGTTTAGGGGGTTGGTGCAAGGGGTTGGTACCAGTTTTTTCTTTTTTCTTTTTTTGTTGGTGACTGAAAGTTGAGTTTTTAGCAGAGGAAGTGAGGACAGCCAAAGTTGGTGGTCGGTTTTGGTGCTTTCGACCTTAGGGGGTGCCTTCCCAATTTGTTTTTCGGAAGGAACTGGGGTTCAACTCCTCACCAATCCAACCAGGTTTTAGGCTGTTTCCTGGGGCGGGGTTGTATCCCTTTAGCCCAACCAACCTACTAGCCCACCAGCCTCTCAACCAACCGACAACCAATCACATCTTACCCAGGTCCCCCAGTGGGGCCCTTATACCATTTTTTTGGGAGGGTTCCCGGGTACCCCTACTAAAATAGACAGCAGAAAAAAAGCTCTCTACTAGAGGACCCAGCCTCTCCGTCCATATCCATATTTGATTGAACCAAACCCCACACTTGAGTTGTGAACCATCCACCAGGATCCCATGGGCCTTCTGGATGGACAGCTTCTGCTAGCGGCTGGTCGCCACGGGCATAGAATCCCCCCAAGGTCCTCCACAGCGCCCGCCAGCGGCGCGGGTGCCACCGGCGCAGCCGCCGGCGCCGCCGCGACGTCGCCCGCGTCGCAGTCGGCAGCGCAGGCGTTGGCCATGAATAGCGACTCTGTGCAAAGCTGCGGGGGGGGAGGAGGGGGGATGGAGACCCTTTGTTGCGGCCAAGAAACCTAGCAACATAGGCCCCAAGTGTTCATCATACCGGGGGCGGGGGTTTTCTGGAATACCCTCCGAAAGTGGTCTGAACTTCCAGTACAACCAGGCACACCCCAATATTTTTTGAGCACTGGTTTAGGAATTGCTATCCCTGGGACCTGCAACAACCATTTACAATTGTTTTGCAGTTTGCGAAACCACCATTGGTAAATGGTGGTTCCGGGTTCCACGTAAAACTGGGGTTCCTTAGAGTCAAGGTGGTCCCGCTGCGGCTTACCGCTTTTCTTGAACAATGGGGGCCATTGTGGACTCGGGTCAAATGCAACAGTAATCAGCTTTTTGTTTTACCCCCAACAAGAACCAGGGGTTCAAATTCCAAACCCCCATGAATGAAGGCTTACCCGAATGAAGACCCCCTCAAAACCAGCTCAAAAAGAAGGCACCTGAGGCAAGGTTCGCACTTTCGGCGTTGCCTTTTTCGGCACATCGGCCCAGTGACAGAAAAAACCAAGGGGCTATTGTCCCATGTAAGGGAAGAAAATCTATTCATCCGCCATCTCAGCATGAATGATTTTCTGCTCTGATCAGCTTTGTGCTGGTTGACCCGCTTTTCCCTCGTGCCCTAGTGAAAGAAACCAATGGAGATTGATTTAAAATAGGTTTATGAAACACCAACCCAGATTCCAACAGTTTCAGGGCTTTGTTTTCCGGGCCGATGCCTGGCCATGAGACTGGGCCTGCAAAGGTGTGGGAAAGTTCACAGAAGGAGTGGCAGGAATTTCGTGCGCCAAAAGGGAGTTGGGACATATATGTCTATTTCTTTATATATATATATATTTATGTCTATATATTTATATATGTATATGTATCTACACATGTGCGTGCCCCCAGCAAAAAATCCCGATTGAGGCATGGGTATGATGATGCCGGGCATGATGATGCCGGGCTTCAGCGGCTATGACATGCTGAGTGCCATGGGGATGGCCGGCATGGGCGCGCCTGGCGCAAACTTGGGACCCGGTCGGTTCGCCGGTTTCCCGGACCCGTTTTTGTGATGGGCTAGGTCCTCTCACTTCCTGAGTTGATGGACTTTAAGCTTTTTGGAAAGACCATTTTAGTGGTAAATAAAAAGTTCGGACTCTTTTTGGCCAGTCAACTTGACAAGTGAGTCCTGCAGCAGTGTCCTTTCACATCCTTTCACCTTTTTTACAGGAAAAGTTGGTACCCTTGTTCTAACCTCTCTACTGAAGGACCTGGTGGTTCTCTTGAAACTCACCAAGACAGTTCAAGGAAGGGTGCCCTCCCTCCCCATGGCCAAAAGAGGTTTTGGTGGTCTTTTGGGAAACCAACAGAAACCATTGCCTTTCTTTGGGTTCCCCTTAGAGACGATCCCATTTATGTAGGCAGAAACTCTGAATGACCGGTTTGGACCCGCATGTCCTTCAGGTACTTCGCTGAGTTCTTGAGTTGGCTGGTGCGTTTCCTCAAAGAATTAAAGTGTCATCCAAGAGATTGTACCTTTGAACGTGAGCATCAACGATTGTTCCGCAGGCACTGCATTGCTACATTCAATTCAAGTCGCTCTCTTGGTGAGCCCTGGAACTCATTGTTCCATGCCCATTGCGCGGGCTCAAATTTCTGAAGCCATTGCCGTTGACAAAGTTGTTGATGGACCTATGAACTAGGGGTTCGAATAAGCGATTCATTTAATCCAAAAGACCCGCATAGAGCTGGGGAGATTCCTTTAAAGGAAGCGTGGCCAGGCGCATTTGCCCAGCTCCAACCGGCCGCGTAGAGTCACGCGGCAGGCCCCTCAAGAACCCCCGCTGGTCATGGAGAGAGGTACTACTCACTCCATGAGTTCTGGACTTTGTGTGTTTCGCGAAGGCCATTTAAGCGGTAAACAACAAGCTTAAGTTCTTTTGTCTAGCCAACCCACTCAGGAAGTGAGACAACCCCCGCTAGTTGTTGAGATAGTTATATTTTTAATTTGGGGCTGTCAGCCCTTTCCAGAACAACATCCAACCACCAAGCACGGACCCCTTTGAAGACACTTGTCGTTCCATAGGTCAGGGTTGTCAGGGACATGCTTGGTGATGCTTGATGATATTTGCCTTCTCTCTTTTTCAGAAACTATCATGGCCTTTACCACAAACGAACAAAGGAACTCAAGTTGGGGGCTCTGATTCAGACCACAAAACTCCGATCCTACCAACATGGGTGGGTGTTCTGACAAGGTCCCCCAGTCTTTCTCACCCCTTATTTGGTTGGGAGGGTTCCCCTTCTAAAATAGACTATCGACAAAAATCAAGTTGGTACCCGTATTCTAGCCTCTCCACTGGGGGACCTAGCTGATCTACAAATTATTCACTTTTTCAACAGGGGATCCGATCTCCCCAAAAAAGAAGAAGAAACCGTGACATGGATCGCTTGGACTCGCCGGATGGTTGTTCAGCGCAGCGTAGCGAAGCGACGGCAGGCATGGGCATGGCGATGCCGGGCATGGGCATGCCCGGGCCTCACCGCTCTCGGGTTCTCTCCCTACGGAGGGTTGCGACATCCAACTCGCCACCCCAGGAACCACCCTTCCCCTACGTAAACTTCCATTTGGTTAGGAATATGTTTTATTTTCCCCTGTTGGTTTTAAAGGGGATCTATCACTACTGGAATATGTATTTTCTTTTTCCAGGGGACTTAAAGGGAGAAAAAGGAAAACCTGCTTTTGTTCGGGAGGGATCCGATCGGAAGATCCTCCAGGGGAATGGAGCTCCTTTTTGGGATTCCATGTGAATGGGTTGTTAAACAAAGAGTATCGCGCCTTAGGTTGCATCATTTGACCCAAAACGAGCAAGGGATTCTACTGAGTTCAGACTTTGCAGGGGCTCCCACCGGAGGGGTACTTAGATCCGGGGTTAGCAAGCCTACTGAGAAACCCCCCCTAAGCCGGATCAAACTGGCTAGGGGGTTACAACCCGAGTGGCTAACCACTTACTAACTTGCACCATCCAAGTACGAGTGCCCAACGGCGATGCCTTCTAGCTCATCCCGTACAGAGGTTAGAATAAGGGTGCCCTTGTTTCTGCAGCCTATTTTAGTAGGGGCTTCCCCTCCCCCCCCAAAAAAAAGTACATGGGCACTGGGGGGCCTAGCCTTTGTTTGGCCGTTAAGGATCATTGACCAGAACCTTCCGGCGTTTCCCCCTCAGCATTGGATCATGTTTCCCCAATCCCAGGCACCAGCTCCACGAAATGATTCCGAGGTGGGAAGCAGAATTCAAACTAAAAAAGTTGTTCAGAAGTCTCCCCAACGACCGCTTCTGGCTGGGGTTAGCTATATATATATATATCCACCAAATACCCAGCGTTTTGGTTGCCTTCCTGTAGAAGGTCTCTCACTCACTCTCTCTCTCTCTCTCTCTCTCTCTCTCTCTCTCTCTCTCTCTCTCTCTCTCTCTCTCTCTCTGGCCCTCTGCCGTTGCGTCCAGAGGGTCTTGACTCAGCAAGGCAACGAACAAGGTGCCCATTGATATTCAGGTTAGCTACATATTCACCAAGTACCAGTGTTTTCGTGAACTTCCTGGGACAGCCCCCGGTGAAAGTAAGTAGCGCAAGCTCCCCATTTGGGTTTCACTGATAAGGAATGACCTTCCCGGTGGTGGGAATGCACAAGAAGGGGGTTCCCTTGTTTAAAGGAAACCATAGGGGATAGTTGTTTATGGGTCATTCCATTTCTCATTCCCTCCCGGGAGCCAGCAACTTCATCGTTTCCTCAACCCCGCCCATTCTTTTTGCTCCATCGCTCTCTCTCTGGAAGGAATGGGGCAAGTGCAGCTTGAAAAGTGGATGACATCGGGCACACACCGCTTGTCATTTACCGTTGGGGCGGCCCTTGTGAAGCCGCGGTCTGTTTTGTTTTGTGGGGGTGGTTCAGGTACGCCTTGATTTGGATTGGTGGTTTGCATTTGGATTTGACCCTGGTTCTTGTTGAGGGCAAATCGGACGCCGGCGTGTGTGTGTGTGTGGGTGCGTGCGTGCGTCCGTGCGTCCGTGCGTGCGTGCGTGGGTGGGTGGGTGGGTGGGTATGTGGGCAGGTGGGTGGGTGGGTGGGTGGGTGGGTAGGTGGGTGGGTGGGTGGGTGCGTGGGTGCGTGGGTGCGTGGGTGGGTGGGTGGGTGGGTGGGTGCATCCGTGCGTCCGTGCGTCCGTGCGTCCGTGCGTGCGTGCGTGCGTGGGTGTGTGTGGGTGTGTGTGTGTGTGTCTGTGTGTGTCTGTGTGTGTGTGTGTGTGTCTGTGTGTGTGTCTGTGTGTGTGTCTGTGTCTGTGTGTGTGTCTGTGTGTGTGTGTCTGTGTGTGTGTGTGTCTGTGTGTGTGTGTGTCTGTGTGTGTGTCTGTGTGTGTGTCTGTGTGTGTGTCTGTGTGTGTGTCTGTGTGTGTGTCTGTGTGTGTGTGTGTCTGTGTGTGTGTCTGTGTGTGTGTCTGTGTGTGTGTGTGTCTGTGTGTGTCTGTGTGTGTGTCTGTGTGTGTGTCTGTGTGTGTGTCTGTGTGTGTGTCTGTGTGTGTGTCTGTGTGTGTCTGTGTGTGTCTGTGTGTGTGTCTGTGTGTGTGTCTGTGTGTGTGTGTCTGTGTGTGTCTGTGTGTGTGTGTCTGTGTGTGTGTCTGTGTGTGTCTGTGTGCGTCTGTGTGTGTCTGTGTGTGTCTGTGTCTGTGTGTGTCTGTGTGTGTCTGTGTGTGTCTGTGTGTGTCTGTGTGTGTCTGTGTGTGTCTGTGCGTGTCTGTGTGTGTCTGTGTGTGTCTGTGCGTGTGAGTGCGGGTGAGCGCGTGTGTGCGTGTGTGCGCGTGTGTGCGTGTGTGCGTGTGTGCGTGTGTGCGTGTTTGTGTGTTTGTGTGTTTGTTTGTTTGTTTGTTTGTTTTGTTTGTTTGTTTGTTTGTTGTTTGTGTGTTTGTGTGTTTGTGTGTTTGTGTGTTTGTTTGTTTGTTTGTTTGTCTGTCTGTCTGTCTGTCTGTCTGTCTGTCTGTCTGTCTTTCTGTCTGTCTGTCTGTCTGTCTGTCTGTCTGTCTGTCTGTCTGTCTGTCTGTCTGTCTGTCTGTTTGTCTGTGTGTGTGTGTGTTTGTTTGTGTGTTCGCGTGTCTGCGTGTTTGTGTTTTTGCGAGTGTTTGTGTTTGTGTTTGTGTCTGTGTCCGTGTCCGTGTCCGTGTCTGTGTCTGTGTGTGTCTGCGTCTGTGTGTGTCTGTGTGTGTTTGTGTGTGTCTGTGTGTGTGTCTGGTTGTTTGTATCTGTGTGTGTGTGTCTGTTTGTTTGTATCTGTGTGTGGCTGCGTGTGTGTCTGTGTGTGTGTGTGTGGGTGTTTGTTTGTATTTGTGTGTGTGTGTCTGCGTGTGTGTTTGTGTGTCTGTGTGTGTGGGTGTGCGGGTGTGTGAGTGTGTGTGCGTGTGTGCTTGCGTGTTTGATGATTTGAGTGCCTGTCGGCCGGTGGGACTTCCCTCGTGCGGATGGGTTCCGCCTTTGGCTTGCTGAGGATGGGCATGCCCACCATGCCGGGCATGATGCCCGGGATGCTCCCGCAGCAGCCGGAGTCGGGATCCGCCAAGGCGGCACCCAAAGCCGCAGCTTGAGGCACCCTGGCTGGGCGTTGGAGCCGGGAGACTGAGCGCCACGGGATGGGCTCTTTGGTTTGACGGGCTTCGAAGACTTGTTGTTTTGCCTTGCTTTCCCCCAAATCAGGTAACCATTAGTTGATAGTTTGGATTGGTGACCAGTGATTGGTGGTTTGAGAATTTGGATTGGCGGTTCGGAAATTGCCTGCAAAATGCCAGGGAACACACTAAGACTAGGAATGATCCCATGTTCCTTGGAAGGTTTTTGGGAAACACCACGCCCTCCTTCCCCCAACCCCGCGAAACAAGCGATTCTCATCAAAATGGAGACCCGGCTCACCTACAAAAGTGAGCCGAATCTCACAAAACGGGGGGGAACCCCCGATCAAACATCGACCGCCCAGTACCAATTATTTTTATCATGGGTGTTTTTTAGGGGACCCCCCAAGAAGTGTTCTTTTCTTTTGCGGTTCCCCTCAAATCTAGCAAAACAGCATACGTTCAAAACAGACAGACCCATGTGGGGAAACTCGGAAAGGTCAACACTCTAAGGTTGATTCGCTTTGGACTATAAGACCAAAGGACCAACAGCAATTTCTAGTTCTCGCTTCCGGGCCACCGTTGAACCCGGAGGGGGGTGAGTTTAGGTGGTTTGCCAGCGGTTTGCCTTTTTGGGAATCCAAGTTGCAAGACGGCGACTCAAAGGCCATGGATAGGCTGGCAAAACAGGCAACTCTGCATGGGTTTAACAAGCGGTTTGTATTGGCTTAATTTACCCTCCGTGTCACTTTTTGGGGTTGGACCATCTTGGAGGTGAATTACTAGTCGGGCAACTTTTTGCCAATCCGCTCAGGAAGTGACAAGGGGAACCAAAGGGGGATGACAAAGACGATGAAGCGCAATGCCTATATGAAACATGCAAAACTAACAACTACAACTTTGCAGACAATCAAAATTAAGACACAACACAACAATATGGCACATATTTGTTTGTAGCTGAACACCAGAGTAGTCTGTGAGGATTTGCAGCTTGTGATGGCTTTCATGGGCCACTTGTTGGGGGGGTCACTTTTCGTCGGCCCCGGGTGTTCGCAGGCCGAAGACATAGTTCCTATCCACGGGGCCCCCAGCGACCCATCCTTGAGATCCAAAGAAGCCTTTTGAGTCATGGCTGACAGTCGAATACTATGGCTCGAGGATCATTTTTTGCGTGCACCCCCCACTGTACTTTTGCAGGCGGAATTGCTTTTTGGTGTGTCGTTTGTGTTTGTGTAGCCGGTGGCTCAAAGGAAAACTAAAGGAAAACCACCAGTTTGGGCATTCGGACACCGAGGCTTCAGATGTTGGGGAAATCCAAGAGCCAGCATTGAACCCCTCGAGGCGTTTTGGAGACGGAGCTGTCCTGAGCAATCGGACGAAATCGAGCCAAATGGAGCCGAGTCTGCCGGCGTTTGCTCAGACTGCGCTTGCCTCGCCTAGTCCTCGAGATAAGCCCAGAGCCCAAGAAAGATCCCAAGAGCCCTGCAAAAACTGTCGCAAGAGTTACCTGCGCAACACATAAGCTTGCTGTTTAACGGGGGTTTACCAGATTAGCAACGCACTTTCAGATCACCTTTTATAGCTTGTACCGTGGCTAAGTGTCAAACTAGGGACACCTCCAAATGCTCTCTTTGCCATGGTCTCCTTCGAAGGGATGCTGCTGAAAGGGTTCCCTGGCTTTGACGCGTAGCCACGTGGAGCATTTTTGTGTGACCCCCGGCACCCGGAAAAGAATGCTGTGAGGTGCGCAGTTCGACAGTCGACAGGTCGAAGTTGGCAGGGACAACGACCTTATGCGAAAGGAGCGCAAAATGACGCGGTCTGACGGGATTCGACTAGGCCCCCGAGTGACTTAGTGCCCTTTCTCACCCCTTCGGCGGGCGGTTCCCCTACTAAGAATCATGACTCCATTTGTAAATGCCAACCAACAATGGCTTCCTATGGTTTCCACAAGTGGAGTCACATGCGCTTGTTGCTGAAGCATGCGACTGAATCCAAAGTTGCAACTTGGCAACAAAAGCGGTTTACCCCAAAGGTGGAACAAATACCATGGTTTGGTCTCCTGAGTAAATTTCGACAAAGTGGTCTAGGTCCCCCAGTAGTGCCCTTTTGCCCTTTTTTGGGGGAGGGTTCCCCTACTAAATTAGACTGCCGAAAAAAAAGTTGGTACCCTTATTCTAACCTCTCAAATCTGGAGGACTTAAACTTAGTTGTTTTCATTTTCAGTTGACCAGGCGGCAACTTGGCAGTGTAGTTTGGTCGCTGGGGTAGATTCTTAGGACTTACACATGGTTGTCGTTGGGAAACATTTTACATTTTTGCTTGTTGTGGTTTAGTGGTTGAAATCCAACCACTTAACTCCTAAAATGTATTTTTTTGCTCCCCTTCCAACGTCAACCAAGTACAGTTGCACAGGCTTTTTTAGTCCCGGCCTGCCTGAACACGCCTTCAGGACAGATAAACCATGGAAGTCCTCGACTGTTTTATTAAAATTGTCTGTTTGGAACGGCCGTTTTTGGCCAGTAACCGTTTGTGTAATATAGCATGTTATATATATATATATAGTTGCCGTTTTTGGCCAGTAACAGCCGTTTGTGTAATATAGCATGTTTTTGTTTTTCTTTTTTACGTTGATGTTTATTGTAGACGTTGAGAACGTTTGAGAGCCCAAGCCATTGAAGCATGTTGCGAACTCGGGGAACTGGGCGTTCTGACCTTCAGCCTCCACAAGTTTGGCTCGGAACCAGCCATCCGATCCAGAAGCCTTTGCAAGTTTTTAGTTTGTTTAGTGGTAGTGTCCCAATTTCGGCCGCAAAAAGGTTAGAGCGGGGGAGAGAAAACGGGCAGCCCAGAAAACTCTGGAGAATGACCGGCTTCTTATGACTTTTGACCGGGGGTCCAAGCCCAAGCCACAGTAAATCCTGGAAATCTGGCCACCGCTTCTTGGCTCACCCGCCGATGGCTCTTCAGACACTGGAAACGGCGACCGGGACACGTGTTGATGCACACCATCAGCGAGGCGCACACCAGATCCCCCCATAAAGAAGTCGCGCCAACCCTAGCTCAAAATTAGAAGCTGGAAAAGCGAGCAAGACCTGCAGCCCTGGCGAAAGCTTTTCTGCTGGCATCGATTCGGACTGGAGATGCCCGGAAGCTCAAGAAACCGTCGGGTTCTGGGTGCAAAGCGGCAGGCAAAGATTGGCGCAAAAAAGCAAGGGGTCACCTTTTTGGAGGGTGGTCCCCTTAATTGGTGCTTGGGACACCAAACCTAGGTCCTCCAGCTAAGTGCCCTTTCTCACCCCTTTTTTGGGGAGGTTTCCCCTACTAGAATAGAGTAAAGAACAAGGGTACCCTTATTCTAAGCTCTCTACTGGAAGGAACATCACCATTTTGGGTGTCCGATCCCTGAAAAAGATACCCAAATTGTAAAAAGCTTACTCTGGGGTAGAACGAGCTTTGTTGGGTGGATTCGAGTGCCTGCAATGAAGGCTGCATGTGCTGAAAACCGGGAGCCTTGGGGGCACGAATGTGTTTTAAAGGTTTCTTAATTCAGGTTGGTGAATGGTAAGTGGCCCCAAAGGGTTTGTGTTTTCATGCCCCCCTTCCCAAAAGTGGTACAATGTATACCCCTTATGAAGTGAACAAGAACCCGGGAAGGCACAGGGAATACTTGGCAAGCATTCTTTTGGGAACTTGCACCTTCGGTTCTCCTGTGTATGCACACTATCTTGCACCAGTTGGCATGAGTGGGATCCTGGTTTGGACCATGTTCCTTTAAACGGGACCACTTCTCTGGTGGGGAGTCCAGGTTGCGTCAGTGGACAGGAGGGCATCGGTTCGATGTTGTTGCCTTCATTTTTTGTGTGTGTGTGTGTGTGTTGAGGCTCGGTCCCCTTGTTTGGGGTTGGTGTTTCTCGGCAAGCCCAAAGGACACGGTACGGAAACCGTACGGAAACCGCGAGGCTCGCGGGGCGAGAACGTAAGGCCATGGCGGAGGACAAGCAGCGCCGGCAGAAGTTATGGAAAAGCATGCAGCAGAGAGGCGGATGGTGGGTCCATTAACACCCGGACTGGTGGTTTGGATTGAAAGTTTGGGTGAAGGCGCCCCAGTTCCGTCCAAACCAAACCAAACCACTAGCTGGGGTAAGATGATGAACTGAACTTGACATCCGCAAAATGATTCCCATTCAAAGGTTGGTTTAAAGGAAAATCACCTCCACAAGTAGTTTTGAGCCCCCCTGCAGATGTTCACGAGCCCTACCGGCACGGAGAATGCTAGCGAATGAATAGACCGGTGGATGGTGATCGGGGGGTGTACCACCTTGTTGAATCCGGATCGCTGGGCCCGCCACACGGAATTTCACGGGTTCCACTTCGGATTGGCTGGATTTCACCCTCTTTGTTTTTTTTTGTGGAAGGCACCAACCTGAAGGGGCGAGAGGCTTCTCTTGGTTTTGTTTTTCTGGGGGGGGGGAGGGGGTTCTCTGCTTATGGTGTGGCACCATTTTCACACAGCTGGATGCTCAAAAGCGCATGCTGCTTGATTTCTCTGGAAGAAGCCGTAAGAGGGTAGGGACTTGCCAGACCCTTCTGTTTTGCCCGTTTTCAAATGGAAGAATTTCCAAAAATATTCGGCCCGTTTTATGGATATGTTTGGAGTATGGCAAAGCCTGCACTGCATGAACGTAGCCTTTTTGTTGGAGAACCCAGAAGGCAGCCCTCCGTTTTGAGAAGCACGCACTTCCGTTTGCTGAAGCACGTATTTTGTTTGTTGGTTTAAAGGGAATCAAAATTACTACTGGGCCTATGTCTCTTTCAGTTTCTCCAGGGGGTCTCAAATGCAAATGGAAGCTCATCTCGGGTTTGGCCGACGCTGAAGCAACAAGCGAACACGTGTGTGGCTCAAAATGAAAAAGCTAGCGAGTTACACATGGTTTAGTTGTTGGTTCCAAACTGGGGATGGACGAGACCCTGCACCCCCTAAAAACCTGTGGGAAACCACAAGTTGTTGGTTTTTACAGGGGATTCATCATTCCAGGGTTTCTTTGGTAGTGCAGGATTTCGTCCATCCACAGTATTTTGGTTGTCATTGTTTGGTTGCCACAGCGGAAAAGTTCGAATCGAGAGCCGGAGGCATCCAGAAGTTCATGCAGCAACGGCCCGCTGACTTCCGGCGCCGCGCGCGCAAGGGCATCCCCCCGGAATACCGCGCCGAGGCTTGCGCGGCTTCCTTGGCGTTCGGACGCTCCGAAAAGCTCAGAGAGAGAGAGAGCGAGAGAGAGAGAGTTCCAATTTCGCCTCTATTCTCAGCCCTGTTGACCCCAGAATTAACCAACCGCTTATTAATAGGGCGGTGCTTTTCCCTGGGTGAAATGTGGGGAATCAGACCACTTGCGGATGGGAACACCCCCCTATGATTGATATGGGGTCAACATCACGCCTAATATTGTTTTCTTTGGAAAACCCGGGTCTCCTTGTAAATACCTCCTTTTTTGGTAAAGGGTCGACATCATACCCTAGACAAGTCTGTGTACGGGGGGAGATATCTGCCTCACTTCCTGTGTAGGTATTTAGCACTCGATGTAGGTCTTGAGGCACCTTAAATAAGTTTCTGTCAAGTGCCAAAACGCTGGACGGGTCGCAAGCTGAGGTTGGACGACCGGGCATTGGTGATGGCTCAGTTGTCCAACCAATGTGACCGGTCATTGCTGTTGGCCTCCCTTTCAGGGTCAGAGTCAGTCATAGAGAAGGTTGTTTTCCTTGTGGAATCACAGAAGTGGGCATGGATGATGTCGGGGTGATGTTTAACTTTCTTTTGACGGCGTGGCGAGGGAGTGGGAAATAGAATCAGCGCGGCAACACCAAAAAAGGTTGCCGTATCTTTTCTAGTTCGCTGCAGCAATCAACTGAAGATACTTACCCTTTTCTTGCCCAGTCAAGCCGCAACAGAACGTTGTTTGCCTGTATGTTTATTTTGCATTTGAGCCACAATACGATCGCTGCTCGACTGTTGTTCCCCGAAATCTTCCAAGTGTTGGGCTCCTTGGAACTTGGAACAAAGGGGTTTCCGAGTTCTGCCGCATACATACTTTAAACCGCACAGCTACTTTCAACCCATTCAATACCAATCGTTCAAAACCGTGTTGGCTGTCCTTTTGATAGTCACAGGAAACAGGATAAGTCCACAAAGCAAACAATGTTGGTCATGAATGCTGCCCCCCCGGACTGATACACCCGTCCTTTTAGCTTCCATTTGCTTAAGAATATTTGCTAAATGATGTTTCCTTGCTGGTTTCAAACGAAGTCTATCACTACTGGAAAATATTTTCTCATGATTTCCGGACTAAAGGAAATGACAGTTAATAGGGGGTGTTCCCTGCCAGACAGTGATGCATCCCTACTTCCCATTCAGGCTGACAACTCCGCCGACTCGGCAGGCGTGGAAGGCAGCCTTGCATGCAGATGCTCATGCAAAGCCAGGTCTTTATCAGGCGGCTCGGCGCAGCGAAAGGGTGGGGATGACCGGGCAGTGAGCTAGCGAGCTACCGGGGGGGGGGCGGAAGAGCTCACTCTCCTTTACTTGTGGTTCATGTGGTTAAACTTGATGAAAGCAAGAGAATAAGGCCCTGGTTGCCGCAGTCCACACATCAACTGCTCAGATGCCCAATGGCCATGGGAAAAATGGGCACCCTTTTTTTGGTGGTTGAGTTTAAAGGGAAACCCTTACCCTAAAAACAAAGGGTATGACTGGGCAAGATTTGAAGGGGTTCGTAGATGGGCTATGCTTTCAGGCTTTGAACTGAGCGTTGGCACTAGGGCCCCATTCCTTGTGAAATGGGCGATGCATGGGAAAGTCGGAAAATGCCTCACCCCCCTTCTCTTGGTTTCTAGACTTGAATCTTTGCGAGAAAAGCCATTGGTTCGGGATAAACAAGAAGTCCGGAGCTTTAAGTTTCATTCCACTCAGGATTCGTGAGATAGGGTTTCCCTGTATCACTTCCTGGCATTCATGGCACTGGGGTTTGATGGCAGTTCTTGGGCTTGATCCTTTGATTTGGTTCTGAAGATGAGTGAGTTAGGTTTGCAACATATGTCTGGATTTCTGGCGAAGATGTTTCAACAGCCAAACACAGGATTAACTGTTTTGTTTTTGTTTTCCGGGACATGAGGCATCAACTGTGAGTTTTTTGGGGCTTCCGGGCATGTGGCTTTGTTCTTTGGTCTTCCAGCAGTGAGCACATTGACATGGGCATTCCCCGAAGCACAGCTTGAGATATTGATTGGGCCCTTCGGCCTTTTTGGCCACTCCCTCCCGTGTCGTTTTGGGCTTGGTCGTCGTTTCTTTTTGGGGTCTTAAACTTGACATTTGTTGTGGTACTGTGGATGGACGAAATCCTGCACCACCTTGCAACCATAGGAAACCATTGTTGGTTGTCATTTACAAGGGAATCATCATTCCAGGGCTTCTTGGGTGCGAAACGGATTTCGTCCATCCACAGTATGTAAAATATTCAAGCTTTTTCCCATTCCACTGTTTTTGTGGCAAGGTGGGAGGGGTTCCGGCGGTTCCGGTGCCAGGGACTTCAGAGGACAGAGAACGAGTTCATCCACCTCATAGAGATTGATATCCCCCGGACCTTCCCGGAAGCTCGTTTGCGGCAAAGTGGCGAAGCGAGCAAGCAAAACGAAAACGCGAGGCGGGAAACAAGACCAGTTCTTGTTAAGGAAAACAGCACTGAGGACTTTTGGGTAATTACCCTGGGCCAGGATTCATTGGGTTTTGCCTTACTTGGAGGCTGTTTGGGGCTCGAGCCTTGAGGAATTGCTTGTGACTAGCCTTGCTGATTGTCCTTGCATTGCCTGGCTAAGCTTACAGTTTTTGGAGTTTTGATTTTTGGGTGTTCCTACTTGTCCTTTCTTCACTCCCGTTCATGGACTGCATGAAGCTGCGCGAAGCAGGCTTTGTCCAGCAGTAGGGACTTTGTTCGGGGTCTCAACCATGTACAGTTTTTTGAAAAATGAAACAGACTCAGAGGCCTCAGAAAATACCCTCCCACCGACTAACGTGGAAGTGCACAGGCCCCTGTAGAAAGATCATGTTCCTTTTGGAAAGGGGGTCTGTGCACTTCCGACGCTTTTCTTTTCGTCACTCCTGGCATGTCAGCAATACCCTCCCCTTCAGAAAGATGGAACCTAAGGGTGTCCTGGAAGATCGCGTTTCTTTTGGCAGCCCTGGCTCCGGGAACATGGTTTTGGAGTACTCAAGATGGGCCAAGTTTTGCTGCTTCCCGTCTCAGGAAGAGCCCAGCTTCACCAAAGCCCAGTCGGGGCCCTTGAGACGCGAAGCCCATCAGCGGATGGCCTATGGATGAAGGAATAGAACATCACGGGAGGGAGCCCAAATAAGCTCTAGACAAGGCCTTCAGGGATTAAGGGCTCATTTAGGCTCCCTCCCCCTCCTGCCAAAGGTTCATCTAGTGCGTACATGGGTGTGTCAAAATCGGCACACATCGTGGTGATGGTTTGCGCACCCTTTCCGTTCTACTCACTCCCAGTTTGTCCCGTGGTGGGAAACAAAAAAGTTCAGTCTCCTTGAGCAGGAGGCTTCCAAAGTGCCAAATTGCGTCAGGGCCAAAGCGTCAGAGCGTCTTGCGCGGCGCGCTCCACTTGATGGCGAGATCGAGTCCCGCATGTTGGTTAGTCACCCCCAATGTTTACTTTGTTTATTTACACGCAGGGGAATGGTGCCATTTACTTTGACCCTGGTGTACCCACGAGATGGCTGGGGCAAACTGGGACTACAATGGAATTCAAACGTGTTGTGTTCTGCCTCCCCGCAGCAGGGTGTCTCTTTTTGTGTGTGTTTGATGTTTGGCCACGATGAACATGTTGGAGCCTGCCCCGAGGCAGATGAGCCTCTTTCGCATTCTGAAGGCCTATGCGAACCTTTGCCCTGACGTTGGCTATTGCCCGGATCCTATGGGTTCTGAAAGCCATGCGCCATGAAAACCGATGGTAAGTGAAGGTTGAATGCTCCGGATGGACGAAATCCTGCACCACTTTGAAACCATAGGCCACCATTGTTGGTTGGTATATGTACCAGGGAATCATCATTCTAGGCTTTCTTGGGTGGTGCAGGACTTCATCCATCTTCAGCAGGTGCTGGCCTTTTCATTCGTTACATGGTTCAATTTGCCATGTTTTCAGGGTGTCCGTTTTTTTTGGGGGGTGAAGTTTAAACCACGCCATTTTGGGGGTCCCAAAAGCAGACGAGCCGCCCTTTTCTTGCTATCTCTTGTAAGTTGCCCTAGGTCACCTGTGGCCTCCCCCCAATGGGCCCAGAGCTTTCCAAGAAATGGGCCGCCTTGAGAGTCTCGTGGGACTTCATTTCTTTCGTCCCAAGTCCCCGTGAGTATTTCTGGGGGAAGATTTTAAATGAGTCGCCTCACTTGTCCCAAGCGAATCGACCGATCGAAATTCGAGCTTTTGGTTTTTCCAAGTTTGGGCCAACCCATCTGAGTGGTGGTCCATTTTTGCGCTCAAGCAAACATGTATAGATGTTGAAATATCAGCAAGAAACGTGGTGCCGCACTGCAGACGCGGAAGGTTCGGTTTGCGGAAGGTTTTTTTCCCGCGGAAGCTCGCGGAAGGGACCCTTTTGATTTGCACGGTAGTTTGATATCGGTTGGGTGGTTGTTGCCAAGCACGTTTACTAGCAAACCGTACGCACGAATTCCCTCGCGGAAGCTACCTTCCTCAGTTTCCAGAAGCAACTTGCCTGCGCAAGGCCCGCAGAAGCACTTATACAAGCTTATGTAGAAACATGCTCGCGGAAGGTACCCTTCACAGCGCGGAAGCTTCGCGGAAGGTTTCGCGGAAGGGCTTGATACGTCAATACAAATCTAGGTCCCCCAGTAGTGCCCTTCTCTCCCCTTTTCTGGGGGGAGGGGAAGCCCCTACTAAAATAGACTACAGAAAAAAGTTGGTACCCTTATTCGAACCTCTCGAATCTGGAGGACCTAGAAATTGCAATAAAAGCCACCTATTTTTGATGGCCCGCATGCAGGTGATCGATCCCCTCCAGGTCCCCGCTTGCAAGCTCGCATGCAGAACGCGAGATCACCCGGGGCGAGGCATTTCATTTTACCTCTTAAAAACCCAACTTTTCAACTTGTTGGGGCAACATGGGCTATAGGTCTGTAAAATATTAACTTCCCCAGGGCTTGGAGTTTTGGTAAGTCATCCTTTCCGCAATTCCCTTCGGTCCGCTTCGGGCTTGATCTCTCGGACTTGGCTTCGGAGAGGCAGTGGTAAGTAACACGCTGGACTTTCAGCTTTTTGGGCTGGGTGGCCAAATTTTAGTGGGAAAAAACAAGTTCCTGGTTGTTTTTGGTGGATCCAATCTGCACTCGATCGGAAGTGAGTTTTGGCATTTTTGCATTTTGGGCTTTCGGCCTTTCGGCCTTTCGGCTGGCGGCTGCTCGGTTTAGAAGTGAGGCATTATAAGGGCTGGTTTTTGATGAATCCACCCAATTCGAATCGCACCACTTGCCGGCGAGGTAGCCACAGCCTCTGGCCAACATTTTAGATGCACCTCCAAGTGAGATCATATGTGAGGTACCCCCGTTTTGTGGTTTTAAGGGCAAACCAAATGGACAACCGAAGCCGCTTAGGGGTCCCCGGGTCCCCTCAAAAAAGCTGAGCCGCCGCCGCACATGGCGTCACCTCCAAAACTAGCTATAGGATCAGAATCGGACATATACTCCCCTACGGAATCCAGTTCCCAAAAGGATTTTTCAAGCTAAGGATTGATGCTTCTTGTTGGGTTTCACGTTAATCTGTGGGGCATTTTCTTCTGTGTACCCTTTTTGTGGGCCGAAAACCGGGCCAGCGAGTCGCACACGCGGACACGGGAGTCGCTTAGCCGGCAGAGTCGTGGTTGAGGCCAAGGCATGAACTTTGTGGCGGGGCTCTTGCTGCTGGCCCGGGGCCTCTCTCACTATCCAGAAACAACACGATGTTCACCTCGCGGAGTCTCATGATTTTTCAGGGAACAGGAATCCTAGATTGATCAACCCCAGTTTGATCCAGTTTGTCATCACGGGGGTCTCTCTCTGAAACGTGGGGGTTCAGACGACTTTTGGACGGTTGGTGCAAAGCGGATGTCTATCCACAGGGAGCCGTACTTTGGCCCGTTTCCACATACCTCAGCAGGCCCTCAACAAAGAATCAACATACTGTGGATGGACGAAATCCATTTCGCACCACTTTGAAACCATGACAAACCTATGTTTGTTGGTATTGACCGGGGAATCGACTCATTTCGTTGGGCTTTTGAGGTGGTGCGTTGGATTTCGCCACCATCAGTCTGGGCCTGTCGCGAAAAATGCACCACCCTTGGATGTTAGGGAAGCCGCCAAGCCTGGGGTTCCGAAGTTTGAGAATCGATTTGTTGGCCCTAGAGGTCTCCAAAAGCCAATGTGTGTTGGCTTGGCCCATTGAGAAGAGCCCGCTTTTTTTTCCATTTGCCTAAGAAAATGTCTTGTTGTATTCCCCTGTTGGTTTTAAAGGGAATCGATTTCACTGTTTATGTTCTCATTTTGCCCAGGGGACGTATAATAACGCAAATGGAGGTCATGATTTTCTGGCAGACTGAGGTTGCCCAGGGCGGGCTCTTCGGTGAAAGGGTGCAGCCTGAAACGGAAGAGGCCTGGCCTCGTTGCCGTGGCGTTTCTCGAAAGTAGTTTTTTTTGTAACAGGGGACCTGTGAGCAGTCCAGAATAGATGGCACTGGTTTTGACTAGGGCCATCTATAGTTTTGAAAAGGCCCCAAGAAGACTTGGGTGGGTATGTGTCGTTTTGAGGGCTAGTTCAAAGGGAAGCCACAAGGATGTAGGCTCCTTAATTGGGGGATTGAATTCTTATTTCAGGTTTTGGTTGTTTTGCGGAAACCAACCAACAAGGGGTTCCGCCCAAAAAAAGAGCGACCCATTTCGAGTTGCTGGCGAGCGAGAGCGAGAGAGAGAGAGAGAGAGAGAGAGACAGATTTCCAGTTTTGGATTTACAGTAAAAAGCGCAGCGAGAAGTCTCCTTGCTGCACTGCTGCCTCAGGAGACATTCTGGATGTTCTTTAGTCTCATGGAATGTGGCCGCTGCCCCAGCCTTGCAGAAATGGATGGAGAATTGGAGAGAGAGCCCTTTCCAGCTTTCTCTGGATGTTTGAACTTGTGGAAAGTTCTCAAATTATTTTTTGCTTTTGCCGCCCGGTGGTTTGGGGGGTTGAGCCCCAATGGGGAAGGCAACCCAACGTCCAAACCACCAACCTAGATCACCCATCTTTTGCATTCCCTGAGAGTGTCTGGGTGTAATGGACACAAGTTCGGCTGTTCTTGGCATGTGGTGGTTCGGTTTTTTTTTGGTTAGGGGGCCGGGTTTTCTCCGTCTCAGACGGAGCAAAAACCCCATGAAGCCGAGGGGTTCCGAGCTGGCGGCTTGGAGCGCGGTTGGATCTGGATTTGGCTCCTGTCTTCGAGTTGTTTAAGGATACCTGGACCTTCCAACATGTAAAACTCACGCCGTTTCCCGGGTCAAAAGACATAGTTTTCTGAGAAAACAGCAATAATTTTGCACATGTTGGAAGACCCGGGTATTTGTTATCCTCCCCTGTTGGTTTTAAAAGGAACCGGTGTCACAACTGAACATATTTTCTCATTATTTTCAGGGGGCTTAGGCAAATGAAAGTTGTGGGTAGGGCCGGGGACCCGCTCCTGAACCAATCCGAACCACCAATTAGAGGGAAGCGGAAAGAATCGGGAGGGGCCCTCTAAAAGTGGTCTAATTCAGGGACAGCCCTTATTAGGAGGATTTTTTCTGGGTTGGACATTACCCTAGACAAGGCGTGCTTTGAATTAAGGCTTTAAGGGTTCTGATAGGTTTGTTGATAGGGGGCCCAGTCTCTTTTTCTTCCCGAAACACCACCATTCCCACCAGCTCCACTAGCTACCAGGGGCGACCAAACTCATTTGACCCGACCAAGTCTCTCCTTGCCGCAAGAGGTTTTCGGCGCAGGTTCTATGTTTTGGGTACCCCCTAATTTCTCTTCGGTCGCCCATCCCCTCTTAGCATGATGATTGCAGCAAACTTGACGCTCACACCCACCCAGCCCAGCCCACCTTAGTTTACGCCAATTGTCAAAACCAGGGTTGTGGGATCAAGGGTTTTTTCCCCACTTCTGTGATACAAGGGAATCTCCCCCTTTATATGGGGGGTTAGTCTTTGGGAAGCCTTTTTTGTTGTATCACAGAAGTGGTCATTTCCCACAGCCCTGGTCAAAACAAATCCAGCCGAGGTCAATTGAACGGCTTCTACCGGCGGCAGTTCCCACTGCTGAAACGGTGCCCATTTCGCGGGAGGTTTTTAACGGAGATGGTTACATTTTCTTCCATTTCTTCAAGACTATGTTGTGCTTCTTCCTGTTGGTGTTAAATGGAACCTATCACTGTCTAGATTTTTCCAGGGGATTTCAGAAAATGGTTTGGTTTGGGACTCAATTTCAGGGTTCCCTATTTCGAGACAAACCCATTTGACACTATCTTTGCAAGTTTCTCCCAGGGAGGAGGGGTCATTATCGAATTTGTCCAATTTAGCTCACTGCAGTTGAAGGTTTACCGAAAAAGGAATATCAGCTGAACACATTGCGATATGTCTTGCTTCCCCCAAATGGTGGTTTGCCTTGTGGTTCCCCATCAAACATCCATACAACAAACACATAGACATGTATGTGTATGTAGATGGAGCTGCTTGTTCCCATCCAAGCCTTGAGGTGAACAGAATGGAACCCTGGTCGAAAATGGTGGGGTCTCCCCCTCCCTTTTGCGGGAATTCCCCCCCCCCTTTTGCTTTTTTGTTTTTTTTGGGTTCCCTTTGTTTTCCACTCACCTGGCAAAAACGATTTTTTTTTGCTGGGGTCCCTTTTTTCCAGCCAAGTTTTGCGGGAATTGGACACTGCGCCCTTTTCGGGACGAGTTCTGAGATCCGTGCCATTCGGCTCAGCGCGCAGAATGCCATGGGTTTGCCCCGCTGGCGCCGATATCCGGGATCTGCGGGAGGAACCCGACGACCGGGAGCTATGGCGACGCGACATCCATTTCGGGGTATTTTTTTTGGTTAGCCATGTGTTGGTGGCTTTACAGGGAAGCCAAAAGGAAAACAGCCATTTGGGTGGTACCCTAAAAACAGACAGACCCATTTCGCACCACTTGAGAGACCCAGGTTTCTGATTCGATTCCCCCTATCAATGCCAACAAACGTTATGGTTTCAACCAAGGTTTCTTAGGTGAAGGATTTCGCAACCACGGTATTTGCAATGTCAAGTTACCGCGCGGGGGGCCAATGGGAAACTAAGGGTAAACAGGGTCGGGTTTGGGCAAGTGAGTGTCCTATGAATAAATGTATATGAATACAGGGGTGTCCAAATGTGAAGGATCCCCAGTGGGACCTTTGGTTTTTGCCGGACCAAGCTGGGCTTGAGTTTCATTCAACCGGCTGGGATTGCTCGGGGTTCATCCGATCCCACCCCCCGTATCAAATGGGGCGGGGGTATAGTCTGTGGGATGTACTTTTTGTTGTGCCGCAGCGTGGATTCCGTCTCCCACATCCATGATTCAACCTTTTAAGGCTTCAGCCCCCCCTCTCCTCCAGCTTGGACTTTTTGAGTGGGCTGGCCGGGCGCAATGGGCGTTGGAGCTTGGGAGGCTCCGATTTTCACTTCTCCGGTTGGCCCTCGGAGACATAAGCAATGTGGCTTGGGCACGGGGGGCTTTTTTCCCATGGTTGCCAGGGGGGCCCTTTAAAGAGGGGACCCACAGAAAAAGAAATCCGAGCTTCAAATAGGCCTTATTAGTTGCTCTTGGCCCGCGTTGCAATTGAGGACTTGGCCTTTGGGGGTGCTTTTGACCCCCAGCTTTTTTTTGGGAACTTGGTCAATGATCCATGGCCCTGCCATGGCAATGAGACAGGCATCCTTCCAACCTTTGCAGGTCCGACGGCTTCGGGGCCGCTTTCCGAAGCGGAGGCAGCTATGGTGCTTGACAAGATGCTAGGTCCCCCAGTAGTGCCCTTTTACCCCTTTTGGGGCGGAGGGTTCCCCTACTAATATAGACTACCGAAAAAGGGGGGGCCCTTATTCTAGACTCTCTACTGGAGAACCTCTATATCCCTCTTGGACAACCACCCGAGTTTGCAAGTGGATTCATCTCCTCACTTTCTTGAGCCCCCTGAATTAAGATTTATCTTACATCGATCGCAGACTTGTTGACCAGGTATCCCGGATCCCCCTTAGCAGGATTGATCATCGAAGCAGGTTCAGGGATGCACAATACATAACTCTCGGATTGTTTTCATACTGTGGATGGACAAAATCCCGCGCCAGCTAAGACACCCTGGAATGATGATTCCCCTGTAAATACCAATGAAACAAGTGGTTCACCCATGGTTTCAAAGTGGTAAATGGATTTCGTGCATCCACAGTATTGTCTTACTCACTTCCTGAATTAATGAGCTTTAGTCGCTTTTTGGGCTTGGACCATTTTAGTGGTAAATATAAAGTTTGGACTTTCTCTTTTTTGCCATCCACTCAGCAAGTGAGCTTATTCGTTTCGCTTTCATGGCCAGAGCTGAGCCGAGGAGATCTCTTTTCGGGGCCGCCGGTCGCGCGTGAAATCGACGGAAGGCGGGGATCGAGCAGAAGGGAGCGCCGGATTTCACGCATGCCCCCTTAGCAATGGAATTGGGGGAGGCGACTCCCAGAATTTCATTTATGGTAACCCATTTTCCCTTTCATGGGGAAGACTTGAGAAATGGAATCCGGGGACCTACCCCCTCCCCCCCCAATATTTAAAGGAATTTTCACGCGGCAGAAAACGAGGTGAGGACTGCCCAATCGGGCTTGAAGCCTGGGACCATTTTGCATTTATTCCCCCAGCGAAAGGGTGCCCGACCTCTCAGCCCTTTTTTGGTTGGGAGGGGAAGCCCCTACTAAAATAGACTACAAAAAAGGGCACCCTTATTCTAACCCTTCTACTGGAGGACCTAGATTTGAGTGGTCAATGCAAGCAGTTTTTTGGCCAGCCCACTCATGAAGTGAGACAATTACTCCGACCGTGCGAATGTGCGTTTGGAAAGCTCGGTCCAGTTGATTGGGACAGTTTGACGGGCGGAAGGGAGAAAAGGCCAAAAGGCACTGCCAGATTTGGATTGCCCCAAGTGGGTGTGTGGAGTACTTGGGGTTGGTTTTAGAAAGAATATTGACAGGAAAGGCACGCTTGTTTGGGTTCCCCAGACAAAGCGACACACCCAAGTGTGTCAACCTTCAGCTGGGATACGTTGAAATTCCATGTGTTATCAGGTCTGAAGGAAAGAGCCATACATGTCCTTTTGAGTTTGGTCATAGAGGGCGATTCCTGGCTTCCCTGGTGGTTCAATCCAGGGCCATCGATTTTCTTCCAGAGTTCGCCTCTGGATGTTGGGTGTAAAGGTCCGGTAGCACGCCCAAGCTGATATAGTTGACAACCACTTACGCGTTCGCTATTGCGCTGTGACCCGCGCTCTCCATCATCCCGTCCCATCCCATCGCATGCCATCCCATGCCATCCCATCCCATCCCATCCCATTGAATTTGAAATGAAGCAGGGGCTTTCGTTCCCTTCTTTTTGGGAGTTCATGGGGCAGCCAATTTGGTTGGTCAGAAAGGGTGGAAGGTCTTTTGAAACCCCTTCGGACGCATCGCGCAATTGTGCAAAATCGGATCCGTGGTTTTAACAACCACCCATCATCGCCAGACTTAAGTCATCTTTTGCCCCTTCGCCCTTTTGGCCTTGAAGGTTTGCCAGGATGTCTTGACTGCTATTGGGTTGGATCTTTAGACTTGAACTTTTTGGGAAATTAAGGGTTTTTCCACTAAACCCACAAAAAGTTAAACTTTTTGCAGAGGGATCAGCAGCAACCAAGATGTGACCAAGCGGCCAAGCCATGCGACTTTGTGTGACCTCTCAACTCAGACATTTGTAGGTACCGCAGCCCCACCGGCATACGCTGGCAGGTTTCGGGCGCCTTGGCATAGCTCGAAACCTGCGACCCGCTCGTTTGGTTTCGGCTGCCATCCGGAGTCAGCAACCAACCCGGACATAATTTCTTGTAAGCCCTTTTAGGGAGACTGAGCTTTTTTAACGCAGTTTTTCAGAAATCCACATCCCTCAAACCATTCAATCCCCCTAAAGATAAAGGTCTCTCGAATGATAACAAAGAGGTTTCCAAACAAAATGGCCGATACTCAATTGAGAATAACCTGGGGACAGCAGAGGGCCGAGGAGGGAGGAACTAGGGACCCCTAGTATATTTTTTCTGTCTCTGTTTGTTTTCTGGATGGACATAAGTTTGTTCGTTGTGGTTTCTTAAAGTCTTTCCGTATCGTTTGCTGGGTGTGTGTGTGTGTATGTGTGCGTGTGTGCACGTGTGTGCGTGTGCGTGTGTTTGAAGAGAAATGCTCCCATGTTTATTTGAGCTTTTTTGAGGAACACTTCCTGGGGGAGGGAAACCCACCATCTTGGGGGTTTGCCCTCCCTCCTTCACGACACTGGCCAAAGGAGATATGACTGTCTTGGACCATGGTCATTTGTTGGTAGAGGTGCAACTGGCGCATAAACAAAGTCCGTGTTGCACCACTTAATGACTGAAGCCATTATTGGTTGGTGTTTACGTTGGGGAATCAAGCCATTCTTTCCGAGCGGTCGGCATTTCGCATGGCTTTCTCGTCGCCATCCGCTGTATATCTCCACCTTAGGCCGGGATCACATCCCCCGCCCAAGGCTCAAGCGCCTCGTGGAGGACCAAGGCTCTGGAAGGAAATTTGAGGAACCTGACGCATCCTGTGGTCAGGTAATGCTCAATTGCTCCCATTCTAGGGATGGTTCGGGGGGGTTCCGTAAGCCCCCCCAAAGAATGCAAGAACACGAAAACGGCTCGTGCGAAGCGGCTCTCAACTACCCAGCACCCTTGTTTGGGAACATGTTCCTAAGTTTGTTCGTTGCGGTTTCTTACGCATCATTTGTAGCCGGCCATGGCAAAGTCGCGATCGCTTCCGGATGGCTTCCAGGAGGCGAGGGGTGGCAGAGATCTCGGACCTAACACCACCGCGGCAGTTGCCTGGGCCTTGCCAGTAGCCAAAATGTCGGAACTCAAGGGGCAATTGGCTCATTGAGCATCAGACAGCAATCCATTATATAGGGGCGGAAATAGGCACAAGAGCCGCAGCTGGCCGGAGGCCCCTGTTTTCGGCGGCAGCCACAGCCAGATGCCTGGGAATAGCGCCTCGAAGGTGGAAGGGGGCAGGAGGGAG